ACGTCAAATGATTAAAAATCATCAAGTTTTGGTATGTTTATATTTGCATATATTAGCATAATTAATATTATTGATATTAAATCCATAATAAACTGAGATTTTCAGCTGGGGCACTAAAGTCCGGGTTTGCCAAAACAATGAGACCTAACTTCACGCACGATGGTTTACAGTTGATTTATCAAAAAATGCGATTCATCAAAAATAAGGTAATATCATAATTTGCAAGGCAAGATATCGTACAATCAGTTAGTACCACTGTTTACTTACAATTTTGAGGATTTCTGATCTCGAAATGAAGATTTCCAGACCCTTATCGGTAAGTTGATAATTTTTCGGAACGGACGCAAATAATTGCAAAATTTGCCGATCTTTTGTCAATATTTTCACAATTTCGCACCCACTTCTAAAGTAAATTTCGTTTCTGGGTAATTTTATGACCCTCTTTCCATTGGTGATATCAGATTTTCGAAATCTTACCGATTTTTTGAGAAAGCGAACTTTGGTCACGCGCGAACTTTGGTCACACCGCCATACATGTTTATGCTAGGCTAGATGCCTTTTCTGATTGCTTCTACACCGTGGGGCGCGCGGCCGGGGTGTACATTATACAAATAACGCACGTCCCAGAGTGCAATATATAGCGGTGAATGCACTAGTACGCGCGAGGTTTCTTTAGATGCCGCTTGCGGCGAGTTGACAGTGCGAACCATCTGAAGAAACCGAGTCATTTTGACTATTGCACTCTAAGCTACGCGTACGTTGCGCTGGGGATCTGAAGCGTACAATATTATCTACGCGTAGCCTACAATAATTGCAATGCACTCGAGGGAGCGCGTACTACACGTACGCGCGCGCACTGGATCTCCATGGTCACGTGCAATATAACTTTTTGTTGCGCTTTTTCTGCACTCATTTCTGCAAAATCGTGCTTGCATCAAAAATTTGTCAATGTCATGTGACGCGTATTGACCAATCACGATGCTTAAAATACTAGAGCCATTTTTTATAAAACCCATTATAAAATGGCTCTAGTATTATTCAACGGAATAGTTAATGGAGTAAACAACTTTCTTTTTTTTGAGGGGGGGGGGGGGTAGCTTGTTGTTAAGGTTCATCGTTACTATAGGACTGTTGTGCCCTAGTTCAGAATGTTTCTGTGCGAGTTCGTAAGTTTGTCAATGCATGCTCCGATTATCATTCAAATAATTGCCTCCAGGATTGTTATATTTCCGGCCCATTTGCGTTCTTCGGATTTAATAAAGATGGCGAGTGAAAGAGTTGTCTCGAAAGAGCACAAATGTGAGAGTTATGTAAGTTACGAGGCCGATGAGTATTGCCGGAAAGCTCAACTCTGGAGGTTAAGTTCGCAAAATTAATAAAGTTCCTTTCGACATGAGTGTGTATGGTGCCGGGGATTATTTTGACGCAATGCGTCGTAGTCATAGAGATATATACTAGATCTACTACTACTACTAATATCTCTACGGTTGTAGTGACACGCCCTTATAAGGGGTCACATGTGTGAGACGGTTTAAAATGGGGATGAGCTTCTCAATCGAGACGGTCTTTTACTTTTTGGAGCGGGGTTTAGTTTTCGGAGCGAGTTTTCACTTTTCGGGCGACTTCTGGGTTTTTTTCTCATTTTTACTCCACTTCCTTTGCCGCCAAGAGGTGCTAAAGCTTTAGCAGAGTTCGGGGCGCCCAGCCTATATAGACTATGTAACTTTTCGTGATTCCTCCTGATTATATGTAATTATTTGTATTGAATGCACTACTCACTTTAACACTTGACTTTTGTCGAGAACTTTCATTTCTTCGTTTGGACTTTGTTCGTCTCTGGAACGTTACACGGGCTAGGTTGTAGGCTGCCACCGGCCAAACCGGTCCGTTTCACAAACATTAACACATCAACCAATTCAAAATATCAAAAAATGTTAGACATTCTTACATATATATGCAAGCCTGATCACAAAAGAAATATAAATTTCAAAATCTATTTTCCACATTGTATTATCCTCAGGAAATGTACGAAATACAACACACAGCCATTTATAAAGTTTACATTATGGAAGAAAGGAATATAATAGACTAGCCCATGCAGTAGCTGTACGTCTCGACATTCTGTGTGATAAAAGTGCTGAGATATTATGACGGCTCTCATATTTTTTTGCTTGTACCTCTAACATTTTACCTCTGACATTTTTACCTCTGACATTTTTACCTCTGACATTTTTACCTCTGACATTTTTACCTCTGACATTTTTACCTCTGACATTTTTACCTCTGGCATTTTTTCCTCTGACATTTTTACCTCTGACATTTTTACCTCTGACATTTTTTCCTCTGACATTTTTTCCTGGCACCCCAAATACACAACCTGTCCGGACTCACAACTGATCTGTACGGAAGATCACAGTGGTATAATTTAAACCTGTTTCACAGATAATATGAGCAAACACCACATAATCTAGGCCTAGATCTAAACGTGATTAATGACGACTCTAAAATCCGGAGTAGAATAAACTAGATCTACTTTAGGATTAGACTTTAAGATGTCTAGCTCTAGTCTAGCTACATCGTACATGTTGCTACGGGGAGCCGAAGTGTAGGGGAGGGGGGGGGGATATCGTGTGTCCAGACAGGTTTGTTTTCACGGACAGTTGATTTCAAGGGGGCCCTCGAAAATTTGAAAAATCGCACCCCCCCCCCCCCGCTGGAGCGCCAGGGGAGGGGGCCCGGACCCCCCCCCCCCCCCCCCCACCCCGGATCCGCCACTGATCCTAAACATCATTAATTTTTGTCCATCATGATATTCATATTGTCCAACACTGTCCAGATACACAACCTGTCCGGACTCACAACTCAACTGATCTGTACGGAAAATCACAGTGGTATAATTTAAACCTGTTTCACAGTTATGAGCAAACACCACATAAACATGATTAATGACGACTCTAAAATCCGGAGTAGAATGAACTAAATCTACCTAGGATTAGATTTTAAGATGTCTAGCTCTAGTCTAGCTACATGTTGCTACGGGGAGCCGAAGTGGGGGAGGGGGGGGGGGATCGTGTGTCCAGACAAGGTTGTTTTCACGGACAGTTGATTTCAAGAAGATCTTTAAATGGTTTGAAGAGATTTAGATGCACTATTTCTTTAATATATAGTAAACTGTAAAAATAAGATGGGTACCTCTTGTTTTTGGACCTGGACGTGCAGTGGTGTAAATATATTTTTGATGCATTTTTTTATTATTATTATTATTATTTATTCGGCAAAAACAAAGAAAATCATTGAATACAAAACAAGAGTACATTTGGAAAAGATTCACATGGGTGCCGGGAAAAGAAAAAAGATTAACTAATTAACTGTAACCTGAAGGTCTTCTTTTCCAATCCATGTGACTTAACAGAAATGTTAACAATAAAATGGTGAGGTATAGCAATTTATGAATTACTGTGTAATCAATAATAATCATTGACGAGATTAAAAAAAAAAAAAAAAACCTAACCCCCCCCCCCCCCCCACCCAATCAAAAAAGAGGGAAAATGCCGCTTTGTGTACATGTTTATAGCACCAGGAAAAAAAGGGGGGGGGAGGGTGAATACATGCACTCAAATCCGACATTTAGCCATGAGTTTTACCTGAAGTTTTCTTTAAAATCCCAACACTAGCCGGGAAAGCTAGTGACGGGCTTAATCTAGTCGTATTTTTTTTTTAATAAAGCGTCAGGACTCACGACCCCCCCTCCAGGCTCCCCGAATACACACACGGGCACGCCTATTCTTTCACAAAAGTGCAATCATGCACTTACCTACAGAATGGCAGGTTAATGAATGATCATGTGATTATAAGCATGTTTGGGGGACTACTTATCAAACACATATCGCAAAAGATACAGCAATCAGATGGCAGAAATAAATAGTCTACCCAGACGTTGTGTGTCCGGACAGGTTGTGTATCCGGACAATTGATTTAAAACAGCAAAATGGAGAAGTTTACAAGCAATATTTCATACAAATTCTTAAAATAAAAAAAGGACAATATTATGAAGGACGAATAATCATGATGGTTCGTGCTATTTCATGGATATTAATTCGTTAAATCTGAAGGCAAAAGAGAAGGGTTTATGTTTAAGTGTCCGGGCACCCCCCCCCCCCCCCCATCATACAAGCTTCCCCTGTACTTTAAAAAAGTGTGATTCCTGTATTAAAAGGCAAAATCACCGCAAATCAATCTTCGTCGTCATGTGCATCAGTACCTTTAATCTGTTTGTATGTGATTAATTATCCACCCTCTTTCTCTCTCTCTCTCTCTCTCTCTCGTTTCTCTTAACCTTCATAATTTACACAGCTCAACCACTTCAATGGCTCTGGCGAAAGATTTCACGAGTGCAGAAACGCTCTCTGTGCTGCGAGACAAATTTTCACCGTGTAAGTAAACATGATCACGATCATAGCTGAACATTTTATACAGAATACATAATTTAATCGTGAAAGGATCGGTAGCTGGCCGATTGACCCACTTTAGTGAGCCAAGGGATAGTTGTCCGATTGTTCCAAGTCTGTAGTTGTCTGATTGTCCCAAGGGATGGTTGTTTTCGGCAGTGGTCCAGGGGTAGCTGTCCAATGACAGTACATGTATTTTATCAAATATATGTTGTCAAATTGAATGGAAGAAAATAAATGTTCATTTGAATTGAATTGAATTGAATTGAAGATTGGTTGTAGATAATGCAGCGAGACGGGTGACACGTTTTTATATTTCTAAATGTTTTTTTTTCTCCATTTAGTAGTTCATTAATTATATCTTCCTTCCTTTCTTTCTTTCTTTCTTCCTTTCTTTCTTTCTTTCTTTCTTTCCTTCTTTCTTTCCTTCTTTCTATCCTTCTTTCTATATCTGTATTCATTTATTTATTCATTTATACATCATTTCCCTATTTCTTTATTTGTTTGATTTATCAATTATGATGCCGGGGTGTTGTTTCTTTCTTTCTTTCTCAATCTATTTATTTAATCATCTATTTTGGTGCGGGTGGTTGTTATCGTGCAAGAAGCCTAAAACAAAGAATCGCTACTTGTGATGATTATTTCTGATGATTTGTCCTTTCTTTATATATGTAGATGTCTCTTTATTTTTGTTTTTACTTTTCTTATGTCCGATTACTTTCTTTTAGCTTTGCGTGTAGATGATGAAAGGCTGGCACCGATTGTCACTGTATTCAACAAATTAAAAGTAAGTCGGTATTAGTCTACGCAGTCATGTGCAAGTTCCTTTTTATTTCATGTATCTTCAAAAAAGGAATCACAAACATTTTAGCAGCATAATACATGTGAATCAAAGTGAATCAAGAGTTTTGAAATGAGAGGACGCAATATTTCATTTTTTTCTGTCGATCAAAAAAAAAATAAAGAGGCATTTAATTTTTGGCGTTCATTTATCCAACATGAAGAAAAAAAAATTGCTGGTAGTTTCAGCTGATATTGTGTACACCTGCATGTACGGTATATTTTTCTTTGTGTAAGTCTTTTGATTTGAATCAAAAGTTTGATCCCGTCCTTCCTTATTCATTATTACCTTTCTTTTAAATTAAAGAATAAGCTAACAGAAGATGGTTATCGTCAAGCCGTGGGTCTCTTACTGCAATACAACGCATCAAAGAATACCGAGAAACTCTACGATAACGTAAGTAACTATTTAATTCCATTAATTCAATTCATAATTACTTTTTGTATGACATAGAAGTTTATGAAATGGGTTTAAGAATGTAGCCAATGAGAAGCATAGAAATGGATCACTTGTGCGTGTATTAAATTCTATCATATGCACAGGGGAGTGCATTTTGGTGATGACAACCGTGAATTTCTCGATTTTTTACTCATATTGCAGACCCATCTCATCAAACAAAAAAATACATGGATTTAGCTCGTGCATTTGTAATGTGCACTGCACTTGAGTCAAAATGAGACAGACAATGAACTCGATAAGTCTCGTTCATTATCCTACTGTGACTTAAACTGCGTGCAGTGCATATTCACTATTTGTACTAGCAATCAATGTGTTATTTGTACATGTATACAAAAGCTGTGTGCGAATAAGAAATATCATGCTCCCAGTCTCGGGGGGGGGGGGGGGGATTGCCGTAAGGGTAAATTGTCGGGGCCAGGGTTACTACCGACTGGTAAATACTGCCTAGCAAATGTGGACAAAAAGCGGGAAATGCCGGGAAAAACTGGGAAATACTATTAAAATAAAAAAATAAAAAACGTTACGTCTGTCTGCTTGAAGCTATGGAAAATATCACTTTTGAAACGGACAGTGGGGAATAAAGTCTGGATTTTCCTAAGTCAATCCCATTCAACTTTCAACGAACAAGGTGAATTCAATAGTTGCAACGAGGCACTTAACAACGATTTATGCATCAATGGCCTATTTCATATATTATTTATCGCTAGGTACGACGACGAACCTGATAGCTTGCCCTGCCTAACAACACGTGATTTGCATTCTGATTATCAAAATACAATCATTCGTTACGGGTTTAGACTTAAATAATTAAGGCATTTCACAAAGACGAATGCATCAAGTTTGATTACATTAAGAAAATGGCCGATTCGTTACTATTTACTTTCCATTAGTAAGATGATTTTTCTATCCCTTTTACAGATCCTCGTTGAAAATCGATTACTACATATCCTAAGAGAATACGACAGCCTCCGATTCGAATTGTTAGATGTCTTACATGATATGGAAAACAATGACGATCACATTTTGAATGCTATACAACACAATAGGTAATATTTACTTTTTACTTTAAATACTCTTTATTTGCCACGCGAATAATCTCCCTGCGCCACATTGTATGTATCATGGGATAGACATACCAACGACTTAAGTTGACGAATATTTAACTTTTTCCAGTGCAAGATTAATTTACATTGGTGTTAAAAGTGTTGTCATGCAGCTAATTAAGACTAGTAATTAGTAAATTTAAAAAGATATCGTGTTGCACAAAGCAATCCTTCCGTCAAGTGGTGACTAGTGTTTTGTTTAGGAAATGAGCGATCGTGCAGAGAGGCGAAGAAATTAGCAACCAAAGAGTTGAACTTGTTTGGGATGTCTGTTCACCAAACAAAAATATGTTAAACAGGTCAAGATGTCTTCCAGTGCGTAATAAAGATACTTTTCGAATCCCACCCCCCCCCCCCCCCTCCGTCATAATTCGGTGTCGAATGGGTTAATACATGCATGTAGACGCCCTGTACTACCCAAGCGAGGCAACTAAATGAAGATGCATTACAAACAAAACTTTATCTCATTCTATTATGTGTGATTGCATTGTGGTGCAGGGAAAAACGATACAGCTAGGCAATGATAGTTTAAGTTAAGGAAAACACCGTAGGTCTACTCACATTTTTGCGTAATTCCTTCAGTGGTCCAGTATGAAATATAACCTGTTCATAACGTTTGTAACGCTAACAGTAAGTACCTAACAGCGCATTAACATTTATTTCCTGTTCCCTGTTCGCCTCTCATTCTCCTTTTCTCGTCGATATTTGCTTCACTTTCAGAGTGAGCAAGCGTGGCGTGTACGACGTACCTGTACACGTACGCACAACACACCTTACATACTCGAGCACAAACAGTGATGAATTTTTCTCGTTATCTTTCCTACTACCGAACCAATTTGTCCAGGTTTTCTTTTTGGCGCCTCTTGTCCATTTCTGACTGAGAAACGACTCCCAGAGGAGAAGTTGATAATTGATGTCGTCAGCTCTCCAAATTATTCTGTCAAAATGGGTGGCACTAGCAGAAATTACTAACGCTCCTTTTCGGATAGGATGTATAGTGTGGAGGCTGATGTAAATTTACAAAAGTTTCGGGTTCATGAACTTTTCTATGACTGCTGATTTCGCCACCGCTATCTCTGACATTATTTTCTGGGCTCAACTTCAGCTACTTCTGAATATCAATTAGTTGTTTTTATTTATTAGAAATACTTCATCACAGGTTAGCCAAGATGTTTTTGAAAAGAAAAAAAAGTTTACAAAATAAAGTTTTCTAATTTTATTCAAACTTAAAAGCTACTCTACTTGACCTTTCAAATTGCCAGACATAGCATCATAGAAAAATATTTCATCCATTAATGATATGGTATCCGAACATAGCATCAGATTAAATAAGTAAACTATTTGAAGATTAATTTAAATCGTTTCATTTGGTACCCATCTTTCGACAGGATTATAAAAGAATCAATAAATAATGAAGGTGTAAGAAAAGATGACATGCAGACGGGTAATCACTTGCTCTGCTCATCATCAAATACCTATGACGTTGCAGTGCATGTCAGCGAGGACGACACAAAAGAATGTCCATCCCTAGAGTTTGGCCTAAGCAGACAACTGTATCAGAAGGTAAGACCCGTGTGTGTACAAAGCACACGAGGCGTTATTTCATTCGCACGATCCAATAAGGTCATTCAGGCATATTAAGGCAAAGATCCATGCAGTCAAGGCGCAACCTCTAGCCACATAATTATAACTACCCTCCACCTCCCGTGTCCATATGAGCGAGGGGAATGAATTATTAACACGGTTGATAAGTTTTGCAACAATGAAAATAACAAAATAAGGCACAAAATACATATGGTCTGGCAATCCTGTATTGTATGAATGGATAAATCATCTTTACGTGGGACGCCATACGCTCAGTCATATCAGTCACTGCATTCAACGAGCTCATTTGTGTGTATCATAAACAGTGCGTAATAAAAAAAATAAAAGTTTACCTAACTTTGTTAGCTTCTTAGTAAATTGATAACTTGTGTGACCTTGAATCATGTTTTAGTGTAAAGAAAAAGTAATACCCTGTCTATCATTTTCATAATTCTGCTTCCAAGGATGACTGAACAGCACGCTTTTCAAAAAGTATTGTCGAAATCCTCTTGTACCCAGTTTGGGCTGAGACAATGAATGTGGGTCAAAATTAAGCCATTGGCCCGAATTCACAAAGGAGGTTTGTCGACAAACCAAGGTTTGTCGTCAAACCTCCTTTTGTTCTTTACAAACCAGGTTTGTAAAAAACGCGTAAAAACGCAGTCATGTGACTACGAAAACCAAGCTTTGTCGACAAACCTCCTTTGTGAATTCGGGCCTTAATGTTTGTGTTATCTCATTCCAGAAAAATAAATTGATCCTTGATTTACATTGATTATTAGGCAGTTTTAAAAAAGTGTTAACATCAATTCAAACTCAAAGAAATGCTTATTACAAGCAAAATTTATGAGATTTGATCTCTTCGTTATGATGATTACAATATTGCCTTAGTTCACATCCCTTTTTTAATCTTCTCATTGAGTGATACAAAATGGATAAAGTTTATCAGGGGTGTTACCTTTCTTGGTAAAAGTCTGTTGTCAATTTCTTTGATATTACTATTAGGCCTAATCATAAATGTTCTTTCTTGCATTTGGGTTTAGTAATTACCTTTGAGTTTTCGATCGTATCTGGACATCTACCCCCTGGACATCCACCCCCGGATAACCACCCCCAGTCCACTACCCCTAGGACAACTACCCTCTCGGACGACTACCCCCCGGGACAACTACCTCCCGGACAACTACCTAGGATAGTTGTCCTAGAGAATGGTTGTCGTAGGGGGTAGTTGTCTGGGGGTTATTTGCCCGGGTGAAAGTTGACCTAGGGGGTAGTTGTCCAGGGGTAGTTGTCCGCGGGGTAGTTGTCCTGGGGGTAGTTTACTGGGGGGTTTGTCCGGGTGGTTGTCCCAGGGGGTAGTCGTCCTAGAGGGTGGTTGCCCTAGGGGGTATTTGTCCAAGGGGGTATTTGACTGTGGGTGGTTATCCGGGGTGGATGTCCAAGGACAGGGTAGGTGTCCTAGAACCGTTTTCAATTGCTATTCGAGATAAACATCTCATGCTCCTTAGTTACGCGTGTGAAATGGCGCAGTGGACAAGTGAGCAGAGAGAACTTAGATATCATGAGACAAGAAGTTAGTAGGCTGTTTAAAGTAATTAAAGGTTATCCTGTCGATTGAAACAAAGTGTTGTGAAAGCCTAGTTACATTGCATCATTTTAAATAATGAAGCACTGAAGCGCGAGGCACAATTTAACTTTTAAAAGGATTTATAACTAAAGAAGCGCATGCATATTATGGCCTGACCTGCTTACGTGCATTGGTTCCTAAAGCCCAAACTTGAAACAAGGCGATTTTGACAACACTTTTTAAAGACCCTTGTGCTCATTCGCCCGTGGCAGAAAGTATTATAAATAGGGTATCACTGGACAGAAAATAATTTACTCTACATCATGAAAGCAATTTCAAAGTCATATTGGTTATGACTTTTCAATTAGGAGCTACCAAAGTTGGGTAATTTTGTTATTGATACGCCCGGCCTGTATCTAACCCTCACACGGGTAAGCCCATCAGTGGGCTCACCTCATCAAGTGCCCCTATATTTTAACCACAAGATCAGGCTATCGCTTTCGGTCTACTGGGTGGTGAAAAAATAAGTATCCTGATTCTAAAGTTGTTGACTTAATTGTGTACCAGTCAAAATATGTACCATATTGCCTAAACTTTCCATGGAATGTGTTTCATAAGACATTTGTCGTTTAATATCTATTTCTTCCCAAAATTGAAAATGTATTGACATGACCACGGACCAAAGGTTCTTCCTTATTTAACTACCACTCGTGCATGGTCATATCAAGGGATTTGTTTTCTTCATTTTTGATGAAAAGAATATATAAAAGTCTTAGCTACATGACACCCTGCGGGGAATTACCCATAATATGGACATACATGTATATCAGTTAAAGTTCTTTTGTGACATCGCTGATGTAAAATTAATAGACCAAGATGATATTGTGTTCATAAGTTAACAGGAAGCCGCCCTAATGTATCTATCTTTGGTTTCCTCTCGTTACACAGGGTCTGTAACTCTTTGAATCTTATGTGCAGTTAATTATATTTTGTTTTAATTGTCTAAATTGATATATCTAAAATACGAATAGCATCCATCTCGATTCATCATTGGTGTTACATATTCTGTATTCGTTTTTACTGTGCGTGACTTATACGTCATTAATGAGACGTGGTGACTTGTGTAAATTGACTTATGGTGGAAAAGACTGCTTCAATACAGAGATCGATGTATGTGCATATGTTCAAACTTTATTAGCAGTAAATATGGACGCATACATGTTCATGTACATATGTTAAAAATGTATTAGCGGTAAATATGGATGCATGTGTTCAAAACATATTTGTTCAATTGAGAGATCCTATTTTGTAGAATTTAGCATAAAAAAAGGAACTCTTAACCAGCGCAGCTGAATATATTTTGTATAAAAGCTGCGCTATATAAATTTATTATTATTAAATATATTAGCCACAAATATGGATGCATGATATATGTATTATGATGACGATTTATTAGCGGTCAATATGAATGCCTTAATCATGATAATGTTTGTATTAAATTTACTCTCTTCTTAGGTCCCGACATCACTTCATCATTCGAACGTTGCAGACTCGTCAGCATCTGAAGAAGAGATGCGAGACGTTGCTCCCTCAGACGAACCAAAGAAAGAGGTGTTAATAGTTGAACACTTTGACGAGCCAACTGAAACATTAGGTGTCAACGACAGAAGCGACAAAAGCAGCACCAACGCGACGAAAATGGTTTCTGCTAAAAGAGGCAGCAGCAAGCGTAAAGCGTTAAGCCGTGACGTGTCTGGTGATGAAAGTGCTGAGGAAATTAGTATCGGAGAGACGGGGGTAGATGAATCAGGTTCTATTGGGGAAAGTGTTATAATGAGGCGTGAGAGCGAGATGGGAGGTAGAAGTAGGAAACGCACGCGGCGCCTCGGAGCGCGGGAGGATGATATGATGCTCAAGAAAGTCGGAAGTCACTGCATCGTAATAGGGGTTAAAGAACATGCGATGACGACCGATAGTAGTGATAACAACACACAGAGCGAGACAGAGACCATGGGTAGCGAGCCCAAAACCAGTCAGGAGGATGACGAGGAGGGTGTTCTCGTCATTGATGAAAAGAAGCCGTCATCATCGTTGAAATCAAAGAAGAAGAAGAGACACCGATCGGGAAAACCGGCTGCGAATCTTGTGAAAGTGAGCGCCTTGTGCAGGGGAGCATCGATGCTGCAGAAATGCGAAATGCGCAACAAGACAGGGGAGAGAATGGAAGAAGATAGACCACAAGCGGTGCTGGAAAGAGGGATTCGTATAGCACGCAGTCAGAATAATAACACTAATAACTCGTGTAGTGCGTCGGAGGTTTCCGACGAAGATGTTCTAAACACTTACCCCGATGTCCACCCACGTTCTGAGGATTCATCTTTCGATAAGTTGATCCGATGTAAGTCAGATGATGAGAGAACGGTTCTTGACATTCTTAGCTTGGCTGATTCCCAGAATCACAGATCGGAGAAACACGCAAGTCCAGGTTCCAATCAACAAAATAAACAGCTCACTCGGTATCATCCGATGCACTCATGTCCTGACAGGTCTACAAGTATCATGCCATTTACAAGTTATTTAGGTCTCCAACCATGTGGATTAGAAGGCAATATTTTGTTTCCTATACAAGATGACACCTATCGCCTTCTCAAGGAAGACAACAGTGAAATGAGATCTGCCTACAATTCAGTCAAATCGCGGCAGGGATCATCCCTTGTTGCGCCAAGAAAGCAGTCCAAGTCAACTCACCCGAAGTACAATCCGAACTTTCCGTTCTCTACAACTGCATTCTCTGCTATGTCCTCAATTGCAGAAGCGACCACTTTCGAAGGAAGCGACTACCTGCACAGCCAAGAGTCGAGCCAAGATGAGATCCTTGAAAACTCAGGATGGGAAACTACAGCATCTAGCCAAGATAGCCGCTGTCTGGAGCGGGAGAGGGTGTACGGACTAGGAACCTTTGCTCAGGATGACACCGATGACATTTCCTTCTTCAATCGTCTTCTCAGATCCCCAAGTCCACCCAGCTTTGGTGGAAATAGTGACCTCTTGGGCAAGAAAAAAAGGCATCGCCACAAGCCCAAGAAAGAGCGCAAACCCAGGAAGCCAAGAAGGAGTAGGAGATTGAGAGGTAAACATTCACAGGACGGTGACGGCGGCACCAATGATACTCTCCCAAATAATACTAACAAGGGAGTCACTGGAAGAGCGTGCACCTGTTGCTCGTAATAAAGGCTTCTGATGATGACATGGTTAACGGGGAGACTAAATTTCAAGTAGGTCAACGCCACACGGGTTACTGATTCCAATAGATCTTTATTTCAATATCAAGTAACATGATCTGTCATTCGAGACAACATGAAATAAGCTGAACTTGGGACATTGTGGAAAAGAAAATGAGAATAAGAGAGAGAGAGAGGGAAGGGGATAGAAAGTGATTCTAAGAGAGGGGGAGCGAAGTGGTACTAACAGAGAGAGAGAGAGGAAGAGAGAGAGAGAGAGAGAGAGAGAGAAGGGGGAAGGAAGAAGACATTGATACAAAGAGAGAGAGGCGGGGAGGAGAAAGTTTTTCTTAGAGGAAAGAGAGGGGCAGGGGGGGGGGGGAGTGATACTAACAGAGATAGTGTGGGGGAAATGATACTAGGATAGAGGGGGGGGCAAGTCTACGGCTGTGAACTGATGAAACCACCATCAACATTTCAGATACATAAACCTACTCTACCCAATCGGGGAGGGGGGGGACGACGACTTTCCATAAAAAAATACATGACAGGATAAGAGAGATACCATTGCTCATTTTACTGACCTGCTAGTAATATACAATGAAATTATATTTCTAACACTGTCAGCGGTAATGGAAAAAATATGTATGAATTTGGAGGTGCAAACCTCATTTCGTTCCTCATACATGTACCATGGATTAACCCAAAAGTGCAGGCTTCATCTATCATTCTATTTCACTGTGTTATTCATGCTTGGATCAAACTCGACTCCGTTCCGTGAACCAATTCTCACAATGTACAGCCAATTAATCATCTACAGCACCATCATATCACAAACATAAAAGGTTACAAAAAGCAAATGACAATCATCATGTAAATAGAAAAGAAATATCTTTTATTTGGACGTCTACTTATAGCACAACAGAATACACACAAAACACATGAAGAAAGGCTAGTCCCGTTGGACAGAAAGAAAAAATGATTGCATGGAAAAAGGCACACATGATCTGACTAAACGACCTTTATAATTCCTGTCATATAAACTAGTGCTAAATACATATCCACTTTGTCACTTTGTCACTTTGTCACAGCATAGGAATATTATTATAGAATCAAGGTAAAAACATGGACGAATGTGTAAGAATACAACATCTTGTTTGAAGTTTATGGACGGAAATGTTACATCGACATGTACAACAGACAATTTAAAAATCAAAATATACGTAAATTCTACTAGTGTCGTACTTGCATATAGTAAAGATGTTTATAATGAACATGTATATTGTAAATAAAAATCGTATGTACACTTTATAATTTCATAATTATTCATTTCATTTGCTTGCAATTTTGTTTCAACTTTTTCTGTATTGTAATTATATAACTACCCTAAAGACTAGATTATTCCTGATTTACTATTAAAACGATCTGCTTTGATTATTTTCAATGTGAATTATTTATTGTTTAAATTTTAAATTTATTTTTTGTTGGCATTGTTCTTGAATATTATATACAGACAAACCATTAATCATATAAAATGTTGATATAAAAATTAAACATACATTTTGAACATTGGGTTTTTAATAAGGTACTGGTATGGATGAATTCTATGAATCATTTCTATTTTCAGTAGCATTTAAAAGCAAAAATTGTATAAGTTTAGGGCATTAAATTCCACTTTCAAATATATGGGTGGCATAATATAACAATATTCAAATTCAAATTTCACATTTTGGTCTATCCATTTTGTTCTCAGTCTGCATAATGTTAGTACTGTACTTTACTATTGTCCATTTTATTTTCTATGAGTACAAGCATTAGTCCACTTCAAAAATCAAATATTACTCCTATAATTATGTCTCATCTGCCCTTCATAAACTATTATTGAGAAGTAGAAACTGACAATTTCCTAAATTGACATGTAAATAAACAATTAAATTATATAGTTTACATAATTATGAAATCAGATATTTCATGTGAATGTACATATATACAATTCTGAATTTCTTCAACAGATGATTTATAATGTATTATACAGTTTATCCAACAAAATGTTATGTACATGTACTTTTATGCAATTATTGTACAACTAAATTTAGTATAGATGATTTCTCTATTTACACAGAATACAAAAATTGAAATAAATTAAAGGCACATTCTTATTGATTATGTTCATTGTATACACTTGTCTTCATTTAAATTCCACATGATTACAAAGAAGTTCACATAAAAATATATAAATAATGATTTGGGACAAATGAGAATAGGAATGAAAGGTACCTGTCGTTTAGTAAAAAAAAAATCATGTCACATATAAATCAAAGAAATGATGTGAGAAACCATATATTGGCAGCTGGGTAGTATAATTAGAGTATCTCTTATAATGTTTGCTTGAGATATTAGGTATTGAAATGAATAATTGGTTCATATTTTGATAATCTTGGGTTTCCATACTCTATTCACTGTTAATGCTTAGTATTTACTCCTTTGTGAAATGCCTTGAATGTGACACATTATATTCATCTTTACTCACATATTGTTTTTTGATAGATGGCACTACTGATTGCACACAGGAAGTGTTGCTAGGTCAGATAAGGCATTATGTATGTCCGGCCTAACAACATCTAGTGTATGTGCTCTAATCTACAGAAATAAATATCTTGTAACGGATGCGAACATAAAAGTTCACAATGCAAAGATATCATGTGAACACATTGCAAAAACTTGCTATTCTCACTCTTTATGAGAATTCATCAATATTTCTCAGGTTATATCTCAATTTTGTTCAGTTTAAGTAAAATAACAATTGAAATTCACGGTATTTTATGCTTGAGTTTACTTCCCGAATATCCATATATACCCAACTTTCACATGCCGTAATAGAGTGTAAAAAGCTGCCAATTTTGACTGATACATGTCTTCTCAAACTACAGAAGAGTAGGATGATAATTCAAGCCCACAAAGAAAGGGGTTTACATTTATTTTGGGATGGTCATAGTCCAGTGTTTTCAATACTGGACCAGAGACTCAGAGTTTGTGGGTTTGATCATCGGCAAGGTACTTATGTCCTTTAATACTCAAGGTATTTCTACGTTGTTTCTCTCCACCCAGGTATATAAATTTTTATCTGGTGGGATGCAAATGTCATTTGGGTTTGACTAGCATGTTTGTGCGCGCACAAGGCGACTGGTTGGAAGGCAGTAACCCAGGCAATAGTGAATTAGTGATTATAGCTAAAGGCTAAGTGCTTACATACATAGTATAAAGCACTATGTCTTATCGTGTTTTACTCCACTTCTTCTTCGTCCAATGTTTCTCCCTTCTTGAGTTTGGCGATGACCTGTAAATGATGATAGATTTAACAAAAAACAAAAAAATGAAAGAACAGAATTGATATCTGGTGATGGGAATACTACGATATAGCATTTGAACAGTATTTATTTTGTAATTGGAATTGATCTATGCCACCATTTTCACTTACACTCCCTAAAATTCAAAATTATTCAAGTGGGGCTTACATATTCTTTCCTTTGACGAGGTATAACTGGAAGACTCTCTAAGGCAACCTCCCCCTGGACACAGTTAGCCCCCTCCCCTGAACAACGTTCCCCAAGAAAATACCCTCCAATATCTATTCCCTGGAGGATTAGAACCCCTTCCTCTAATAACTATCCTCTAGATAATTACCACCAATTACCAGTTCTGATACAATCAAACCTGTCTATTGCGGTGGTCACATCCCGCCGTACTTGCAAGTGCGTGCTGTCTACGTGCAAAAACGTGGGCAAAATTTGGGAATCTGTACGTGATGAGTACCGCCTCCGTACGGATTTGGGAGCACGCAGACACACCGTAGCACTTTTAGTGCACGAGGAACTTTCGCCGTGGCCTCCCCAAAAACCGTACGGACTAAAAACACGCACGGTGGGATGTGACCAACGCTTATCACGACCACCCAAGGGAAACAAAAAATGTTGTCTTTGAAGACAGATGGACACTAAAGCAGGTTTGACTGTATCCATATGCACCTGATGGATAATTATCCCTCCCCCCTTCCCCAAGAAAACAATTATGAGAAGAACTTACATCCTTGAGCCTTGCAATCTCTTTGTTGTCAGAATTCTTTGAAGCATCGTTGGTGATGAGCTTCACACGGGATGCATACCTGTTCAAAAACGCACGCATACAAAGAAGATTTAAAATAATTGCATAATCAGTAGTATTTCACAACTCTCACATATCAGTATATATTTGACCACACAAGTTTTCAATTGATAAAGAAAATAACAAAAGACTTCAAACTACACTACAAATCAAATTATATATTGGTTATGAGAAAGCTTGTAATAGATCGATTTCCCCAGTTTCAACTATGCAAACTGCTGCTAGTTTTGTACAAACAAATGGTGGAGAGAATTCTATTACACATATGTTCAATTGAATTTCAGTTACTAAAAGGAGGCTCGTTTCGATATGATGTGGCAAAACTAGAGTTATTTTAAAGGTACTATGTCCCATTTGCAGGCCAAAAAAATGAAAAAGTTAAATTCCAACTGCATTTGAAAGATAATACTAATTTAGAACTCCCCTAAAAAAGGTGGGGCTTGAACATGTCTTCAAGTGGGAAAATAACGACTATTAGTTGTCAAATCGACTTTAGGGCTATAGAGCCCAAAAGTAGTGGTCTTGATTTTCAGACAATTGTACCGAATGGTCGTACGTTTTATGCTGCGCAAAGATTCAATCAGTTTAATCTTTGCCATCACAAGAAGTGGGTTATTGATGTAGGTAAATGCTCATGTACCCTTTACAACTCTTTTCATGTTATTAGCAAAGAAGAAAAAAGGCCAGTCAGTGACTCAATAGTGTCTGACAGTGAAGTTTATAAAGTAAACGGGTTTTCTTGCGTAATTTGAATATGAGGACACTGCTAACGTTTAACTTTCACAGATAGGACATACATGACATATTCATAATTCCTGCAAATTTCTACAGCATTTGAGGTTGGCTGCAAAAGGGACTAGTACCTTTAAAGATGAAGTGAAGTGTAATACGCCTCACATTTCTGCATCTTATAACTCGGAGCTCAGTGAATATGTGTAATATTCATTTTCATTTACATGGAAAAATAAAACTTGGGAACTGTATGCAGGACGTGGTTTACTGCGCCACATCGGCAACTATGAACATGCATTCAAGTTCAAGTTCATTTATTTACACTCGTCATTAAAAATACAGAATATATACAATAGTCACATTAACAAATACAGAATATATACAATAGTCACATTAACAAATACAATATACGTATTAAAATATCATACATCCAAACAAAAAACATAACATACTGAGAGTGAAGGTATGAGCTAAAAAGGAGTATGGTCCTTATGCTATATCCCTCATATATAATATTGATAATAATCAATTTAAATGTTGTACTATTGGAAGCTTGAAAATCAAAATTTTAAAAAGGAGAGGAGGATAAAGAGCCTGGTGAGTTATTGCACGTAATATTCAGTTAAATACATTTTATATTTTTGTTTAAAAATTTGAATACTTTTACAATTTTATTTGTTAAGGGTATGAAATTCCAATTTTTGGACTATCGACAGATAATGACATTCAGCTACATGTATACCCCTGCTCCATATGACTTTCTACTCACGTGAGTGATATAACGGTTTCCTCTGCATTGTAGTCCGCCGGTGAGATGTTGACGAACATGAGTGTCTTTGCGTTGCCACCAAGGGAGTCCTGCATGAGCATGGTGAGTTTGTTGTTTCTGTACGGGATGAAGGATTGCTCGCTGGAGAGTGCGGAGATCACATCGGCCAGAGCACTCAGTGATTTGTTGATTGAGTTCGCTTCCTGTTTCACAATCGGAGAGAGCATACATTGCATGAATAAAGGAACCATGATGCAAAATAAACATGTATTGTAAAACCTGAAACTTTTCGCAGCATTACATTCATGCTTGTTTGCTAATATGCAGTGAATTGTGAATTGTGATTCAATTATTTCAAGGCATAAGGTTTTCACAACTGGGAACTACTCGCGAAATTCATGAAAATTTCATGCACGTGAAGTTTATGTTTTTACAGTATCTAGTGTCTAGTTTTGTGAATGAAAGAATTATGATATGCTTTTTAATCTTTATCTACAAGTATACTCTCAGAAACTGTCCAAGATTTAATTCAAAATTATCGACAGGGAAATTCAACAAAATGAAATGACAATTACATGTGATTAATTTCTTGTCTGGGTGTTTTCAGCAAAATATGTTGATCCCTCACAATTTTCATTGGTCAAAGAGACACTCCAAAGTACATACTCTCATAACATCTATGATCATCTTTTCAGAATACCTGATATATTAAATTGCAAGAATTCAATCATTGCGTAAATTCTGCAAGAAAGGCAAACTTATCACCTAATCCTAAACTTGATCACTTGGCTCTTTATATACACAGATTTATCCTTTTCTAAGCTGTAAAAAAATTAAAAATCACAGTACAAACTGCAAACGCACCTTCAGTTGCTCTGCGGTAGCCCCAGTCTTGGCTGAACGCTCACTACCGGCCAAATCTACCAGAGTGAGCTTGCCCTTGACGACGGCACCGGTCCCTAGATTAGTGCTCTCTATGATGACACCGATGACGAGATGAGAACGAGAACTTTCGGAATTCATCTCTGTCAATTCCAAGAAGTAATTAAGGGAAGAAAGTGAACACATGCATTAATGTAATTCATATAATTATTGTATAGTCCTATCTTATAAAATCTATCTTGTTGACAACATCAGTTATTTAACCCTTCCACTAAATGTGTGATGCGAAAGTCTCCGTGTTCACACAAACTGCAGTGGCTTACTGCCGGTTTTGTTTTAAAGCATACTGCACCTCACTGAAAAATAAAGGATTGATTGTTTTCCCTGTTTGCTAAGAAAGCATGTGTATCCTTGAAAGTAAGCAACCATGGGACCTACAGCTGTAAGTCCTCTCTAAGGGACTTAATGAGGATCAATGCTTTACCAAAGGACACTAGCGCATCTAAGACCTCCCGATACTAGACCACTGCTTCACCACTGGTCCATTGTGCCTCCTACAAAGTAGGTTCCAAAGACAGTAATGACTGAAGTGGTTGCATGCAGAACTCAAATTAATTGTTTTAACACCCCATTTTCAAAGTCATGAGCAAATTTTAACTCACTTGTAGAGGCGACGTGCCTGTTGGCGGACCCCTCTTCAAAGAGACCATAGAGCTCCTTGGAGTTACCAGCTTCCTGGATGACCGAGCCATTGATGTACACCATGCCCTTCTTATCCTTCTTGATGTCCAACTTGGGAGGCTGCAGATCATGAGGAAATGGGACGGATTATTAATGATTTGGGATACAGTCAAACCTGCTTTAATGACCACCTGTATAGAAAGACCACATTTTTTGTTTCCCTTGAAAATGGTTTCTCATTGAAACGTGTACTAAAGGAAACAGAACATAAAGACTGCCTGCCTATTAAGACCACTTTTCTTGTCTCCCTTGGGTGGTCTTACTGTATTAATGGTATGGTCTGGTTTAATTGGACCTAAATCATTTCTAGAAAATATCTTTGATAAATTGAGCTTGCTCTGCGTTACTCTTTGACTACAGATATATAGCTTCATTCTTTCCTTGTTTTACTTTTGGAATTAATATGGGATGTATATGAATGCATTTGTTGAGGTGGTAATTAATAGTGTATAGACAAAGAGTAAAGCTACATGTATCCATGACCCTTTCCGAAAGGACATTAACCCTTTCAGGTCAGGGTTCATTTTAAGGGCTAAATTAATTGCCTAGAGTACTTCAAATTGGCAACATTATTTTTCTGTTGTGGCTGCATTGTCCAAATAGTAATGTAATGCCTCTAAAAAAAAATCCACACAGGCAGGAGTAATGAAAAGTTAACAAAAGAAGAAAAAAAATTGATCAAAATGATTTTCAATCTCTCACCATGTTGCTAATTTAAGGATTTTAATGCTCATTTTCCATCTTTTTTAATCCTTGCATCAAAGTTCAAACATAATATACTCATGAAAAAAAATTGGCTGCAGTGTGTGCAAAATATTTTGCTGTTTCTACAGATGCATCTGGCATTTTTTTTTAGGGATATGATTCAAAAGTTATTGAGCCAAGCCACATAATGTGAAATAATTGTCACATAAAGGGTTAACATGTAACATTTTATGCAGTGTGAACACCCCTGCAGCTCTCAACTGACGATGAATCATCTGTTTGGAGCCAGAAGGGCATTATTTTATTTACTTTAACACAGAGGTAACACCCTTCTGGCTCCAAATGGACAATATCTCCTCTCTGCGAGAAGTACTGGTAGTGATTTTGATGTAAGTACAATTGCAAACGGGTGTTTCTGAATTCATTGACAGGTAGTTCAATCTATTTGCTGATGAGTGTTTACTGAAGGCTGGGATAGGTTGTTTACTCACCTCTCCCTTGTTTTTATTGTAGAGATCAATCAACTTTTCATTGTACAACTCCAGCATGTATGTGTATACACGGAATGAGAATTTCGATCTGCAAACAACAAACAGGGGCAAAGGATTAATTTCATTATCAGAACGTGAACAAACAAAAATTAAAAAGTAATATTGTAATTTTAGGATTTAAGTTGAAAAATATTTTTATATTTTCAAATTAGGCAAAGGCTAACATGGAGTCTAAACATTAACCCAGCAACAAAGTGTTTTTTTTTCTTCTTCTTCTCTCTCTCTCTCTCCCCCCCCCCCCCCCCCCCCCCCTCTCTCTCTCTCTCTCTCTCTCTCTCTCTCTCTCTCTCTCTCTCCCCCCCCCCCCCTCTCTCTCTCTCTCTCTCAAACCTTCTAGTTTAAAACCCGTCTGTACTAGTTTGGCCAGGAGGATTAGACCTCCCTGCAAGATCACTGACAGGTGGTTATCTCATCAAATCAGCTCTCAATTAACATAAGAAAAAGAGGATCATGGTGGACCAACAGGCACCGATTAGGCATTGTTTGCTATAAAGAGGGCACAAGTAGCTATATGTAGTACAGTGGGGCTATATCATGAAGCTCCTGACAGCTAGTAGAAAGTTTCATAATGCCAAAAATCTGAATTCATTTGCAAGTGCACCCTCTGAAAACTTGTCTCAATGTTTCTCTGCCGAATGACTTACTTGTTTTCTTCAATAAGCTCGTAGACTTTCTGGAAGGCTCTTGGAGCGATACCGGGGAATTTCTGTTCCTTGTCTCCGATCATGGTGAAAGTCTTTCCTGAGCCTGTCTGACCGTAGGCAAAGATACACACATTGTAGCCGTCCACAGCCGATTGGATTAAACGCTGCAAGAAAGAAAAAACAGAGTGATTATATTCTGAGTGCTGAGAAAGAAAGTGAAAATCCCATCTTTTTAACCTGTCAATTATGGATGTATCCCTTACCCTAAGGGAGTGGCAGATCGGAAGGGGGAGTGTGGCTTGGGATGCTGGGAGGCAGCAGTATACATCTAGTCCATGTCCCCCCCCCCCCCTCTTTCATCAGGCAGAGTCCCTTTCAAACTTTTTTGTCAACTCTCAAGACCCTTTTTTCCCTGCTGTGATATCATCACAAGCATATTGCTAAAAAAATAATTCAACAAGATACTTTTGTTGATTAAAACACTGTCAAAGAAAATTGAGTTTTGAAAATCAGAAAATTCCATCAGCACCCAGCAGAAATGGACAACTGCACTATATGTGTAGCCATCATCATCACTACCATCATCGTCATTTTCAAAATCACCATCATCATTTTCAAAATCACCATCATCATTATCATCATCATCACCATCATCATCACGATCACCATCATCTATCATCATCACGATCATCATCATCTATCATCATCACCATCAGTATCATCATCATCATCACCTATCATCATCATCATCATCATCATCACCATCATCATCATCATCATCATCACCTATCATCATCATCTATCATCATCATCATCATCATCATCACCATCATCATCATTACCATCATCATCATCATCATCACGATCACCATCATCATCATCACGATCATCATCACCATCATCATCATCATCATCACCATCATCATCACCATCATCATCATCATCATCATCACCATCATCATCATCACCATCATCATGATTACCATCATCATCATCATCATCACGATCACCATCATCATCATCACCATCATCATCTATCATCATCATCATCTATCATCATCACCATCACCATCATCATCATCATCATCATCATCATCATCATCATCTATCATCATCTATCATCATCACCATCACCACCATCTCCATCACCATCACCATCACCATCACCATCACCATCACCATCACCATCACCATCACCATCATCATCATCATCATCATCATCATCTATCATCATCTATCATCATCACCATCATCATCACCATCATCATCACCATCATCATCATCATCATCTATCATCATCTATCATCATCACCATCATCATCATCATCATCATCACCATCATCATCATCATCATCATCATCATCATCATCATCATCATCATCATCATCATCATCATCATCATCATCATCATCATCATCATCATCATCATCATCATCATCATCATCATCACCATCATCATCATCATCATCTATCATCATCACCATCACCATCATCATCATCACCGTCATCATCATCATCATCTATCATCATCACCATCATCATCATCATCATCATCATCATCATCTATCATCATCACCATCACCATCATCATCATCATCATCATCATCATCACCATAATAATCATCATTATCATCATCACTACCACCTTCATCATCACCATCATTACCATCACCTTTATTACCATCACCACCACCACCACCATCCTCCCATAGTTATACAACTTACATCTGTATCCTCAAAGATCTCGGCTTGTGTGTTCTCAGGCATGAAGATATGATCAAACTGGAACTCCTTCTGGCCACGTGTAGATGTGATATCAACTGTGTACTCATCTGGTCTTTTGATGATGGAAAAATTACCCTATAGAAGAGAAAAACAAGAGTAAGAATCCATGAATGTACAAATACTCTTTTTTATAATATATGAAGTCGCTGTGCATGTATACATAAACTATATAGTTCAGTGGCGTACCTGGGGTACTCCGTCAGGGGGGGCAAGCGACCGAAACAAACAAAAAAGGCGATGCTAATTTTCACTTCTGGCGAGCGAGCGAGCGAGCGAGCGAGCGAGCGAGCGAGCAAAAAAAAATCTTTAAGTAACGTTTGGTATATAAACTGGTATTGTTGCAAGTTGGGGGTGGGAACATTCACTTGTTAGCGACGTTAATTTCATTTTTTTGCAAACTAGTGTAGCGAGCAAGAAAAAAATCACTTCTTTTTTAATAATTGCCACTTAAACTTGGTTCAATTGTCCCATGCAGGGCGCGGGAACAATATTGTGTTTAGGGTGATTTTATACCCATTTTAGCTAGCGAGCGAAAATACATCTTTCTCTCAATGAATTGCTATATAAAATTTGTTTCATTGTTGCAGGTAGGGGGCGGGCACAATCGTGTTTAAGGCAATGTCAATCCCATTTTGGCGGGCAGGCAACACCCTACATTTCTCTTTTTAATGATATTGTAGCAGGTTAGTGGTGGGCACATAATTCCACGAGCTAGCGAGCGTAGCGAGCGAAAAAAAAATCACTTTTCTTTTATAGGGAAAATATGGTACATAAAACTTGGGTTCATTGTTCCATGTCAGGGAAGTGATTATTAAAAGCGGTGTTAATTCTATTTTGGCGAGCGAGCAAAAAAAAAATCACTTCTTTTTTATAGGGAAAATATGGTATATAAACTTGGTTTAATTGTTCCATGTCAGGGACGTGATTATTAAAAGCGGTGTTATTTCTATTTTGGCGAGCGAGCGTAGCGAGCGAGCAAAATTTTTGTAATGATAATTGGTTCATAAATTTCAGATTTTTTTGTTGCAGGGCAGGGCTTACACAATCATGTCTAAGGTGAAGTTAATTCCGTTTTGGCGAGCACGAGCACACCAAAACTTCTTTGAATAACGTTTCGTTCATAATTATTAACTGGTTGTTGCAGGTTGGGGCGGGCACGTTAGCGGTGTCAATTCCATTTTGGCGAGCGAGCATAGCGAGCAAGCAAAAAAAATAAATTCTCTTTTAATAGAAATTAATAAATAAACTTGTTTTTATTGGTGCAGGTCAGGATGGACGCAATCGCGTTTAACGCGATTCAATTCCTTTTTGGCGAGAGGGCGAAAAAACTCTTCCATTTTTAATGATATTGTTGCAGGTCAAGGGTGGGCACAATTGTTTCCAAAGCAATGTCTATTCATTTTATTCGCGAGCGAGTGTAGCGAGCGAGAAAAATGAATTAGTCTCTTTTAGTAACATTTGGTACATATATTGTGTGTTATTGTTGCCATGGTTGCAGGTCGGGGCCCGTCGGGGCAGGCACAATTGTATTCTAGGCAATACTAATCCTTTTCTTTTTTCAGGGGGACGAGGAAGTGAAAACATTTAATACAAAATAGGCTAGCAAGCAGTTCGCGCCAGCGAAGAGTTTCAAATTTGTTATATCACTTATATTTTCCTATTTTCATTTGTTTTAATTTTTCAGGGCCGTATGTGGAATATTTTTCTGATGGGGGAAGGGGGAAAGATGCGTTAAAAGTTTTCGAAGAATCTCAAAAGCAAAAGGAGTGAAGGGAGTTCGAGCGACCGAACTGGTCATGAGGGTACTTTTGCATTTTCAAAAGTAGAATTGAAGGATTTGGTATAGGCCTACACTACATTTGCAGAAAAAAACCTGTACGATTTCAAAATATCTGGGGTCAACTGCCCCTCCCCCCCCTGGTGCTTACGGCCATGTTCTTTATTTTTTTTCTCCCATTTTTATTCCTTTCCTTTTCTTTTCCCTTTTTCTTCCTTTTCTCTTCTTCTTCCTTTTTTCTTTCCTTTTTTTCCTTTTTTCTCTTTCTTTCCTTTTTTCTTTCCTTTTCCTTTTTTCTTTTTCTTTCCTTTCCCTTTCTTTTCTTTTCTTTCCCCTTTTTCTTTTTTCCCCTGGAGCCCGTCAGGGGGGGCACTCTGCCCCCCTGCCCCCCCCCCATAGGTACGCCAGTGATATAGTTCATGTATGTAGGAGTCAACAGGTTAAATGGTTTGAGCCACTATTGCGATTAAGAAAGAAAACCGAAAACGTGTATTATATGTCTCGTGAAAAAATGTCATTTATACAAAATACATGAACATTTAAATGCAGGAGATTATGGGATCATCTTTCCAGACTTCATATCCTCTCACAAGAATTGTCTGCTTCTATCTATTCAAACTACATGTATTCTAATCTGAATGAATAATGCTTCGATGCTTCCAGTAGGAGTCAAATACTCCATCAAAAGGGTGAGATACAGATACATGTAGGTCATCCAAGGTCATTCAGGTTCATTCAAGAGACAAATTCAGACACGTGAAAATTACAGACATTCTACTGGCTTAAATGTTGTTGTATATTCTTGGTAAAATAAATTAGCAGCTTGATCTTGCATTTGAATCATTTTATCTTGTCTTATCACTTTCAAAACTGCTTCTAACTGAAGTTACTATGTGATGAACATGTACTTATTTGATGAGTCTATTTATTAATTTATTTCTTTTCAAATATGTGAATTCATAACTGCTATGGTACTTTTCTTTTGTTTTAGCGCCCCTTGAATGTTGATATTTTTATCATTTTATGTACATATTTTTGTTAATCACTTTTTTTTGTATACCTTATGATTTGATTTGAATTTTGTTTGAAGGGTCATTGTGCACAACATTAGTGTTTCACTCCTGAAAAGGCAACTGTGGATAAGTGAAGCCAAAACATAGACGAATACAAAAAGTAATGAAAAGAAAGCATTTCGTTTCTTACTCTTTCTTTCTCTGAACCACTCAGCGGTCTTGCCCTGCAGTACACACGAATCTTGCCTTTCATATCCTCAACCATGTTATAGTACTTCTTCCTCAAAACCTGGCATGGAAATAAAAATACAGTAAAATATAAACAAATAAGGCACTAACCATTTCAGCAAACATACATGCCGGTTAACATCGTGTTTGCTAAAGACGACCATTTTCAAAGGAGGAAACTATTGCAAATGTGATGTATCATTGTTATTAAATTATTCCATGGTATGAAACTTCAGCAAAACTGTAAGTTCTTATGAAATTCATGACTATTTTGTTTATATGAAAGTATCTGGTTCACAGTCATGTTCTCACGAACAGAAGAATTCTTAATGATCTCATTAAATACATACACCAATCACAACATGATTCAACTTAAACAGTGGGTGTGTGTTTCCCATTTTTTTTGCTACTTCACATTAAACTTGAAATATGGTGAGATTGAATAATCATTTTCAGCTACCATAGAATCATTTAATTAAAAGTTCTAGAAATGCAACTATACAAGTACATTACGGTGTTGCTCTTGCAATTTTTACTGATTAAAAACATTCAGAAGCATTCATGCATCATTTGTATACTAACCCTCTCACTGTTGTAGTTATCAGTGGCTGCTTTCAGCTCCTTCTGTAGCTCCTTGTTCTCCTTCTCCAGGGTGGTACATTTCTCCTTGAGTTCTAAGGCTTCCTCCGCGGCCACGCCCAAAGATGAGATCTGAGCCATCAGTTTGGCAACCTCATCCTTCAAAGAGTCTCTATCCTACATGGGTGAAACAAGGCAAAAGTGGCAGAGTTGAAGAAAAAAAATCATATCTGCATGATTTCAATTTCACTTCAATTCATATATTTATTTCAAATCCATTAAAATTCATACTAAGGCATATGACATTAAAACATAAGAAGACTTATATAGGAAAACGAAATTGTGGTGCAAAAAAAAGAAAAGAAGTTTGTTGGGGCACCAGCATTTTATTTTTTTGGGGGGGTAACTTTAAGAGTCTCAAAAAGAATGATACTTATTTGTTATATGCCGCAATGACTATGCATTGTTTTGCTTGTTTGTTTATCAGCGTTGCAAACCTATAATAAATGACCATTTAAACTAAGTCACATTTTTAATAAACAAATATTTTCTTTTGCCATTTTTTTCAATCCCATAACACTTAATAATGGTTTCTCTTTTATGTTGTTGTTGAGAATGCAAATAGTCCAATAAGTCCGTAACCATCAATATAATGCATTGTGTTACATGATATACTTTTTCTGTGACAAAACATATGTATTTCTATTTTCTTCTAGTAGTCTTCCTCTATCTATCAATGAACATGTAAGCATCGAGTTTATCATCACATACCTTTGTAGTCGTCTTGAGTTCTGCCTCAAACTCTGTCGCCTTCTTGGCTTCTCTCTCATGTTTCTTTGTCTCCATTTCAAGTTTCTTCTCTAAATCCTTGATCTGCTTCTCAATCTTCTTGGTTGCATTTTTCTGTGAATTAGATCAAAGATCATAAGTACAGGTGCAATTTAAAAGCAAGAATGAATGCATATACAGTGAAACCTGTCTATAATGACCACCAAAAGGAGACAAGAAAGTGGTCTTTGTAACCAGGTGGTCGCTAATTAAACCAGGTCTGACTGTACATGTAGTTTCATTTTCTTTAACATGTACTTCTGGGGTAATGCATCAAACATATTCAAGATTGAAAATTGGTTTCGGTTTCTGTGCTAAGTTGACATGGTATGGAAAGAATACCCAGACACGAGGTATGCAGGTAAATCAAATTTTTAAACAAATGATACTTTTTTGCAATGAAGAATTTGATGCCCAGTTAATATAATGACATGTATGATATTCAAGATAAAGAAATTATAAGCATGATAATGTAATACCCATGTATTTTATTTTGTCTGCACAACTTCATGTGCAATGCGATGAAGAAAAAGGAAGAAAAAAGGGAGGGGAGGGAAAGGGGGAGGGGAAGGAGAAGGGGGAAGGGGAGCATGGAAGGGGGACGAAGGAAGGAGGAAGAAGGAAGGGGGAGAAGTTAGAGGAGGAAGGGGAAAGGGGGAAGAGGGAAAGAAGGGTTCACTTACATCCCCTGCTCCTGCTGCTTTAGCCTCTTTAACATCATCCTTGAATTGTTTAGCCCTTGCTTGTTCTTCTTGGACTTGCTTCTTGAGGGCAGCGTTCTGATCCTGTAGCATCTGGATCTTCTTCTCCGTCTTTGCATCGGTCTGGAATGGATTGATAGGGATTAAGGGGGAAAGATAGGTTAAATATTGAGGGCCTGAGGTGGTATTCTAAAGACTATTTATCATTTTAATGATAGGTATTATATTTTCTTATAAAAAATCTGAATGGAGATGAGTCATTGATTTATAACCATGCATTCATATATATGTCTACATATATTAACAAAGAACATATGATGTGCACATAAACCATTCTTTAAATAAACAAAAGAAACATAAGAACCTGTATAAATCCACTCATTAATAAATTAGAAGCCTGTTGAATAGCAAAATCCCATTTTGGTTATTGTGATAATGGCATATTAGTACCTTATAAGGAGATATTGAGCTTTCATTTCATTGGAAAAATTGGTATTTAGAGTGATACAGTTGTTGTTTGGCATCAGAATCATTGACACCAAAAATGTAAGTTTAATTTCTCCTTCATAGTTGTCATACTCTCTTTACATGATTTGTCCACCGCCCCCCCCCCTCTCCTTCTCTCTCTCTCTCTCCATTTATCTCTCTCTCTCTCTCTCTCTCTCACCTTGGCTCCTCCAGCCTTGGCTCCCCCTACGGCTCCTGCTGCTGACAGTGTCTTGACCTTCTTCTCCAGGGCAGTGATCTGATTCTTATTCTGCTCCAGCCTCTCAGTGAACTTCTTCTCTGTGGTCGCCACCAGCTCCTTGGCATGCTTGTCCTTCTCTGCCATCTTGGTCTTCAGCGTTGCCTGGCGTAGTGACGAAAATATAATTCATGAATTCATGAATTGATTAAATAAAATACACCAATCAGTTTATAACAGCTAGCAAACTGTTTTCATCTAATTAAGGATAAGACCAAAGTAGCAAATATCACTACATTATGGTTGCTCTTTAATGCTCTTTTGTTTGAAAGAGAATTTTTGACATTTTTTTTTAATTATTAGCCTTTTACAACTTATCTGTATCAATCCGTATTTGATTATTTCATTATTAGAAATTTTGCTCAATTTATTTTCTTTTTAAAGAATATGCTGGTCAGATTTCTGCAAAACAAATGTTCATTACAAACTTATAAAATATCATAAGTACTAAAAATAGCCTTGATTGCTTTCCACTGGCAAACCAATATTTTAGTACATGTACAGTATGTTTCCGGTTTGAATCCTCACATTTTGCATTTTTATCTTTTAATGCTTTTCTTTGATTTGCACATAAATTGCGATAATTGCTCTGTGGTAATTTTCTACACTAATATAATTCTTAACTTCAACCCTGGGCCGAACACTTCACCTAACCTCCACGTAACTCAAATTGCAGCCCTTACCAGATACTTTTCATGAAAAAAGCCTAGAATTGTGACATCACTCATGTGCTATCTTCTTGGAGAAAAAAACATGATCTTGAGAATGACCTCATCCACTCAAAATCACATTGTATCTACACGTTACAAAAAAAACTGTGAATCAAGGACTTCTCTTAATGTACCTGATGTTTCTTGTTGGCCTCCCTCTCTTTCTCCAAGAACTTCTGTGTGCTTGAGAAGTCAACAGTGATCTTACTGGCTTCTGCTGTCTTAGCTATTGCCTCCTTCTGAGCTGCATCCCGCTGTCTCTCCAACTCTTTCTACAAGGAGAGGAATGAATCAAGTCACAGAAATTACGGTCTTTGTAGCATTTCTTTTGAAAATTAAAAAGGTATTCCAGGGTGAGGGGTCATACAGTGCTTAAAACTACACCTCTAAGCATGTGTAACATACATTTTTAGCCTGGCCATTGTAATATGTTGAGCTGTTATGCTTTACTGTTTGCACTTTGAAGAGACCATACCATGACAACATGTACGTCTGGATGTTGAGACTTTATTAAAGAGCATAAAAAATTTAATCATTGCATCAAGGAGTTGATTTGTTAGAGTGTTTATTGCATTACAACCACCATATTAATGCACACAGACAATGCTGGAATTATGACAAATTACCATACTCAAAAGACATACATACACTGAAAGTTCCCAGCAGGGCTCGAACCTATAACCTTCTCATCTCCACTCAAATATTATAATGATGGATTTTTACTCCATTTGTCTAGAAATAAATGTTTGATTGAGGGGCAAGTGTTATGTAAAAAATATGATTGCCCAGTTCGGAGTGATTTATAAGAGGTTTATGCAAAGGAGTGGCTTTAAGAAGAAAACCAATTCCATTGCTACTGTATTTACATTAAAATGGCCTAATTGTCTCATTACAGATGTGCCCCTCATTTCTTTTAGGGCTTATTGATCTATGCATACTGTGGCATGAATCATATTGCATTAAACAATTAGTTAGCATAATTAGTGGACTAATGCATTATGTGTATATGGTTAAACAACGATAGGTCTGGAGAATAATAACTGAATTCTGTATACTCACCACTTTACTGTACAGACTGTTGATCTCTTTGGCAGTATCAGGTGGAATGTTCTTCAATTTTTCTTGTTCCAAGGCTTCAATTTTCTTCTCAAAACCCGAAATTTGCTGCAAAGAAAACAATGACAAATTGTACAGATTTAGAAATGTAAACAATGTGCTTCACAACGGCTGTAAGGTGATTATTACAAAGTAATGGATTACATAGTTGATTACAGTATTATGAAATAAAACGATTTCATCTATCAAAAAACATCAGGGTGAATGACAAGCATGTTATATTAATATAAGAAATATCCATCATTTGCCATGTAACTAGCCCCGAACTATGAACATACATGTATCATGAGCACAGAAAGATGAAGACAATCAATCAACACCAATATTTATTTTCTTAGAAATACGAATATCTAATTTGAATTTTGTCCTTTCATTATCTCACATACCAACCTGGAGGCAAAAGAAAGGTGATTATTGAGTTCTATAATTGTTTTTAAAGCCCGCCTTTGAAGACCTACTGCATTACTTATAGCTACTTGCGCCCTCTATATAGCAAACAATGCCTAAGCGGTGATCATTGTCCCCCATGGTCCCCTTTTTCTTATGTTAATTGAGAGCTGATTTGATGAGATAACAACCTGCTAGTGACCATGCAGGGAGGTCTAATCCAAACCAGTGCAGATAGGCTTTAAAATCAATCCTCCTACCTTAGTCTGCAGGGCCATTTCTGCTACCAGTGCTGCTCTAGCTGCTTCCCCCTTGGCATCTCCACCAGCTGAGTTATCTGCCTTCTCCGCCTTGAGTCTCTCGATGTCCTCCTCGAGTGTCTCCACCTCCTCCTTGGTTTTTGAGTGGGCTTCTTTCTCCTTCAGGAGCTCTTTCTCCACGCTGTCTATCTTCATCTGGAGCGCTGTCATCTGACCACTCATACCCTGTGCGTGAGAGAGGAAGAGAGAGAGAACAGATTTTAATTGAAAAAAGTTTCTCAAAACTGTAAAGAAAAGGCTTGAAGAATGAAGTGCAGCACGTTTACATCATTTGGTTAAGTCATGTCTTCACAATCCACAGGACCATACAATACACATAATTCTACAACAGGTAATATCAAAGGGTCCGAACTTCTAAAATTACATCAAATACATGCCTGTTATCATGGAAGAATTACAAACATCAAATATGAAATTGATTCTGCATACAAATTCAAAAGAAGAATATGCAGGCAGCATGCACATGTACAGTGTATGCTCCATGTACATGTATATATATATATATATATATATATATATATATATATATATATAGAGCATATTCTTGTTTTAATTCATATGAAACATGGAGATGGAACCTATGACAATTTCTTTGAAATCTCTCATGATACAGCCTAAAATTAGAAACCTAATCTTCTTCTTCTTCTTCTGGATAATCTGCCTCCTTCAATACTGAAGATTCTTGCAGATGTATATACTGGGGTGTGCAGGTTGACCACTTCATCGGGGTTTCCCGCTACTCTTATACAAATAGTGCAGTGGGTTCTTAACGTGCAAAGGTGGTGACTCTCCTCCATGAAACGTCCTATCCTAACCACAAAGAAACAGGAAAAGAGAGAAATATCCACTCACTTGCATATCATCATCATCCAAGTCTAGATTAGCCATGGCGAAAGCGGCCGCAGCGGCTCCAGCTCCGGAAGCTCCTTCTGCATCTTCCAGCTCCTTGATCCTTGCCTTGAGATCCTCTATCTTCTCCTCCATGTCCTCCTTGGTCTCCTCCAGCTCCCTGTTTGAGTCGGTGAGGGACTCGTTCTCCTCCTCCAGCTCCGTGATGCGGGCCTGGAGCTCCTCCATCTCCTCGCTGGAGACACCTCCACTGTCTCCTCCTCCTCCTCCTCCTCCTGAAAGTGATTAGGTTCAAAGGTCAATCCTTACGTCAATCAATGTGTAATATTTGAATATAACAATATAGTTTCTCATATATATATATATATATATATATTACGTCTTTTTACAATGTGTGACCAAAACAAATTTCTATGTATTCTTGAGAATTTGGATGAATAAAAGAATTGAATTGAAGCTTTTAGCTTGTGATGTGTTCTAAAGATTATTTTGCTCACAGAAATTTTCCATTTTCATGGCACAATTTTTTTTATTTGTTAGTTAAGTTGTTTTGTTGGAGTTGATGATGACATTGTTGCTGTTGCATTGTTGTTGTTGTTGCTGCTGCTGTTACTGTCTTGTTTAATGATGTACATTTATAGTAATATTATTCAGTTCTTGTATAGCGCATAATACATTATGAAATAATGTCTCTATGCGCTTCCAAAGAGCTTTGTTTTTGTTTGAGTACGGCAGTATTAAATTTGTTTTGTTAATTTGAATGACAAATACATGTAGACATATAAGTATAAAGTGTAACTTTAACAAAGTATATCTCAACTATCTTCCACTGGGTGCATAAATATGCATGTACGTGTAAGTCCAAATCCATAAACATAAGTCATAAGTCCATTGACAAATTTGCTTTGTGTATGACCCCCTCCTCCTCCCCAAAAACAAAAATCAATAAAAAAACAAAAATAATACATTTTTTTATCAACCATAGCATTGACAAAGCTGCTGTAATAGTTGCTCAGTACATGTACACATGATTTCATAATTAACAGTTGTGTTTATCTTACCTGCAACAATAACTTGTGGTGTCATCATCCCTCCAAGTTCTTCTGGAACCGCCCCCGTCTGTATCATGGTGAGTGCTATGATGTCTGTCTCGTTGGTAAGTACCTTCTGATTGGCTGCGTTGAAGGAGTCATAATCCGTGCTTCTAAATGAGATAAGGAATGGAAGGAGAGAGATAGAGAACTAAATTTCAATACTTCTGTAACTATTACACAAAGGGTTTATTCTTCTTAATGCAATGTTTGCCCAAGCTCTAAGAAATGATACTGCATGAACTAAATGTTCTCACAAATTTGTGGGCATTTCATTAAAACTTTTCATTAAGTAATTCTCATATTAACTTGCCGTAACTCAAAATATTGGACACAAAGAAGAGCCAGAATAATATTGGAGTGCATTGAGAACCTTGCATAGTGGAAATGAGCATTATAGAGATATTTGATGCTTTCATTATTATAATATAGCCCTAATCACACAGCATTGTTCACTCTTTAAATGCATTGAGAAGAAAAAAAACACATGTAGGAAAAAAATACTTGGACTTACCCATCTGCCTCTTCTTTAGCCTTGTCCCTTCCTTCCAGCAAGCTAGGTTTAGCTAGCTCAGCCTCTTCAAGTCTTGTTGCTACCCTTTCCTTAGGGGTAATCTCTTCATCATTTATTTCATGTACCTGGTATTAAATAAAGCAGAGAAAATAGAAATATTATCAACGATCAAGGTTATGATATACATGCTATTGATCTGTTACCATTTTGGAATTGAAATTATCTTGTGATGTCATATATGTATTAATAGTAGGAGACCAGCCTGTAGGTCCCGTGACCAATCTCGGGGAACAAAGGTTTGAAAGTGTTTTTGTGTTCCCTGATGAATACCGAACAATTTTGACTTGGGCTGCCCCCTTGAAAATCCCAGGCATTTTCGTGAGGGGTCAACAAAGGTCATACAGGGTAGAAATTAAAATATATTCCAGTCGTGTCGATATGCATATCAAATTACTCGTCTGGTCATGAGAATTCAAAAAATGTATAGTTTGCTATACCTCCGACCTTAAATGAGGGCGCTATGGTCAAAAACGTTGAAAGGTCAACACACTTTTGACTGGTGGTCAAATTCACCAACACGGTTAACCTTATCAAATTTCAAATTAAATTACTCGTCTGGTCATAAGGATTACAAAAATGTCTAGTTTGTTATACCTCTGACCTTAAATGAGGGCGCTATGGTCAAAAAAGTCAATGCACTTTAGACTGGTGGTCAAATTCACCAACACAGTTAACATCATCCGATTCTAATGATTTTAGTGTCTAATAATATGTTTTCTGACATAACAAATTCAACTAAGCAACTTTTAAAACCAAAAGTGGTTGCCATAACCTTGAAATTTCCCTCAAACCCATGGATAAGAAGTTATATATGTTTGTCACCGAAACGGCAGCCATTTTGAATGAACATGGTCAAGGTAAGCACTTTTACTTTTGAAAGTTGTATAGTTGAATTTTGCCGTGTCAGAAAACATATTATAAGACACTAAAATCATTAGAATCGGACAATTTTAACTGTGTTGGTGAATTTGACCACCAGTCTAAAGTGCATTGACCTTTTTGACCAAAGCGCCCTCATTTAAGGTCGGAGGTATAACAAACTATACATTTTTGGAATCCTCATTACCAGACGAGTAGTTTGATATACAATTTGATAAGGTTCACTGTGTTAGTGAATTTGACCACCAGTCAAAAGTGTGTTGACCTTTCAACGTTTTTGACCATAGCGCCCTCATTTAAGGTCAGAGGTATAGCAAACTATACATTTTTTGAATCCTCATGACCAGACGAGTAATTTGATATGCATATCGACACGATTGGAGTATATTTTAATTTCTACCCTGTATGACCTTTGTTGACCCCTCACGAAAATGCCTGGGATTTTCAAGGGGGCAGCCCAAGTCAAAATTGTTCGGTATTCATCAGGGAACACAAAAACACTTTCAAACCTTTGTTCCCCGAGATTGGTCACGGGACCTACAGGCTGGTCTCCTACTATAAGAGATTTTAAGGATTACAAATATATAAATTCTGATTATACATGTAAATTATGTTTTAAAAAAATTACATATGAATCGCCTAGAATGATAAAAGAATGATAAAAGCAAGTAACCTTTTCAGGCAAAAATCTAACATATATTTGTAAGAGGTCCAGAAATGTGTTCAAGGTGTGAAATAGATCAATAAACACACTTAATCTAAGTTTGCAATTAGTGAAAAAAAGAAACCATTGCTATTAATTTTTTTTCTTTTTGGGCCTGAATTTGTGCACAACATAACAATAATAGTGTTTCTAATATTAAGTAACAATAAATAATTCAACAGAAAATTGACACTGAAAATGTATGCCCTATTTATTTCCACAGGAAAAGCAGAACAACTCTTACAGTAGTCACGACCTCCAGATAAAGAGCATCATATCATACCGACCACTAACTCACCTGTCTAAGCACAGCCTGGAGAAGCAGTCTCAAGTTCTTCTCCTCCTTATCATCCTTCTTGGTCCTGGCCACACTTGCTTTCTCCTTCTTCTGCTTCTTCATCTCTTTCTGTAGTGAAGCCTGTAGGGTCTTGACCTGAGCCTCAAGCTTGGCTATCCTCTTCTGTGCCATGGCCAAGGCTGCTACAGTGGTAGGGTCTGGCACTGTCACCTGTAGAGGATGCAATAGAAAGCATGATTAGCATGAAGAAATAACATTCAGAAGTGGTGTATCATGGTTATGTGCAGATAACAACAAAAAAGATCTTACACTTTCATGAACACAAAACTGTCATTACCTTTCAACAGGCCAGAATATTTTTTCATAAACTTAATAGTGGCACAGAACATTAATAGACAATTATCTTTCAAAGTCTTATGCGAGAAGAAAATGATCAGGGGGGAGAGTGTTTCACAAAGATCCTAAGTTGAACTTAACAATTATGGAAAGCCGTTAACATCTGTGCAGTATTTTGTAAAAGTTATTTTAAAAGGCATAAACTGTTGATTAAAATAATTCATATTTTCTCTAAGCAAGGAGATTTCATGTTCTTGGTGTGGAATTTATATAAAGTCTAAAGTACTTGAATTTTCGTTTTTGAATATATTTTTTTAAGGCTACAAATGGCTCTCCATAATTTTAAGTCCAACTAAGAGTTAAGCTTCACTTAGGGTCTTTGTGAAACATCCCCAGGTCATACAATGACAGGTATTTCATTATTTAATCAATGGAAGATTTCTCACCTCTACAGTTTTGATGATCGGCTCTGGAGCACTTACAGCCTCTGGCTCGGGGATGTTGCCCTCCTTGATAGCAGTCAGGGTTGTGACCTTTGACCCTAGGTCAGACTGCATGTTCTGTACCTCATCGAGCTGGGTCTGCAGCTCTCTCACGCTCATAGGCCTGTCAATATGCAAATTGCAAATGAAATAAAAATCAGATTGTATGTTTATACAGGGTATTTTTAAAGTGAGTTATTTCTTCTCTAATATCAGCCACAATTGTAATAGCAATAAAATGACTCCAAACATACAAAAGCTCTCTTTCTCCCTCTTCCCATCCCCTCAGAGAAAAAAAGAAAAAAACCAACTATATTTTGACAACAGGAAATTTGGAGGAAATCAAATATGATTTATATTGAGAATAATTCAATTGCAACATAAGCGACGACAGGGAAATGCAAGGGTAAAATCTGTCATCAAATATTAGTTTGATACTTTCTCATAAAGAACTGTTGTACAATTTCATCAGCAAGTGCTTACTTTTCTTTAAAGACCGTCAATACTACTCGGCCAGAAGGGATTAGACCACACAGCGAGGTCACTGACAGGTGGCTATCTCATTAACTCAGCTCTCAACTTACATAAGAAAAAGAGGATCATGGGGGACCAACAGGCACTGATTGGGGAAGTTTTCTATATAGAGGGAGCAAGTATCTACAAGTAACACAGTGGGGCCTTAAAGAAAAAAAATTCAACTCATTTAAGTCGCACAAGGGAACTACTGACCATGCTTTTAATTATTTAAAAAAATCCTTCATATGTGGAAATACAATGTACATGTGTGTGACCCGACTTACGTCTCTTCTTCTGTTGGCTCTCTCCCATTCTTCTCTTTGAAATCATCCTCCCATGTATTGATCTCCTCCGTTAACTCCTCCTCCTCCTGCTTCATTGATTCTTGATCGTTCTTTAGACTCTCTATCTGCTCCTCCATCTTGTTCCCATCTCCAGCCGACGCTGCCTTAGCAACCATCTGGAACTGGCTTTCCAGGGAGGCATACTTGCTCTGCAGTATAACATACTCCTGTAAATTATAAGAAGAGAAATGTAAACATTTAGAGATATGTGTATGAAGGGGGAGAAAATATACATATTGCGTATATCACCTTTACTTCAACTCTGTTCTGATGCATTTGGGCATGTATATTCACCTACCATGCACATGACATAGAAGTTTGTTTCATTCATAATAAAATTAGGCTCTTGTATATTTTATGATACATATCAGAGGAATTAAGAGAAACTGTTTAACACATATCACCAATACATGTCTATTAATCAAATCTATCTTAATCATATTAAGAATGCACTAAAATCATTCAATAAATATAAGAGAAAAAAAATGAAGAAGGGTAAAAAAGAACATACTGACAATGTACATGTACATGTACCTGCCAACCTTCCCTTTATATTACTTCCCTTCCTCAAAATGCATCTGCTACTTCCTGCATAATCATTGTTTTCTCATTGGAAATATCTTTTGTATTTCCTTTATTACAATTGTTCTAAGGAACAACAAAAAATGTTAAAAATTACACAGAACAGATAAACACTATGCAATCTTTAAAGACCTCCATTTTCAAAATCATATTTTTTTGGTAAAACCTTCAGGTGACCTACGTGGATCTGAACTTAAGGTATATTCTTTACAGGACCAATATGTCAACATCTTTTTCAGTCCTCTGTAACAATTGTCCATTATTTCTCACCTTCTGAGACTCAATGTATTTATCTTGCATCTCAGCCTTCTCATCTTGAAGTCTCTGCCTCTCCTCCTCCCCAAGACCACTACCAACAACCACTGGGACTGGAGCAACCTCCACCCTCGATGATGATGATCTGGATGCTGACCTCTCTATCGCCGCGACAACCGGCACCACAACATCACCACCTGATGAGTAGGAGGAGGATTTTGATGCCGCGAGTTCTGCTCGAAGTCGCTCCACCTCCTCCTTCTCAGTTTGTAACTCGTCTTGGATAATCTGATGAAAGACCAAGAAAGTTCATGTTAAAGCTTAATTTTGGCCAGGAGGGATTACACCTCCATGCATAATCACTGACAGGTGGTTATCTCATCAAGTCAGCTCTCAATTAACATAAGAAAAAGGGGATCATGGGGGATCAACGGTACCACTTCGGCATTGTTGGCTATATAGAGGGTAGTATAAGTAGTGAAATCCCGATTAAAGCTTAATGTTACATTATACATTTCGGCATAATTGTGCAAGTATTAGCTTGTCTTTGAATATACAACCAAAAAAAACACTTCACCAAAATTGAAGATAATTCATGTACAAAGCAATTAATTACCAGTTAGAATGTATCTACCGGAGTTCCTCAAATGCTCACTTGTCATAAGAAGTTGATTATACATTCCTGTATAAAGAATCCCTTGGATGATATGGGAATCGTACAGTTTACCCAAACTTTCCTCTAGCAAATTACAGGTTACATTGGTAGGTTATTGATTATGAAATATCTCACCTTCTTTTCTTCATTTGATCCCTCCAACTCCTTCTTGGTGGCGATAAAATGTTGATGTTCTTTGTCAGTCTGTTGAGTTAGAGTGCTTGTCAACTCCACCTGCAAAATAACATGTAAGACAGACAAATAAAAGCAAGAACAATTACACCTGTCCAGTCATTTCAGTTTCTGTTTATCTATCTCTGCATGTGTACAACTCTCTCTATAGCTCTTCATTTCTTTTCCTAATACTATGATGTTTCCTGCACATGCACAAAGATTCTCTCAATGCTGCTCAACCATGATCATATGCAGAAAACAAATAAATTATTAATACGCTTACCAAGTTTTGTAATTTTTTAAGTAAGTGAAAAATTGATTTGTTACGGTTTATGTTTCTTGAGAATGCGACATACTAAAGATAACATCAGAAAGTATTCAACAAAAGGTCCTAATTCAACCAGTCCACCTTTCATTCTTGAGTTACAAAAAATGCTAAAAACATCAAATTTACAAGTGGAGTAGTATGAATAATGCAGTAGGTAATTAAGACCAGTAGTTAACTGTATCTGTGTATTATACAGTGTCATCTGGTAAAGAAAAACACAACTGCTTAATTTGCAACAAATACAAAATTATCCACTTTACTGAATTCACAAGGTTAATGCCAGTCATTAATTGTAGGAACTAAAATAGTCCTAGCTTCGCTACAGTACAAAGTATCTGCTGTTACAATCTCATCTTCTAATCGTTTTGTTTTTGCACATTTTTCTTTAGAATGTTAAAAGTTTACCTTCTCCTTTTCCAGCCTTTCGATCTCCACCTTGTTGATAATAAGTAATCTCTTTTTCTCTTTCATCAACTCCTTGTTTCGTTGACTCAAACTCTGAAAGAAAGATTGAAAATATATGAAGGTCATTTTATTACCATTTTCATCTTCCTTATCAAATTCAGTATAATCATCTTTACCACCATCATCATCATAACAATCTGTTTCTACTCTGGCCTCTTGATGATGGTTTTTCCCTCTATCATCCCTTCCAATACAGTAATTTGTAATTACTATCATTTTCAATGTACATGAAAGTGTGAATTTCTCTTTAGAATAAGGGTATTACAAATGCCTCAAGAATATACAATGTTTATAAAATGTTTATTGTTTTATAAAATGATGTTTTATAACATGATTTGACTAATGACCGGTCATAAGTATCTACTAATGACCGGTCATTAGTAAAATTATGTGTTAGGCAAAATAAATGCCTGGTCATGTGTACGCTCTCAACCAATCATTTGATTAGCATCCGCTTAATCATCTTATAATATAATATAGTAGGGGATATGTCAATTACAACTTACTCCAAAAATAAGCAATCTAACTAAATGCTTTATTTTGAGCAGGCTTTTAAAAATAGGCAAGCATATATGTCTGATAAACAGAATTTAAGATTATAAACTTAAGTATATCTTACCATCAAAGTTTGTTCCCAGTATGACTTGTGACTGCCAAGTTCCTTTCGATGTACTTCAATCACCTGTCTAAAGGTCACGACCTTGTCTTTGTACTGTGACCTCAGATTTATGACAAACCCATTGAATTGATCCTAAAGAGAAAGAATGATTACAAAAACAAAGAAATAAGACTATGGGAAGGAGTACCGGTAGTAAATTGCAACAAAATGCAATACTGGTATAATGAAAAAAACAAAAGCTTTATAAATACCAAGATTAAACTAACTCACAAATTCAGCACATGTACAAAATCTGAATCAAATAATCTAATTGCCATGATGATTCTACATGTACACCTTAAAGGTAAAGATCAGTTTTGGAAATGCCCCCCTCTCAAAAAATGAAATAGAAGCTCTTATGACCTAACATGTGAAAGAATATGTTTTGACTAATACGTAAGGATACAAATTTTGCCGAGAAACCGCCTACTAGTTGATATATTTGGTAAAATATTATATCTATTTGGACCTGATAGATATCGCGCACGTAGTCCCATATTCATTTTTCTGTGTACAGTGCTTGTAATTTTACCAAGACTGGGCCAAATTTCTTATCATTTTGATGATTCAGGAACCTTGCAGTACACACCAATACTTATATGCTAGATGATCAACCTTTTCTGATCGATTCCACAACGTTTCTTTCACAATGCAATCGCATGACCATAACTGGTCTTTATCTTTAAAAGATGATATTGAAGTTTACAGAGAGAAAAAAGGTAAATGAAGATATAATTTTAGCACCCTGAAACAGATCATTCTGTGGCTTGAACGAGAATAAATGGAATAAGATTTGAATGAGAACAAATATTGGAATTTCTATTTCAACAATATAGGTGTTAAAATCATTCCACAGAGAGCCTGTAAAGCTTTTTAAACAAGGACACAAATGATAGAAGTAAATGCAAAACCTCTAAAACACAAAAATCATTAAATATGCACCTGTGTTTGATCCTCAATCTGCCTATAACTATCCTGTATTTCATGAACGATGCGTATGTGATTTCCCTTCATTTTCTTCATATCTTCCATCACCCTTGCGATGCAGTCCCTTGCGTAGACGAATGGGACATAAGCCTGCTGCTCATGTTCCATTTGGGGAGGGGTCACGCGGGACCGAGATGTCGTAGATACGAGGCTTCGATTGTCTGAAAGATACGGATGGAGAAAAGCAAACTGGTTTCAAACACAATAGCAATTCAGGTTTCAATCAATGCTTATATACTAGTACAGTATATGTGCGGCCATTTTCACTGCACAAAAATTTTTCACTACACAAAATTGAGTGATGTGTAAATTGTGATTCAATGATTTAGAGGCATGAATCTTTTGTGAGCGTGAACCACTCCCTAAATTTGTGAACATTTTAAACAAGTGAAAGTTTCTGGATTTACAGTGGACACACTGGCGATATCATATGGGAAATCCAGAGAAAACATCTGGCCTACTTTTGTTTCACATACATGTAACTCATGAAAAGAATATGTGTGGCAGAGAGACAAGAAAGAAGCATACGTCAATGGTAAAATTAAATGATTTTTCTCTATTGGTAAATAAACAAGTTACATGTACATTGTAACTCACCTTCTTCATGTCTTGCACTTGTCGACGGCATGACAGCTGGTGACCTTCGACCTTCCATGACACCACTAATCCTGTGATCCTCTGATGCCTCCCTGACGCTGATGACAGAGTGCATGCTGGGTACACTCCCTGTATGTCCTCCCTCACCGGGGGTGCGTGTCCTAGAGGAGGAGCGGGTTTTCTGGGCAGTTTTAGGACGATGTCCTGTATCGTCGTGGAGGTCGGCCATGCTTTGATCACTCCATGCTGTTTGAGATACAATATATGGCAGTACAATATAAAAACTACTTTTAAGTCTACCATATGCTTATCAAGCAGGTACAATTTCAATTAATGTTCATCACTCAAAACAATAATTCTGAAGCAACAGACTCAAATTCCAATCAGAAATGAAAATATTTTAATTCTCATTGTAGCTATAGCTCCTTGTATTTGTACATTTGTTGAATTGAGGAGAATTGTCAATCTGACCAGGACTGTCATTTCTTGAAGTATATTTCTTAAAAGCAAAAACATAAAAATCCAATGACTAACCAACCTTCCATAGGCTCTGGAGTGTGACGCACGGAATCAACGTTAGGCAGGTCATCCTCCGTGGGCATGACCTTTGACTTCTTTTTACCCATGATGCCATCTAGCGGACTCAGTCTTCCACTGCTTGGGGTTATAGGTCGTTCTAAAAGATTCCCAGGGCTGGGGGCCCGTGGTGAAAGTGGTCGATGACCCTGCTTAATTAAAAGAGAATAAAAAAGAGTTAGTCACCTGTTAAGAGTGTGCTTTTGGCCCAGTAGAGCAGGCATCGTCATCTAAGATGCACACAAAACACAATATGCATGTAACAATAAATTATTAAAATGTTTCTTTACCGGCAGTACCCATTAACATATACTTCACCTGGGTGGTGATTGGCAAATGTAAATTAATGTCTTGGTAAAGGACACAAGTGCCACGGCAGGACACAGAAGTTAATGCCTTTCTATCTCTGAACCAACAATATATTCTGACAATGCTCCGACAATTCAAAAGTTTTTTTTTAAAGAAAATGTTAAATAAAACACTCACACTTGTCAGCCCATCATTTTCAAAGTCTCTGACCGATGTCAGACTACCTGATACAGGTGTTAGGCGCTGTACTGGAGTTGATACTCTATCTATCTCTTCATCTCCATCAATATCCTGTCCTAACCATGCTGCAAAATAAAAGAATTAAACAAAATTGTACATACAGTGTACACAGCAATATCATATGCTAAACTGACAGCATCGTTTGATTTGCACTGATACTAAATAACTACATGTACTCTAACATATGTGTACACAATGTACAATGCTGACACTATCTGGTCTTTAAATTAAACATCAGTAATTCTCATGAAACTTGTTTGTTCAACTCAGAATTTTGAAAATCAGAACTATTTAGGCAGCCCTGTACAAACAGAATAAACAAAATATTAGTATAGTTTAAATTGACAAGTTCACTTGGAAAAGTAAGAGTGATAGAGGTGTAGATTTATTATAAATGGGAGAAGCCTTCGCTTACAGTTGTGTGATGCTGCGGAGGGGGGTCTCTCTATCTCTGCCTTAGGGTTCAGTGTGGGTGCTACCCTCGGAACAGTCTTCTTCTTCCTATTGGCTGATCTTTGAGTGGTAGCCATGGTGACAAATTTGTCCTCTAGCTCAGGATGATGTCTTTCACTGTCTTTCTTTAAATGTTGGTAGACCTATGGTATAGACACAATTAAAAGAAAATATCAATTAGAGAAAATGAAAATTGTCTACATATATAGTTCCTATCTTTAGAATCAACAGAATGTCCAGCATCATTTGCTATTAGATGCACCATTGGGGAGGTAAAAGAAGCAATCAAGCAAGATGATGAAAAAGACAAATACAAATTAGGAAAAGAAGGGAGGAACAGCAACATAGTCTACAACAACAAGTACAAGAAAGAAAATAAAAAGGAATTAAGTAATAAGTTAAATGATTAAAAATGCATTAAACATGTTTGGTATTCTTAATCATTTCAATAATGATATGGCAAAACTAAAAGTAGAAAGCCAATTGTTAACTTGAAAAAATAAAGTTAATTGATATTTCATAAATGATTAGAGTAGACCCGACCTAGATCTAACTCATTTAATTGACCACCGCTAGCACTAGCAGTACTCTATAATACAGTTAAGATTCATGTAATGGTAAAACATCGCCCTAAACGTAAGTTCACCAAACAAGAGCCATTTTTTTTACAATAATACATTACATGACACTGATACACGCACTACCAAGGCACTACCACCACAATACCACCACCATACCACCACCACCTCCAGCTCCAGCGCCATGCCCGCACAAGCACATTACAGTGCACATCATGATCAGTCAGCTCAGTCATCAGGTCATGTTCGCAGATATTGTACTCTCTTGTTCTGAATATTACAACACGATAACATTAACAGTTTTTAACACACTACAAACCTACTGTATTAAATTTCTTGAATCCATGGTAACAAATTGAGCTAAAGCATTGATATAATTGTAGTCAGATCTGAACAATATCCTATTTTAAGTCCAAAACATGGTCGCATTACTCCCGGAAACGATCCACCATTTTGGTCCAGCGGGTCCAGTTGCTTGGCAAAGCTGTCATTATTTACAGCGTGACGTCATATGTCTATTTATTATGCTAATGAGGAAAGTGCAAAGGCTCAACTGGTATCTTACGGTGTGCGAACATTGCAGACAATAGGTTATTTAAACCCATATATGTGTTCCTATTTTGGTCAGCGATTCTGTTTTGTGTACCAGGGAGGTGACAACATCCCTTCATCTTTGAGCCTTTGCTGCATCAAAGCCTGCGAGTTGCAGGTTGATAGTATTATGATGTACATCTTACTGGATCCGGGCAATAACTCGACTGATTGTTAGAGTAATCCCAATCGCAGCTCAGCTCCTTGTAAGCTATACCGGACTGTCAATCTTGTCGATTGATTGATTGATTTTTATTCGACAAGCTTCCAACATACAACAATATACAATAATAAAAGATCAGAAAAAAGTCAGCTTGAAGAGGATAACCCACGAAAGCTCGAGGGCTTATTTCCAGTGGGGTCCCTTACAGACATGAGTTGTATACATTTAATAAGTTAAAATAGTAACAATTATTTACAGACAGATAAGAAAAATAAAAGAATTAATTATTAAAGATAATAATAATAACAACATTAAACTGATGATAGAAATGATAATAAGTACAAGAAGAAAAGGAAGAAGGAGAAGAAGAAAAAGAAGCGGCCGGAGGAAGAAGAGGAAAATAATGATGAATTTGTAGAATTTCTATAACGTACAAAAAGGGTAAGCGGACACTTTTTTTTTTTGTCTCGAAATTTGAAAATTTGAAGAAAAAAATTTCGTTGGGGGGGGGGGGGGTAAGGTCAATTTACGTTAGCATGTCAGTATGATGTCAGAGACAATAGGGACTTTTAGATTTACGTGGACTGATACGTGTGACTTCCATTCAAGGCAGTGCATTAAAAGGACGTCGACCGTAGCAGTCCACATTGTCTTCGTGCAAATCTAAAAGTCCCTAATGAAGGTGCTTAGTGCACGGGGGAGGGAGGAGAGAGGTTGATTCGGTATATTAAATAGATTTTCTACATTTTGTTGTATGGTTTGTACTTCTGTTCCTTTAATTGGTTATAATGTAGATGCTATTTTATGTTCTCTTTTTTCACAAGTGCGCCTTGCATGCACTACACGCTTTAAAATCTCCTATACAGGTATCATCAATATTATTGTTGTTATTATTGCTATTATATTATCAATGTATGTAGGAGAGAGAGGGCAATATTTTAAAAAAAACTACCTAATACATGCATGTGATATTCCTTATACGGTAAATTTTCCATTTTCTGTAATGACTATCCTTTTCTGTTCGCGATGCTATCTTTGTTTCTATTTGTAGGCCTATACGTTTTATTAGCCTATTCGTATTGATAAAATTAAGTATATCATTACATTCACTTGCAGTTCAAAAAAAAAGGAAAAAGGGATAGCTCGGATCCGACGCCAATACTGATCTTTTTCTGTATTGGAAGTTTGCATTTCCACATGAATTGAATCCCTGTCCAGTCGATGTTTTGTCTTTGATTTATAACAAACAAATTTCAACATTCTATCCAAAGACTACCAATTTTTCACATTAAGAAAAAGAAGATAAAATGCTTCTTCTTAGATGGAAAACAAGCATACGTTAGTTAATTACTACAATTTTAAAGGTAATAGTTTTGGTATGAGGTCATGAAATTTGGTTCAAATGAACATATTGGAAGCAAATGCGATGCTACAATATTCAATTGTCGCAGTTGAAATAGAATCTAAAGTTATGAAATTGTAAATACTAAACTCTTTATGTTGTATAGCTCCCTCTCAAGGTCAAGTTATTAGTTAAGCTACAAAACAATGTTTCTTGATTGAAATCGACCGAATAGCTATTCCCGTTTGGAAATTATATATCACAACTATTATTCTGAGATTGTCATGCTCGCAGCTACCATTGTATGGCCGCATAGGCGCTATTTGAAATTTATCAAAATTTACCGGGAGCACCGGTAAATTTTTATATTCAATTTTACTCGAAAGCAGAAGTGTTTTAGGAGCTAAATTTTCTAGTGCTTATAATACATCCACATGGGCATCCAAATATGTCAAAATTGAAAAGAATCACTATCCACCCAATTTTTAAAATTTCCCAAAACTTTGAAATACCTTTAAGAACCGGTAGGCCTTAAACAATATTTCTTAGTATAAACGAGGTCATAAATTACTAATTGCAATTCCAACAACCTACTATTCAGAATGGTCCTGAAAAGTGTATTTCTTTTTCTGAAGTAGGCCCGTAGTTGCTCAAGATTACACGGCATCGGATTCAAATTCTTTAGTATTCAGATCTGCATAATTATTCGTATTGCTTTTATATCACACGGTGACAGTTTTCTTTCATTTAAACAGATCAAAATTTAATGGTGTATATCTTCACCATGCAGTGTGCTGATTTTTTGATTTTTTTTTTTTTTTTTTTTTTTTTGGGGGGGGGGGGAGGGGCTAGGGGCAGTTGTCCCCCAATAACATTCAAACATGGTTTATTTATAATTCGATACCATGTGATTTACAAATGTTGCTGAAATGACATGATCTTCCAGGGTCCCCCCCCCCCCCCCCCCAAAAAAAAGTCTTTGTTTCATTACGCCACTGACCAGGATAGCCATTCTTTTTTTTAAATGTTTATCGATCATTAATTGTTGATATGTTTATCATTGTTATGCTAACGTAACATTGATACTATTTTAATCATGTTTGTACCCTCTTACCCCTAGAGGGGATCGATATATATTCAATAAAATCTTACAATTCCACTTAGAAGGAATAGATGAAACAAAATTTGTATAACATATTTTTCTCATAAAACTACCGTTTGATTGGTACGATGTGACCAAAAGAGAGATTTTCTGCACATTCCGTCTGATAAGGAATGCTGTACTAATATTTCTACTTTACAATGAACAAAATCACATACGAGACGAGTTGTGCACTGGCACACCCGGGCTATCTTGACTATATAGGGGGTACAGTCAGGGGTCTCCAAAGCAGAAAAAGCCTGCGAAAGGGGGTTTATAAATGTTGGCAGTCCTGAGATAGGGGTACTTTCAAAGGGAGGGAACAAGCATACGCGTACCCTAAATAATACTGAGTGGGGTGGGGGGGGGGGTGCACGCCATGGAGAATGGTCAAACAGCTAGATACTGATCTAGGGGAAATCATAACTATTGGCATAACGAGTTATGCATAATTTGTCAATTATTGTAAATGGGCATTTTACTTAATAAAGAAAGAATATGTTTACATGGAAAGTATAACAAAATACTAGTACAGAGTAGTGATGTCCTATTTTAAATTCCAAACTCCTTGCTTTTTCCAGCACAAAATGTATTTGATTTTTTCTCCTTTATCTGTTTTTTTGTTCACTCAAAGACACCGTTCAATGCTTGCACGCAAAGCCAAAAAGCGAAGATCGTGGCTCTTCGCTTAGAAAGGCATAGATCTACATTTTGAGATTAAAAGATTATGCTAAGGTAATTGTCAGTACTCTATTTTAGTATTGTCAAAGGTAACCAGCAACAATGGATAAGGTGCAGTTTAATACACAGGTAATTGACGTTCTTTTGTCGTTTTAACGGTATTAAAAATGTGAAGTGATAAGAAAAATGGCTGTTGCTGAATGATCCCATGTATCAGTGCTGATTCAATGGGGCTCCGAACTCGAGTAGTGACGGGACTCTCCCGAATGAATGAAGTGTATGTTGGTGTGTGACTCCCTGTGCATATATTAATAATATATTATATTATAATAATAATATTAATATTAATATTAATATTATTATAATAATAATATTATTATATAATTATATGGATTAGATTCTCCGGTCGTGTCGTTGCAATGATATGAAATTGACAACTATTATGAACAGAGTTTAGTTCTCATGTAATACTGCTCAACTGCAGAATACCCCGCACATTTGAGCCGCTTAAATGACATTTTAGTCCAAAGTTTGGTTTTGAAAGTCTTCACACCATCTTTTTCTTCACAAAAGCAGTTAATTTATTATTAAAACTAAAATCAATACCTCGGCCAATGGTACATCCGTACATGTCTTAATAATAGATTGCAGAACTTTGTAAGTTCTTGAATTTGTCATTTTTTCAATTGTGTTTTTGTTTGTTTCTCTCTCTTTTTCTCTCTCCCTCTCTCTCTCTCTCTCTCTCTCTCTCTCTCTCTCTCATTACTCTTTATTTTGTTAAGATGGTCAACATGAGGAAAACGGTGAAAAGGGCAAAAGTACAACTTATTCACCATTTAACACGTCAAATCATGGTCGTCAGAAAGAAGAAGTAAGTAAAATATTTTTTTAGAGTTTGATTGCATCTAGAGTAAAGGAGGGTTTTTTCGGCCACTTAAGACAAAATCCTATTTTTTGGACTCTTTACTTCCTATTTATTATCATTTCTTGTTCAAATCATGAAGCAAATATTATTATTTTTTAAACAAAAAACAATCCCAGAAAAAAATCACAAATTGCCATGACAATATTCATTTCAACTTTCACTGTTTCTGAGTCATTATCTGCATAGCTAACCAGTTTTTGGTCGCATGTACAAAATCAATAGGAAGTGCGCGCTGTGCGTTTCCGCGCTGATCTATAGCACTAGCGGGCGGAGCAGGTATCCCACACCGGAGCTCGCCATGCCGAAAACTAGTACTGCAGTGATCGGAAATTGGAATCTGAATTAGACAGAGATATCGTGTGTGCGTTGCGGTGTCCGGCTGCATTGATTTAATACATGCGATGAGATACTTTTGAGCTTGTGACTCACACAAAATCGGGCTCTAAATCTGAAAAATACTTGAAATAAAGCTCATTTTATGGTACCCATATTTCTTACAGACACGCGTAAGATACTCAATTTTTCAGATTCGGGTAGCAGGACCGCCGATTACATCACTAAAATGTGATATTTTAGGATATATTTTCCATTGCAAATGTGGTTCTTCAGTGACTCTGGCATAGTATGGTATATGGGGTTCTCTGGTTCTGGTTCTCGATTTTACTCCGACAAAGCGGGATCCCGCATCACGTCAGAGGGCTGACCTGGGGATTGACCTGGTGGAATTATTTCCGTTTGGTGTTTGTGAAAAAATCGCAGAGCCTTTTCTTAAAAATATCTATGTTTGGGGCGTCTAGGATGTAATGAGGCAGGTCGTTCCAATATTTAACAGTCCATGGGAAGAAGCTATTTGAGTAAATTGTTGAGTTGGTTCTAGGTCTCTGGAAGTGTGCGCCTAAGTTGGCAAGATGGTCTGGTTAAGTAGGGGTTCCAGTCAACGTCTACAAGGTTTGCGTTGATTTTGTACATCATGTTGAGTCGGGCAATCTTTCGTCTGGTCTCGAGGTCAGTCCACTGGAGAGAGGTTATCATGGCTGTCACGGTCGATTCTCTTGAGTAGTCAGTGAGGCACATTCTATCAGCAGCTCTTTGGACCATGTCAAGCTGATGTTTTTCTTTTTGTGTGCTAGGGTACCATGCAGTCATGCCGTACTCTAGTTTGGTTTGTACAAGTGATAGATAAAGTCGTGATTTGACGTCAACAGTACATGCTTTAAAGTTGCGTCGGATGACTCCCAGTACATATGTGGGATATGTGATATGCTATTATGTGATGTATTTTAAAGGGATTTTACCATGCATTCAACGGACCAGCCGAAAACTGGTGATGGTCGATTACCCCCTCCTTTACTCTAGGTCAAAACATCATTTTTCTTCATAATCAATGGGTTTTTTTTTTTTGTAATTAGATGTTCCCAGGATTTTGCACAAGGTATACAACAATGAGAAACTTGAAAGTGGTATATAAAAATATTCTTTCACAAATTTATATTCGTACTTGTATATGAATAGTACATTGTTACTATCATGATTCATATTGAGAGCCGAAATGGCTTTACTCTCATATTTTACCACAGAGTTAACACCCTTTTGGTTCTGAAGTCTGAACAGACTATTTTGGGTCATTCTATGATGTTTCTCATTCTGGCATGCTTTATTCAAGTTTATTGCATTGATCAATGCCTTTATTTCACTACCTGTTTTTTTATATTGATTGCAGACAAAGAAATTGTATCCTTCTCACAAAAGGCTGCCATTGAGATATACAGTACTCTTCAAAAAATTGATTCAGGGGTGAAAAAATTACATATACATGTACATATGTACATATTTTTATACTAAATTCTTCTTTCACATTTTATTTAATCTAGGGGATCTGGGCAGCAACTTGTAAAGAATGAACGGAGGGCAGGGCGGCTGGTGAAAGAGATTGAAGTAATCAAAGACCTCCCATGTGACGAGGTCACCATGTCAGCCGTCATCAATAAACAGTCACTACAGGCTGTGTTGGACAATGTGAGTTTCCTTCATGAGGACCTGAAGATTTCCTATTCAACCTAATGATCTTACAAAATGTGGCATCTGAAATGTACAATGCTATTATATGGGTTATATTGTTATTATATTTTTTTCGGGGGGGGGGGGGGGTTGAGTGCCCTGACGCTGAGATTAAGTATTTATTTATTTTAGTGTTGTGGTCTACTGGATAAGATCATGAACACCGGATCACATGGGATGGTTTAATCCTTACCATTGCATGTTGGTTCTTTACCACTCTTAACCCAAGTGGGGTGTATTGGTACTCAGTAGAATGTTAGAAATCCCTTGAATATTTAAGCACCTAGCCATGGTAGCTTGGCTAAAGCAGTGGTACCAATTTGTTACTTATTTCATAAATTATTTGCATTAAGCAGAGTAGAGTCTGTTAGTATAGAAGATGCAGAATAGAAATGTATCAAGTACTATTGAAGTAGTAAAACAAATATATCAGCTCAACTGCAGTGTAAAGAAGCTGAAATTAATAATCGTATTACTGGTAGATTTTCATATTATGCCCACATGACATACATGTTTATGATTTGGTATCATCGAGTTGGAATAAGAATTGTAATGCCTTGTTGATTTCATTCACTACAGGGAAACTCTACAGCAGAGCAGCGTGGTACAGCCCGCCTTATCCACCATAAAGTCATATCCCAGCAAATAGCTACCTTCAAAGGCAAGTGGTCATTATGTAGACATGCTTATATTAGTTGGGAAATTATGCCTCAGTGAAATAAGGCATCACATTGCACCTTGGTATTGGAATGCTACAGAAACACTTTTTGCTATACTGTATGCAATGTGATAGTTATTGTACGCAGTAACATAGTGACGTGTTTGATTCATTTAATTATTACATACTGTACACATGTGATACATGTATGTTGTAATTATAACAATAGACTTAAAATCTGTTATGGGCACAATGAGGTTACATCATAATTGTAGGTGAAAGAACTGCTCATGCTGTTGTATACAGATTCACTAATTTGCAATATACTGTCTGCACTACAGATTTTGGTTTAAATTTTCATAAATAATTTTTCATAAATAGACATTTGTTTGAGTATCATGTTCTTTTTCTGTGTGCAGATCTTGTCACAGATGATCTACTAGAAATTGGGAAGAGGAAAGAAAAACTACTGAGTAGAACCGAAGAAGGAAATACAAAAAAAGCAGATAGAAGAAGATCAGAATCATCAAATGAGGAGGAGGAGGATTCTTTGGAAGAAGCCGACAACGCCAGTGAAGCAAGTGATAATGATGGGGATGAGACAAAGGCATCTCCATTTCTAACAATGGACACTGGAAGATCGAAAAAATCAGAGTCGACAAGTCTGTCGGAACAAAATCAGCAATTAAGAGAACAGATGGAGAGCAGGCATAAAAAGTCTGGATTCTTCACGACAGCTCAAAGCAAGGAGGACAAGTTGCAAGGAGAGAGTGATGATGATGAAGAAGAGGAGAGTGAAGAAATGGATGACGATGAGGAGGAGGAGGATGATGTGGAGAGCATAGAAGACATGGATGATGACATCGATGACATGGGAGAGAACTTCAACTCAGAATTCAGGGAACTCTCAGCAGAAATCAAGAAAGGAAAGTACAGTGGACACGTGGAGAAAGAGAGGAAGAAATCTAAAGGGTTGGACTCCTTGTTTGTGGGTAGATTATCTGGAAAGGGCCATGATTCTGGTGACAAGACGATCAAAGGCAGGAAGAATCGACCTGGGCAGACGGAAAGACATAAGTAAGTGTAATTTAAATTTAAGAATAATTTGGGATGTCATGGTATTATCTACATTTCACCATTGACAACTGAAAATGAAAAGGGTTGTATGGTCCATTAATCTATGTAAGAATGCCTGTAATAAAAGATAGACTATTTATAGCCTAATTATTGTTTAAGGGCTTAAAAATCTTACATGTTCATCTAATGTTTTTTATTTGTCATGTCATCATAGCAAAAATGTACCAAATGGCTTTATTTGGAATTGGTCTTTTTTATAGGACTTAAAGTCATAGTACATGCAGTTTATCTCCATATTACATAAACAGTGTATATTTACTTGCATTTTTAAACCAACCGATCAATCTCTTAAATGATGGCATGTTTACATCTTCCCTCTTGTAGGATAAACATCAAGAAGCAGATCAACGTTTTAAGGAGACCCTCAGGGAAGGAGCCTAGAGAGGGCAGCAGACATGTGGCCCTTGTGGATCTACCTAGTTTGGATGCGAGAGAGAAACAACCATCTAAGAGGAAGGTCATCCCAGGCATCAATGCTCTGTATGAGAAGCCCAAGACTGGAGGTAAGAGTTGTATCTTAAAGCATTAATTCTACTCTAAAGTTGCAGGAGACCATAAGTAATAAACATCCAAAAATCCAAGCTATATGGTCATTTAGACCCGAATTCACAAAGAAGGTTTAGATTTAACCCATAGTTTAAACCCTCATTTACATAACCCATGGTTTAAAAATTAGCACAAAATAAGCGTACCTTGCCTTGTGTGCGTCTAATATTAGACCTCTGACTTGTGTCGCACTTATTTTGCGAATAATTTAAACCATGGGTGATCAGATATACTGAAATCTTAGATATGGTTAAAGGTATGGGGCAAAATAGCTTTAAGCCCAATTTTATGATTACCGGTACCGTTATGTATGTATTACTTTTCATATTGAGCCTTTCCAGGTGCTAAAATATAGGAAGGGATCAAAAGGCTCTCGGGTATATCATTAGTAGGGGCATCATCAGCAAATATTTTCTCTGTGAACATGTCAATATCAACTTTCCCAATGTTGACATATACCTTTATCAACAAAATATCAGATTTTCTGCATCATTCAATCCATTATCCTGAATATGTAATAACATTCTAAAAAGTCAGCCAGAAAGATCATGGATCTTTCCTTGACATACTTGTAAAAGGGTACTTTAAAACTGCTCTATCCAAGTGACTAATACCAAGTTTTCTTCAGAAATGGATCTACAGAATACATAAATAACCATTTTATTGTAATTCATTGATGATAATAGGTTATGCATAATTTATTTTACTTTCCTAGAATCCTGTCAAATTTTCTATGATTTTTTCTTCATCTATTCCTTACACTAAAAAATCTTCAGATTCATCAAACGAGAAGGTGCTGCCATCCCAGCGCTCGATGGTGTCTAAGAGAGGAAGGGGAGGAGCAAGGGGAGGTGGAAGAGGAGGAGGAGCTGGTGGAGGAGGGAGATCACTCATGATGGCTTCTGCACAAGCTCCAGAGGCCCTTCATCCCTCATGGGAGGCCAAGAAAAAAAAGAAGGAGCAGGAGTCTAAGATCTTACCTTTTGAAGGGAAGAAGATCACTTTTGATGACTGATTGAGAGGGGGAGGGGCAATAGAGAAAAAGGAGTTACACCAGCTCCCCAGTGGGAACAAGCAGTGATGGGGAAAAGAGGGGGCTGCGTTACTAAATACACGGTTTTAGTTGAAGGGAAATCCAACCCTAATAGACAACTACCAGTACTCTAAAAGAAAGCAGAAAAATAGAGAGACAAACTGATGAAAGTTGTGAATTTTTGAAGTTGTAATGTCAATGTGATGTAGTGCCGGTCGACTTACCCATCTGTTCCAACATATAAAATGACTAAACTTAAACAATTTCAATGATCCATTGCTTTAATAGGAGGGTCTATTACTTTTAGAGGACCTATAACATATTTTTAGTAGAGCCCCAAGGGACAGAGAACTTATGAGAAAAAAAGAATAACAGAAAGTATCAGACTGTATTACCGGGTACTGACAATAAATTGGCCAATTTAATTTAAATATCGTGGAAAGATTTTTTTTTTAAAGACAAGGTCCAATTATCTTTCGAATTCAATGAACAATGACATCGTCCATATTATAAAGTGAAATAAAAAAGAATAACATGTGCTTCCAAAATAAATTTCTTTTGTTTCACATTTATTTGTCTCTTACTCTGCTTATTTACACATTTACCATGTATACCAGTTATGAAAATAATGTAAGTGACAATATTATATTGATTAATTAATCATAAATCTAAATTTAAATCAATAAAGACACATGAATAAGTAATGCACTTTGATTATTTCCAGTGAAATTCAGCTCGCTACATATAACACTTCTACACATTACATCCATACATTAAATACATATACAACTGTACATACCGTATACTGGTTTAAAAGTAAACCAGTTTGTACATGTACATTGTATCAAATTCATTTCACATCTGCTAATTCCGTCTAATTTGTAAAACAGAAGTTAAATCAATTTTAAGAATCATATGCACATACAAGTGTAATATCAAACTCATAATATAATAATAAGCTGGCCACGAATTGAAGGGATTATTATTTAAAGTAATGTTTACATTCACGCTTTTAAAATTATATATATTGTTTTTTATTTGTTGCATATTTGTAATAGTTATTATTCCTTTGTATTGAAAACAAAATATTCATGTACCATGTAAATAAACTTACTAATAAATACCAAAGCGAATACAAACAGTTTGAGGACTTTTCACACATGGAGTAGACTACATGTACATTTAAAAACAACAAGATGAACTGGCACAAAGTTAAAAGAAAACATAAAACGAAATCCTCTTTTTTGTCTAACACAAAATACATACCATCACATAGACTGTAATCAGTACTCTTTGATTGCAATCGAGAATATTGATACTGTCAAACCTGCTTGGGTGACCACCTGTCTACAAAGACCACTTTTTATATTTTCCTTGGGCGGTCGCAATAGACAGGTTTGACTGTAGTACACATTGATTTAAAAACTTGAAAATGATACAATTCACATCTATTAGAGTTCAGGTGAATGCATGTGACTTTTTGTACAATCAAGGGAGTGAATAATTATTGGAAATATAGCTTCTTCAAAAATTTTAAGGTCCATATTTATTCACATTTTACATTTCAGACCCAATAAACGATTCACATACGTTACATAAACTAGTGCAGCACATAATTATGGTCTAAAGCACTTCTCCGTTACAATATTCCAAATTCATGATTTTAAAAAGTAAAATTAAAGGTAATACATGTGAATTTTGAGAAATATCATGATGCAACTAAATAAAGACCGACACAAAAATGATTGTCCTTTTGATTGATTTTCATTTTCTTTTAAATACAATGATTTTTCTTCAAATTGGTACGTGTAGCACTGTAAAGGTAACACTAAGCACGTGATATCTAAAAAATGCATACAATCCGATGGAAACTCGGGTGTATCCAAAATTTGAAATTAAGGGCTTTTTTAACCTCAAAACTTTCTCCAAAACTTCAACAGTAATATGATAATCTTTTCAAGATGTTTCATAGAAAAATAGGTACAAAAAATACATAAGAAGAAATGTGCAGGCACTGTTGTAATTTGTATTGCCACACGGCGCAGCATATTATTACAAACATGTTGTGTACCAGCAATTTAACCAGCTTAGACACACCAACTTTCACACACACAACTCTACATTATAGAATATATAGTATTTTTATGATTTCACATAAAACAAGAATAAAGCTTCTTAGAAAGAGACAAAAATGTGTTCCTAAAGACTTGTGTCACTAATAATTTGTTCAATCTTCTCATCTATGTGTTTTTACTTCTTTTACTGACCTGTTTCATCTCATTAGAATGCAGTTAAAAAAGCAACCTAATTTCATGTGTAAAAACAAATATTTTTTCAAAATTTCCTGTCAAGACAACATAATAAGCCAGAAATTGCAACTACAAATGACTTATACAAACATGTACCCTTTATAAAGCAGAACATATTCACTTCACTTTACAAGAAATACAGAATAAACAGTCATGGCAAGAAACTGGTTCTTTCTGACATAAAAGAACATAATACAAATACACAAAAGTAGTAGAATAGTTTGATTTGACAATTCGAGAAATTTGTTCCGTAAGAAATTAGAAAAACATGATTATGTATCACATATCATAGCATGTTCTGAACACAAAGTTGTTCCTGTATTAAACCTATGGGAAATTGGTTAAAGAGAAGGTTGAGTTCTGGGAAGAGGTGAGAAATAATTTGTGAGTGTTATCATTGTATTATGCAAGTGTGGAAGAACATCGGACAAAAATTGTTCCCTGAAAAGGATGGCTCTTCAAATGCCTTAATATTGTAAATATGGCATGTAACATCCTAAAAAATCACGACAGATTTTTACGTTACATGTTCATGTAGTCCCATATACATCTTTCCGTGTTCAGTGCTTGTAACTTTACCAAGACTGGGGCAAAATTCTTATCATTTTGATGAATCCAGAACCTTGCAGTACACACAAACAATTATATGCTAGATGATCAACCTTTTCTGATTGGTTCCACAACGTTTCTTTTACAATGCAACGCATGACCAGAACTCAACTTTATATTTAAGCTCAAAGCGGAATCAAGATTACCGTACATTTGCTATTGATTTTTGGAAGCACTACAGTGAAATTGTTCATTCACTTGATGCTCAATTAATAGATCAAGGGTTTAAATTTTGTCCTGATGCATACCACTACACACTATCATCAAACACCATTATCATGTACACATAAAACTTTCAAGATTGAACTGTGTTACATGATTTTTTTCCATTCATGGAAATATCCATTTTGCATTTGAAGCCAACAGTTTTGAGGTAGGCAAATGTCATTTCTTTGAACTTATTTGGCAGCCAAATAAGAAACGATGGAAACAGATATATCACCTTTTTTCTCCATTATCTGTACAACAGGTCTAGGTTTTTGTTATGTTGGAAGCAATTCCCTTCATACCACAACACTTTGTAAAATATCAAAAGAAAGGTGTTTTGGTGTACAAACAATAGTGTACAAACAATAGTGTGTTGTCAATGATACATGTTATGCATTAGATCATGTATATGGATGAAACTAGATATTTCATAGAACCATCTTGGACTTACAGACATCACTCACAATATAATGTTGATGGTTATCACTGCATGAGCATTTTACAAACGCATTTCACACATGTACCAACACACAGAGTTGTGTATCATTAAATTTCAAAAAGAGTGTTCCAGTTGAAAACAATGCATCAATGTTGACAATATTACAAATTCTGTGTTAAACATTAAAACTATTAATAATTGCAATAGCTATTTAAATAAGTACAGTATATGAAGTAATGCCAACAACTATTCTACTACTGTTTTTTAATCTTTTTTTAAAAAGTTTTATTTTAACTTTCAATTTACTCTTTTGTAAGTGGGGAGGGGGAATACTCCAAACTGATACCCAGATTTTGGGTACGAGGACTTTTATATTTTGAAGGATGTTCCCATATGAAAACAGCAACACAAATTAAATAGTAAAAAAAGTGAAGACATGTGGATATTCCTAAGTCAACAACAAGTTACAAAAAAAATCTTATCTTCTAGTGCTCTATGTGATAATGTCCATATGAGATAACTTCATTGTGACTTGGCAAAGAGGATCACGAGAATAAAGTTCTCAAAGTTCTTCAACAATCCCTTAAGACAAAATCTTTCTACCAATGACCACTGGGTCAAACTGCACAGTGTGATGGGCGGTGGCTGGGCTTGAAATGAGCGAGAATCAGCGTTGATGAAAAATCGCTTGAAGGCTCTCCCGCAGTAACCCCGTTTTTTAACGGCGTTTTGATTTGTGATTCATGTTTGTGATTCTAGCTTTAAAAAAAATCGCTTGAACGCACCCTCACGAGTCCATTGACCATATCCTCAGGGTCCTTTGACCATATCCTCAGAGTCCCTTGACCGTCCCTCGTAATCTGAGCTCCTGGAGCTCCTGACAGACTCACTCTGAGATGATCCGTTTGTTGCCATCAGCAAAGATACGGATGAACGAGTGCTGCATGAGGTCCTGAGGCTTGGGACGGTCTCCCGGTTGCTTCTGGACCATGTCCTCAGAGTCCTTTGACTGTCCCTCGTAACCTGAGCTCCTGGAGCTCCTGACAGACCCACTCTGAGATGATCTGTTTGTTGCCATCAGCAAAGATGCGGATGAACGGGTGCTGCATGAGGTCCTGAGGCTTGGGACGGTCTCCTGGTCGCTTCTGGAGGCTGGGATGTAGAATAGCAATGGAGAGAAAGAAATGAAATTGAATGCAATTACAACGTACATGAACTGCAATGAACTGTAAATGACACACCTTAGACTATGAAAGTACAGTCAAACCTGTCTATAGCAACCACCCAAAGGAAACTCAAAAAGTGGTCTTTGTAGACAGGTTCCTTTAGTACATGTATGTTTCAATGATAAACCATTTTCAAGGGAAACAAAACATTTGGTCTTTGTAGACAGGTGGTCACTAAAGCAGGTTTGACTGTAATAGTAAGGGAATCACAATGTGTTCAAATGGACAGTGGCGGATCCAGGGGGGGGGGGCCCGGCCCCCCCCCCCCCTTGAGAAAAAAATCATGTAAAATCACGTGATTTTTACCTTTTTGGGGAGCTGGGCCCCCCCCCCCTGGCGCTCAAGGGGGGGGGGGGGTGCAAATGGAAAAAATTTTGAGGATCAAAAAAAAAAAAAAAAATGTGCTCACTACCCCCCCCCCCCCCCCCCACTGAGCGAATTTTTGGCCGGCACGTTTTTCAAATTTTCGGGAGCAAAAAAAAAAAAAAAAAAATAAATAAATTGTGCTCTGTACCCCCCCCACTGAGCGACTTTTCGGCCGGCGCGATTTTCAAATTTTCGGGAGCAAAAAAAAAAAAGTTGGGTCCCCTCCCCTAAGAAATCCTGGATCCGCGCCTGCAAATGGATACAATTTCAGAGACCTTTATTTAAATGGACCATATAATCAATTAAACTTAATGCTTATTACATATCAACAGCTAAATTCACATTCACAGTTACAACATAATTACAAAATGTTAATGATAAATACCTTTAATGAGAGAAACTTTCATTCATTGTTCATCTTCATACAAATATCGCATATTATAATAATTTGTAAACCTATTTTGACATTCAAGAATGAAAATGTGATTTTTGTTTGTCCAAAGATATTTGGTTACAAGGTTGAAAATAAAAGGTTTAAAAACTAAAAAAAAAATCTTACCATCTGTTCACAAAGTCAACAAAGGGTGCTGAGAACTTGTCACTAGGTAACCTTGGTGGATGCTGAAGAAAGAAAGAAAAAAAGACAAAAGAATTTTAGCTCTGCAGGCAATTTCATTCAATCTCAGCAATATTAAGGATTACAGCAATCTAGGGCTAGAATAGGAAAATGTAGAGAGCAACTTATCATTTTACCCCCCAAATTGCAATCTCTTTTAGAATCACAAGCTAAACAGAGAGCAATTGGAATGCTGACATTACATGGTTCATTAATTTTATAGACTAATGTCATGTGCAATGCTTTATAAACTTACGATATTAAAACTAAACCTACATGCATGCTGTTGCCACACTCTTGGACAATAACTGAGTTATAAGAGCAGAGAGTGTAAGATATTTAACAAGGAGCTTACCTCTTCCACGATGCATTGTAGAAGCGCTATTGGCTGTGAAATAAAAAAGGAAATAAAAAAAAATCCACAAAAGGAAAACAATCATTTTTCTTTATCTAGTTTACTTCAAGTCATAACAAGACAAACGTATAAACACAATACAGTAGATTAGAGAATGAAATTATCTTATATGTACAGTTAACAGCTAAATCATCTGTAGACAGTAGGCTTGCGGTTGCACCATGTGAGAGAGGGGGGGGGGGATTGGGGAGTCCTGAAAAGGATTCTCTGTAAAATTTCTCTCTTCACTGTGTGTAGTCCTGAAAAAGACTGTTTGTTATCTTTCTTAGCTTGTAGTTATAAGGAGAACTATAGCGCGGGTTGGAGAGGATGGGTGGTAGGAGTGGCAGCATCTAAATTATTCATACCCTTCCTTTGTTTAATGATGTGAAAAATTGGTTTGTTCCTGATTTATTTTCATGGGAATGTGACATTTTAAAGCTAACATCTGCAAGTATTCAACAAAGGCCCTAACTCAACCAGTCCTCCTTTCATGCTTGAGTTACGAAAAACACCCCCCCCCCCCCCCCCAAAAGAAAAATAAATAAATAAATAAATAAATAAATAAATAAAATTAAAAAAAAATAAATAAATAAATTAAAAAAAATTAAAAAAATAAATAAAAAAATAAAATAAAAAAAATAAAATAAATAAAAAATAAATAAACAAATAAATAAATAAATAAATAATTATTTTTTTTTAAATTAAAAATACAATTTAAAAAAAAAAAAATCATAAAATAAACAAGGAGTATGAATAATCATGTACATTCATATCTGAGTTTGCCAGACAGGCCTACTGAATAGTTTTGATTGATCTACCAACATAGACAGGTATTAGAAAATATCAGTCAGCATGTGAACAACAAAATAGTCAAGGTCAAGGTCAAGGTCATGGAAAAGGTGAATATGTGTTTTCTTGGTGCATCCAGGATTTCTGTCATGGTTTAACCAGGTTAAAACCATTGTACAGATTTTATTCATCGAACTGATTCTCCCATTTTCTTTCTTCATTTTAATAGTGTTCTCTTTTGAAATCAAATTAATGCATGTGTTATGTTTCTTTCCAATCAAGACATATTGAAACTTTTGATTTTCTCTACTGAGTATAAACAAAAAATAGCTATAATGATGAATAAGTATACTATACAGTGTGAGTCAAAAAAAAGTTTACATCTAGAAAATTGCAAATTATTTTAAAATAATGAACAGTAAATTATTATACATCTTATGATAGAGTGTTTTATCCCAAATCATTTGGTATCATTTTTGTGTGGTATGTGTTCACGCTTGGATGAACACGAGGCATTGTTTGCCAGGGTGCAAAAATTGACTTGCGCCAAAGTTGCTTATGTCATGTATTAAAGTGAGAGAATGAATTAAATGTATCAAATGAGATGCATTGCATAGGCTATGCTTTTTGCAGAAGCAAAGTCACACACACCACTACAGGGAAATGCTGTCAACCGTGGACCAAGTTTAGTACTTGTGTGTGTGTGCGTAGGTAATCACCAGCAACCGCGGACCACTCCATAGAAAACTACATCAAACCGCGGATGTACCTCCTATGGGATGATCCAGGTAGTGAGCGCATCTTCCGCGCAGTCAAAAGGGGGCGCTGTGACATTTCGCGATACACATCGGACTGATCCAGTCGATGTTGCCTACACGCTGTGACATCTAATATTCAAACGCCCCCTACGTCGTAAATTTGATACGGCGGAACCGGTATCGCAACCGGGGACGGTCCCCCATTGCAGGTACGCTTGCAGTTTGAGGTAGTTTTCTATGGAGTGGTCCGCGGTTGCTGGCGTTTTCCTACGCACATACACACGCATACAAATTTTGTTTGATATTTAATATTCAATATTTGATATGTGTGGCATTATTAATTTTGTTAGGGATGTTATTTGGATCTGCAAAGACCGAATTAATACCCAAATCTCAATTGTTTTATTCAAACATGACATAAGTAACTTTGGCGCAAGTCGATCTTTGCACTCTCACAAACAATGCCTCTTGTTCATCCAAGCGTGTACACATACCACACAAAAATGATACTAAATGAATTCGGATAAAACACTCTTTCATAAGATGTATAATAATTTACTGTTTATAGATGATTTTAAAAATAATTAGCAATTTTTCAAGGTGTAAACTTATTTTTGACTCACACGGTAGTGCTTATCACTTACCGATAACTCCTGATCTCTTGGTGTTGCCTGTGTAAATGAAGACAATTAAATAAATGTTAAATGTTACCAATTAACATTTATTAAATGTGTATATTAAAACCTACCAGTTAAAGTTTCAAGAGTTTTCATTTTATTTCTCTGACAATTTTTTTCTTAGACTTATTTCTACTACTGCACTGAAAATATGTCAAATTAAAACCATGCTGATGGGCCTTTAATTTTTACACACTAAAAAAGTAAATTAAATGGTAAGTTGTGAGAAAAAGAAAGATTTAAGTCTTTGTACTTACTGGATATGGAAATCTACCAGTTGCCATCTGTTCGAAAAATATGAAAGTGGAAAATGAATGTTGGAACATGAATTCAAAAAAATATGTGATCTTATTGACTACTTTTACATGTAGATTTATAACCTGAAGATGGCATACATCAAGCACATTTTCTTAATCACTACTGGCACCATCATCTGATCATTATCATCATCATTACCATCATCATCATCATCATCACTATTATCATCATAATCATCATCATCATCATCATCATCATCATCATTATCATCATCATCATCATCACTATCATCATCATCATCATCATCATCATCACTATCGTCATCACTATCATCATCAACATTATCATCATCATCATCACTATCATCATCATCATCATCATCACTATCATCATCACTATCATCATTATCATCACTATCATCATCATCATCATCACTATCATCAATACTATCATCATCAACATTATCATCATCATCATCACTATCATCATCATCATCATCATCACTATCATCATCACTATCATCATTATCATCACTATCATCATCATCATCATCACTATCATCAATACTATCATCATCAACATTATCATCATCATCATCACTATCATCATCATCATCATCACTATCATCATCATCTTCATCATCATCATCATCACTATCATCATCACTATCATCAATACTATCATCATCGTCATCATCATCATCACTATCATCATCATCACTATCATCATCATCATCATCATCATCACTATCATCATCACTATCATCATCATCATCATCATCACTATCATCATCACTATCATCATTATCATCATCATCACCATCATCACCATCATCATCATCACTATCATCATCATAATCAGCAGCAGTAACAACATAAACACATCAGGATAAGATATCTATTTTCATCAACCTTATAAACAGGTCATTCCAAATTCAAGGCCTCTAGATCTTGCAAGCAATATATTAATCTCAAGCCTTGTTCGCACACAATATGGTACAAAACCTTGAAAATCAGGGCAAAAAAAAAAATATAAGATACGTGTAGTACTCCTCACATTTCTGCATCCCATAACGCGCAGATACCTGTACTATATGAGTATATGGAGGGTACTTGTTGCACAACTCTACCTCTTTCCACCCCCCCCCCCCACCCACCCCACTCGACATTCATTTCCTCGTGAGGTAGTTTTAAATTTGCTGCAGCAATTATTAATTTGAAGCACTTATCATATTACATGTGATGAATTAACCCCCTGACTACTGAACTATTTCACTTCACTTTCATAGGCTTCAATCCATTAGCGATTGGTTCCTGTTGTAACCAATGGGTTAAAGAGACTTTTTTATACAGAATGAGAATCCTCAGCGTATCTCACCTCTAATAAGAAGACCCCTAAGCTCCAGACTTCTGAATGCACCCCGTACTCGTCTCCTAATACCCTCTCAGGCTACAACAACAACAAAGAAAAAAATATTGTTAAAATAATGATACATGTATCATCATCACATAAACTAAATCGGCATATTTCATATACAACAAAGAGCACACAATTGTGTCTGTGCCCCCCTCCCCCTCCTTCCACGAAAACAATTGACAAAAAGTGGATTTGAAAAATGTGATAATCTTAATTGCAAGAGAATCCTGGATCCACCCCTGAAACCAGCTACTGAAACTGTGCACAATCCAAGCACGTATCTATCTAGCATGTTAAACACTGTCTGCATTCTATATTTGATATTTTCCAAGTGAATCCTAAAAGCACTGTCTGTTCTACGACATATGCTCCAGTTCTGCATCAATTTCCTGCACAGAATCAAATTCATTCATATCAACTTTCATCTTTTCAACTTTACATGTATAACACTATAACTTACCCTAAGTCTAACAAGGGGAGTGTTTCACAAAGACTAAGATCGACTTTAAGTTAGACTTAATTATGGCAGGCCATTCATACCACTAGTTGCTCTTACCATCATGATCTTTAGATAATAAAAAATGAACTATCAAAAAGGTAAATTCTGTAGATTTATGACCACGATTTGTACGTCCCTTGAGAGACCAATGCCAGTACAGGTTGAGAGAAAACAGTCCCATGAACGGCCTGCCATAGTTAAGTCCAACTTAAAATTGATCTTAGTCTTTGTGAAACACTCCGCAGATGCCTTACCGCCATGTATGCATTGGTTCCTATGTACGTCCTTGTTATCGAGCTGACTAGTTGAGCACTGACTCCAAAATCACACAGCTTGATCTCTCCCTGTGTGTTGACTAGGATGTTGGAAGGCTTCACATCTGAAATAACACCATAGGATTGATGTAGAGAAAGTCAGTCAAATACCACTATTGTTGAATGAAGGCCCTTGTTAAGTTTAGCCTTTTACTATACATTCTTTTAACAATTCTTGATGCATGGTTGTATTGTGTATTCAATATGAACTACATGTACAACCCTAACCCTATTTGGTACTTGCTCATTTTTTTTAAAATTCTCTTTTACTGTATTATTCTGCATATAAATTATTTTTCAGTAAGTTTGATTGGGTTTGGGTTAACTGGGAATTAAAATTTACTGTACGTCGATCAAGAAAATCAAAATCAACGCAGTAAACTTACCTCTGTGCATAATTTTCAAGTTCCATAGATAATTCAAGCCTTTGACAATCTGTGTAAAGGAAGTCAACCGCAAAAGAAAATAAAAATCAATATTTCTTACAAAAGAACATATACATATTTTTGAAATAGCTAATAAAAGTAGAAAAGAATAGGCATGCTAATCAGCATAACTCGGTTCACTCCCCTCCACATATTCCCCATACATGTGTTTACAATGTTTGATGACTCCACAGAATAGTGTATTTATATTCAACTTACCGAGACTGTCATCCTCCCCAATATTGATTCTGGAATGCAGCGATACATTTCTAATGAGCCTCCTGTAAGAGAGAAAATAGACAGCAGATGTAAGATGATGACAAAAATTTGGATATCAAAAGATACTGTATGTGCAGTTCAATTACAAAAAAAAGTAAATCACACAACTTAATATACCATTCCCTATATTGCAGATTTTGAGACATTTATTGAATAAAATATCAAATTATACAATATGTATGAACATGTGCAAGTACATGTAAATATTGAGTATTGATACACTTTTTTGGCTCTAAGCGAACTGAATTAATGCCATAAATGGAATTATGCCTACCATCCATGAACTCTGTACATATTGAGATCCTATTCTCTGTGAAGAAAGCACCATAGAAGCCTATGATGAAAGGTGAATCACACTGAAAAACAAAAAGACAGAAAGAAAATAGATGTGTCAATCATATCAATATGTAGCTGTAAGGGATACACAAAACAATGCAATGTGGCTACCACCACCACCAAGTTACATTACTGGTATCTGAAGTCATAATAAAAAAGAGTCTCTCAAATGCTTGTATGGGTATTTTGTTTCTACTTTAATCTGAACTCAAGGCATTTATGTGTTTGATAAAACTCCACAAGCGTACAACACTAGTTTGAATACATAGAATTAACAACAAACTACCTGCATATCAAAATTTTCAAGGCTTTGGTTTGCATCCCATACATGTACCTAAAAGCCACAAGCAAAATGCATGTACACAACAAATAGTTTCCACACTTTTGTTGTTTGCAAAGGCAAACTGGCTTGATTAACGAAAAGTGAAATATTCCACATTTGCTGCTAATAATGACCTTCATACAGTGCACACATTGTGTACATGTAGCTGTCACTTGCCAGGTTTTGGGCCATGCTTTTTTGCAAATTATGCTTTTATGACTGATGTCAAGGGAAAGAAAATTCCAATTTATTACTGTCATATATGAGGTGTACAACTTTACATAGATCTACAATTAATGTGCAATATGTACAATACCAAATGAGTGCACTCTCATTTCTCATTATCTGATTCATGAATTATGAGCCTTATAATTCTCTTCTCATGAATCATGAAATGATTTGCAAACATTTGTGAATATTTCCACTGATTATTTAATATCCTTCCCTTACACTGTAAAATAAACAAATTGCACAGAAGATTCTCTACTGCAATAAAATTCACAACTTAGTCCTAAATGTACCCAATGAAAAATTGTGCAATTGTAAATATGGTAATTGCTCAACGTATCAATAAAATCATTTTTTTGTTGTTGTTTAACATGAAAAAGATCATGTATGTAAGCAAACATGTAACTTATAACTGTTCTTGCTTGTTACAGTTACTAATTGATGATAGAATTAGAGTGATGGTTCCCCTATTAAAGGGAGTGATTATTCTTACTACCCCCATCACCTTTTCTCTCTCTCTTTCTTTCTCTCTATCTTTTTCCCCCTCTCTCTCTCTCTCTCTCTCTTTCCATCTTTCTCTCTCTCTCTTTCCATCTCTCTCTCTCTCTCTCTCTCTCTCTCTCTCTCTTTCTTTCTGCTGCTCTCCTTCTCTCTCTTAATGCAAGCCCTTCTCTATTACCCTCATCTCTGGGTAATCCCAACCAACAATTTGGATGTAAATGAGGCATTAATCACAAGCCTCCAAATTCAAATTAGTATGTATAACTATACAGCCTCATTATTTCTGGGCTAGAGTTGAAGTATAATACCTTTTCTCTTTCTTTAGAGCTGGATTTTTCTAACAGAAGTGCTTTCGATGTATATGAGATATGTTTTTAATTTAATCCTTGCCCATCAATCTTGCGTGGCTTACTAGCACTTAATAGATAATTACTTTTTGAATCTCATACAGGGAGATGCAGGTGTATGATGTATTCAACTGAGATGAATAATGCGCATAACCAAACAATACCAATAAACATCTTATCGTCAGTCGTTCATTGTTTTAAAGATATATTCTCAATGATATTGTTGAATAATAGTGAGGTAGAATCAATCAAGCAGTCATAACATTAATGCTGCATGTAACATATTCGGCTTTTTCTTATGAGAGCGATTTTCCAATTCGTTGACACATTTTCCGGTGATAATTGCTCTATGGTCTGTATTATTGCATCCTACACATATACATATACATATATATAATCCTCACCCTAACGCTAACCTAATATAGACCAACTTATAATATCTTTACATTGAACAGTTGTAATTTCACTAAAGAGACCTTCTACAACGGACAGCGAACTATGAAAACCATTACAATAAATGTACATAATCTGTATGTGCAATATACAATGAAGTACATGTATGATAAAAGAAAGGGAATATGTTAGATGAAATGGACTACAGAGGGACATTCACCTTTCTTCTATGAAATCTGTATAGAATGTCATAGCAAACTCTTTAAAATGCAACAAGCATTTCAGCTTAATCTGTGTCATTATGACTGCTTGCATCAAAACAATTTTTAAAAGCAACAGTTTGGTTAATAAGTTACAGAGATAAAATAGAAAAATAAAAAATAAAAATGGGGAGATGAAAATCTTGCAATTAGACAATTTAATTTAAAGATTGCTGCCTTTCTTAATCATCCATCGAAATGATGAAGCAACGGCAATGAGACGTTATAACTATTCAACGAGGAAAGAAGGATAAAATCTTGAAATTTATTCATGGAAACAAATCCTGCAAAGCTTAACGCCCAATCAGGAGCAAGAAAACCTTCGCTTGTGAGATTAGAGTTGTCAGAGATAAGACTGAAAGCATGGCAACAGAGAGGGATACAGGAGGGAAGAGCAAGCGAGAGAATTTTGATACAAATCTTCTAAATTAAGCATCGTAGTTGAAGTAGCTGGAGACAGTCAGTCAGTAGATGCCTGGATATTGCTTGTGATCACATGCAGAGCTTACAGTAACAACTGACACACACTTGCTTGAGGTTAGCTGGTGATATTGTGGACAAACGTCACAGTAAGTACAGATTCCTTTGCCATTGTATTGCTTCTGTACGAAAAAATGACTTTTGCATTGTAAACTGGTTCCATTACTGTAGTTGACATACCAGCTCCATGGAATGCAAAAGGTCGACCCAATAGATGAGTACAAAATGTGCAGAATCATCATTTTTAATTTTTAGAAGTGGACCATAAATTGATAAAGAATGAGCACCTTTCTATTTTGTAGGAAACCCTTTATATCACATCTCTGTATCCACTACTGTCATGACAATGTCAGTTTTAGGTGCAGGCTAATTCCTCCAGTAAATGGGGTACAAAAGCTCAAGCGTAATAGCAAATAAGTGGTATGGCTGAAAGTGACCTTGTACACTTGACATTTTTGAGAAGGGCATTATTTCCTCCGAGTGTATGTAATTCACAGGACGTGGCCTCTGGTACACGTAATTTAATGTTTCGGCAGAAAAATGGGTAGGTCCAAAGATAAAAACATAAAGAAATAGATGTATTTGTGTAGTAATATTCACTGCATGCAATGTTTCTCTTGTTATTAATGTCATTAATTATATCATCAAAATAATCACAACTACATGCATTTTCCTATTGTTTCAAGTATTAGGGTATTTGTTGCACAACGTAACAGGTAAAAATGAACCGCGCACAAAAAAGCGACAACAAAATAACAATCGTATTTGAATAATAAATCAATTATAAAGATTTATTTCTTTGATGAAGCTCTATATCTTAAATAAGTGTCATATATTATCTGTCTCATACATGTATTTATATCACATTCTACAGATACTATTGCCAGATCAACCAGGATCTAGCAACAACTCAAGTTCATTCACCCAAGCCACAGCTTGGAGAATTGTGGATTAGCACAATTTGGAATACAGTGTGCTGAGAGCAGAGGCATAAAACTTGAATTTAACAAGTGACATTGGATGATTAACAAGATGAAGCTCCAGATTCAATTTATTGTTGAGATAACGTCACTCTTCCTTCTCCTCAAGATCATCATGCTCCAAGCCACTACTCCAACGCCCACTCCTAGACAGCCTGCGAAGGATCATCCAGTCTGCAAAGGACCTATCCTCTGTCCAATCTGTCCAATCTGTCCTCCTGGACCACAGGGTATTCCAGGTGTGGCTGGTCCATCTGGTCTACCGGGCAGAGACGGTCTCAATGGTGTTCCTGGTCATTCTGGAGTTCCAGGACTAAACGGACCGAGAGGCGACAAGGGAGATAGGGGAGAACCTTGCTCGGGATGCTATGGATCGGACCCTACAGGGGGTCCAGGTGCCTTCCATAGACCAGAACAAGCCTCAAATCCAACCTTCTTGCTACAAAACCAGATGTTCCGATCGGCTTTTACGGCAGCTAGGACATTCGACCTGCATGGTCATGGGGATGGGCCAAAAGATTTGAACTTTGACCTTGTCCTAGCCAATGTCGGAGGTCACTTCAACAACAAGACGGGCCGTTACAAATGCGCCTTCAACGGAACATACTTCTTCACCTTCAGTATCGGGCACAACCGCGACACCCTCGTCATCCTCGTGAAAAACGGTCAGAAGACAGTCGGGATTCACGGGGATTCCAGTAACCATTTACGACAGTCTTATTCAAACAGCGCCATCATGGACTTGGTTTTGGATGATGAGGTTTGGCTTCAGATAGAGCCTCGGCATGCAATTAGTGGGACTACAGACAGGTTTACAAGCTTCACTGGATATCTTCTCTACCCAGCCTTACCGATCAGTGATTAGATTTCATCTAAAACAAATCAGTTTTAATACTCTGCCACACACTGCTGGATGCATACACTTTTATCTGTTATCAATAGTGCTATAGGAGTGGAGTCAAGATCTACATTTAGAAGTCAAGTTCACCTTTGCTCATCAATGCCCCTGAAATGTCACTATTTCTCTCACTTTCAAATGACAATAGAATTACAGAGTTTCTTTTGTAGTTATATGGACTTGTTAATTTAATTACTCATTATTCCTACATGTAAGTATCATTTGAGGTGTTCACACCTGTACAAGCATTGCTTTTTAGTTGACCCCTCTGTTTTTAAAATGTATTTCTACATTTGTTGTCAATGTTTATAATTGATTTATAATGTTTTGTTGGAAACATGAATAAATTGAATTAAATTGAATTAAAATTAATTGAAATTGAGGACTCTTTCAAAACTGCATGTTAGGTACATTTACCTGTACATGCACATACAATACAAATTGTAGTCCTCTCCACTGGAAAACTACACACCACTTTGGGTGGTGCTTGATATCTCACACTTTCAATCTGCACCTTAGCTATACATACATGTTTGTACAAATCATTGTCATTTAAAGGTATTACAAAGTTCTGGTAAGGGGTCATGAATTTGGTTCAAATGAACATATTAGAAGCCTATGCGATTTTACAATGTTCAATGATCGTTGTCGCGGTTGAAATCGAGTCTAAAGTAATGAAATTGTAAATAATAAACTCTTTATGTTGTATAGCCCCCTCTCAAGACTGATATTACTTTAGCTCTAAAACAATGTTTCTTGACTACAATCAACCGATTTGCTATTCCTGTTTGGAAATATATATTCATTTGAACTGCATATTCTGAGATTTTCATGATCGCAGCTACCATGGAATGCTATTTTAAATATTTTAAACTTACCGGGAGCACCAGTCAATTTTTTATTATTTAGGGGCTATATTTTCGAGTGCTTATAATACATCCACAGGGGTATCCAAATATATCAACATTTTAAAGAATTATTATCAATCCAATTTTCAAAATTTCCCGAAACTTTGCATTACCTTTAAGCTTACGTGTCAGATGGAGAAAACATTCTTTACTTTCTGATTACAAATGATTGCAGAGAGCAATTTGGAATTGAAATAGTGAACCTATTCAAAGCTGCTTTATATCATGGTTCTGTGCATAGTGGATACATAAACATTGAGATCTGGATGTACAAATGTATATACATGTAGCTCCACATTTTCCCCCTCTGAATTACTGTGAGGATTAAAAAGAAAGATTGAAACGAGGATGCCCTAATTTCCTTCAAGCTATATTATACACCTCATTATAAAACTGGAGCAAATGATGATTGCAAATATAGCAGCTTAGCCAAAGTATGTACTCTTCAAGTACTCTTGCTCTTTTATTTCATGTACTCAGTCCACGGTATTCATCAACATGTAAATGAAGAAAACTCCTTGAACATTTCTTGCTAAGTTTCTTTTTTTAAAGCAGATCATAACTTTTCTTTTATATATGATTCAGGTTGAAAAAATCTTGTTCAAGTATTAAAACAATGGGTATTTCTTGGAATTATGTGTATGTTAATCTTGTTCCTTACAAATGGCCAAAATAAGCATTACTTCTTCATTCTCTAATTTTATTTCATTTCATATCTTTATTGTTTAAAACTTAATTTGTATGAGACTTCTATGAATGTTGATGTCAAGTGGGCTATATAAGCCAGGAGGGAATCTGAAAATCTAACAGATGTCCATTTCTTTTGGAACACCCTTTTTCCTCCATTTTACCACCTTCTTTCTAAATCTAAGCACAGTGTATATATCTTATTTCAATAAGCTATAGGCCTAAATGGAATTTGCACAACACAGAAGAGAAACAATTTTTTGTTTAAAGACCAAACATTTCTTCATAGTTGTAGTGCTCAAAAATACATTTTCCCCACACCAAAAAAAAAGAAAGAACAAAATTGATGTAACGTTTTAACCCATTAGCAATGGGAAACGAGTAGTTTCTGTACAAAGCTGACAGGAATAACATATGTGAGGAGTCAATGGGGTAAAAACAGATTTGTTCTTACCTTATATAGGATCTGTAACTCTGATAAGATTTCCTTCTGAGCTTCTGGGGTGATATCTAGTGGTATAACCTGGAAAAAACAATAAAAAACAATAAATATATGAGCATCAGTCGAGAGAGAGAGAGAGAGAAGGGCGTGGTCTGAGGAAAAATATAGCAGTTACGTTCTTCAGGCTCTCAACAAGAAATTTGTTTTAACATTTATTGTATTCTTCCAAAACAAGAGAAACTTTCTATCCAGGTGAAGCATATTACATGAAATTACATAACTTATACAAAATGTATAATATAAATACATTCATTATAAAAATGCATAAAAAGTATGAATAGATAAATAATACATACATATAATACAAATCACATAGAACATTAGGATGAATGGAAGAAGACTAGAAGGAAGAAATAGAGAAGAATATAGAATGGGGGATTAAAGGAGAATGTAGCCCCGGGGAAAAGTAACTCCAAAAACCGACCTCCCCCATGATTGTGGCATTTTCAGGGCCTATGTTTGTTCGCAAGTAGAAAATAATGCATTTATTTTTATTTTGGAAAGAAGACCATATATAGTTTGGGTGATTTGAATTTGCTATGACAAAATTAGCTTCAGGCTTTAATACTTCATCAAAGAAAGATGGTATTGGCGTGGGTTGCAGTTCAATCTTAGGTTAAGTTACATTGTTGTTTGTTGTAGTTTTAGCTTTTATGGTGTGTATCATTCATTTATGAATATTTAAGCTGTAGGCATGCTAGAAGTGTTGGTTCAAGGCTTGAAGTTATGAATATGACAAATAACTACAGAGCAATTGTTGTTGCACGACATAGAATCCATTTTGGGGTGAAAATGTTTATCTGAGTTTCACTGACAAAATTGTGAAATAGCAACACAACTGATTTAATTATTTCAGTGTTGTACAGAAATGATGTTGAGCTATTTGTCAGTATCATATGTCATGAATACTTTGTACTTATTACAAAAAATGTATTTCTACATGTATCAAAAGACAGTTAACATTTTATACATTTTGTACGAGTACTTTAGTTGACAGAAACTGTGATAAGATCAATAAATCAGTGTTGATGAAAACTCATTTAGCCAGTTTCAAATCGGAGCAGTCGATGAGTGGAGTGTTACCAAGTTTATATTACGCGCACCCTTGCTCCACGTACATGATCTGCCGTGAAAAACAATGAGGTCGATTTGCTGAACATACCTAGATTTCGAAATATAATTGAAATAAAAATATAAAACATGAAACCTTGATTTTCAATTTGTCTGATGAATGGTTTTGATTTTTTTTTGAAGGAATATAATCAATGTAGACACCGTCAATGCGCAGTGCTGCCTAGAGAAGTATTCTCCTTTTTTTCATTTTGCACAGCTGTAGCGATTGCGCGCTTTTTCACTGTGGACGTGTTACCATGACAAGGTACCTCGCGATTACCGCAGACGTGCATTGTAAGTCAAACGGTCCCCGCGCTCGTTATCTCGTGCTTGAGAAGGAATGTCACCCCACATCTACTTCAGATAGTCGTCTGGTGGGACACCAAGTGACATAGATCTAAACGGGGTATAAGAGAGGGAAATGGAAGGCTATGGACAAAAGAGAGAGACAAAAAGAAGGAGAGAGAGAGACAGAAAGAAGGAGAGAGAGAGAGAGAGAGACAGAGAATATAGCCTGGGTTCAAATTCAGTTTAGACACTTTGATTGGCAAATAATTTGTCGCAGATGAAAACAAATCTCTGAGACTATCTCAAAGAATATGTTAGAAGTCTGTAGCATCAAGGATAGTGGAGATACGAAGGAAGAAAGAAAGGCCTCAAAACAGGCCAGAAACGGACAAAACGGTGCCTTGACGGTCACACATGAGTGATTTTGGAGAACAAAGATTTCAGTGACCTTGATGGGATGCTAGAGACTGTGCCTACCAATTTGAAAGGAATCGGGCAAGAGAAAAGGGCCTAGATAGGATTAACAAGCACTGCGTGCAAAATGAATGGGATTTCGGGAAGAAGAACACTAAGAAGAAGATTAAGTATTCAGAATGCAAACAAGAACAAGATATTGACGAAAGCCGCCAACCCAATGCAATGTTCAAAAGCAGGGGAAGTGACATCTTACCTTCACGGCCATGACATTATTTGTTGGTACGTGTTTAGCTCTGCAGAGAAAGAAATGAAATAGAGAGAAGCATGTAGTCAGACAATACCTTGTTTTATACCAGGACGACCATCCACAAAGACAACTTCCCCTCTAGGACAATAATTCCTGGTGGATGTTTCACAAAGATCCTAAGTTGAACTTATCGCTAAGTTGGACTTAAAAATTATGGACAGCCGTCAGCATCTTTGAAAAATATTTTGTAGAAGTTATTTTAAAAGGCATGAAATGTTAATTCAAATCATTCATATTTTCTATTATCAAGGAGATTTCATGTTCTAGATGTGGAATTTATGAAAAGTCTAAAATACTTGAATTTTTTATTTTGAATATATATATTTTTAAGGCTACAAATGGCTCTCCATAATATTCAAGTCCAACTTAGAGTTAAGTTCAATAGGATCTTTGTGTAACACACCTCTGGGCTACTATCTATACCTGTGATATAACTCTCTGAATTTTCCACAAGTTACATGACAGTAAAATGTTTATAAATTTCATTATGAGTATGCTGATCAAATACAAGATAAATAGTTTTTAAAACAATATTTCTGTTGCAAAATCAACTTTTAGATGAATGTCTAATATGGACAGCTCTCAAATATTAGTTAGACATGTATCATTGCACAAATGTCACCAGATTCGCACTTTATACTGTGCATCAAACAGACTAAAGAGATTACATCTTAAGTTTCAACGACTTACTTGTAGACTTGCCCGCTGTGACCCCTTCCTAAGACTTCAAGGTGTAAGATGTCTGTTTCTACTATCTGCACGTCAACATTAGATGGAAGAGAGAGAGAGAGAGAGAGAGAGAGAGAGAGAAGAGAGAGAGAAAGATATTAAATAAACAGAAAATATAGCAATAAAGAGACAGATAGACACATGGATAGAATAAGAAAAAGGGAAAGAGATAGAGAGAGGCAAGGGGAGAGAGGGAGGTAGGGGAGAGAGGTTGAGAGTGGGAGAGAAAGAACAGAGACAGAGAGAGACGGAAAGAGAGAGAGAGACGAAAAGAGAGAGTGACGAAAAGAGAGAGAGAGACGGAAAGAGGGAGATGGAGAGATAGAGAGAGATAAAGAGAGACAGACAAAGAGAGACAGAGAGAGAGAGAGAGGAGGATGAAAACATAGAGTAAAAAGATAGATGTCAACATAGATCAGAACAGAAAGGCAGAGAAAAGGAGAGAGGAATGAAGGATAAGATAGAGCCAAATATATATCTTTGTTAAAACAAAATTAATGTTTACTTTCTCACAACACACAAGGCATCTAAATCCTTTTCAAACTCATTCTTTTGTTCAGACTCATTCTTTGTTTAGCTATATGTTTGACATACATTGTAATTCAAGAAAAATGTTATTTGTACAGGTTGCCTCTTGTATAATTTAACCATTCCGTTGTAAACACAATACATTTATGACTACCGGATACGGTTTTCAAGGGCAGAATCCTAGATATAGAGAAAGAAATGAATGCCTACCCTGCCACTTGCAAGTATTTCTCTTAATTCAGCATCATGCCTCCTGTAGAGTGAGAAAACCATGAAAAGAGAGAGAAAATGTGTGGGAAAGTCACATCATATGAACAATTAAAGAAGAACCACAATGAATCAAAGAGGGGTATTTTGCACTATAACTCATGCATCACTGGGCAGTTAAAGTCTAAACAGGTCTGCTTACACATATTTTTTAGTGATTTCAAAAGGGTCATATAAACCTAGAATTCCCTTTTTAAGGTCGAGTCAGAACTTTACAAAGACTGATTTGAATGCTCACTAAAGATGTATACACACATAGTTAAATCACATACTACTCAGTTACATCACTCTTTGAAGTCTCTTCTATGCAAGGAAAGTAAATGTTAACACTAGTCTATGTTAAATGTACATTATTTTTGTTCTATCGGGAAGCAATGGTAATGATTTCCACAATTTCAATATGATTGAGAATGTTACCCATATCCTAAACTTATGCCACTATCTGCTCCTTTTGGCACTGCTCCTGCTGGCCTTGTGTTCACCTGATCAAAGGGTAAGACAGAAATAGAAAGAGAGAGAGAGAGAGATAGAGATACAGAGACAGACAGAGAGAGATAGAGAGACAGAGAGATACAGAAACAGAGAGAGAGAGAGAGAGATAAATAGACAGAGAGAGACAGAGACAAAGAGAGAGAGATATAGAGAAAGAAAGAGAGAGAGAGAGAGAGAGAGAGGACAAAGCAAAAACAAGAGAGGGGTGGGGGTAAAGAAAGAAAGAGACCAGGGAATGGGGGAGGGGGAGACAAATGGGTTTTTAATGTTTATAGGTTTCATTAAAGAGATGTATTATGATGCATTGAACATATACTTTTCTGCATTTACTGGCTCTTGCTGTATCTTAAATTATCATCACATAGACAAATTTTCCATCCCTCTGTAATATAAACAAGCCACCATTTTCATAATATACAGGTACTGGGATTTAATTGTCATTAATGATTAAAATCTAGTTACAAAGAGAGAAAGAGAGAGGGGGCATACAAAGGGAGCAGTATTATGTAATAAAGAGAAAGCAAATCTTCTTTATTAGGATTGTCTCAAAATGAAAACAGCTGAATCCATACTGATTCAGAGACACTCTAAATTTTTTTAGCAAGAGAAAGAAAAGTGTGGGAAAATACATGTATGAACACTGCTATTGAACGGTATGTTCTTTGTCACAGCAAATCGATATCGACACGAATTACCACTAATTATTTGTGTTTCACAGTTGGCTTTCAGAACTTACAAGTACTGTAAATCTCTGTGTATAAAGCGCACTTTTTTGCAAAAAATTGAAATTGGGGGGTGCGCCTTATACACAGGTACAGAATTTTTTTTTTTTTGCAGGCAAGTTTCGATTTATGGCACTATGCCTGACAATGTCTCCCAGCTCAGTAATCAGTGTGTTGACTCACCACTCGGAAACTACAACAACACTAAAATTTGTATGTCATCTTTCTAATAGATCTCAATATGTAGTTTATAATAATAATTCCTCAATTTTTTAATATAACAAATGGTGTACCACAAGGTTCTATCCTAGGACCTAGGTGCTCTATTGTTTTTAATTTACATTAATGATCTTACACATTCTTCTAAAAACGACATTGTTACTATTATTTGTGACAAGTTTACAAGCACAAATCAGCGCCTTCAACTGCACCTCGCTGTTAAATGAAGGTCCTTCCCCGCATGGGTTTTCGGCAACAACAAAAACCTTTTTTTTTTCTTTTTTTTTCCTCCCCCAAAATAGGGGTGCGCCTTATACACAGAGATTTACGGTATGCCATATTAAGCTATAGACAGGAAGAAATCAACAACTTGGTCTAATTTGTCATGACAATTCAATTCCATTTCCTTACACTAAAATCCATAACATAGATATCAGATAATCAGCCCTGCATTACTTTTTCTTGTTCTTTTTTGTTGTTGGGAGCAGGGGGGGGGGTGAAAATAACAGACAGTATACTAGTGTTTTTAAATTCATCATACTTACTGTGAGATTGTGTATATTCTTCCTTCCACCAGGCTTAACTGTTGATAAATAAAAGAAACATAACAATGAATTGTGAATACAGGTGTATTCATTTCATGGATGTATAAACATACAAAATACTGACTGCACACATTTAAAAGCATATCTATTTTGAACAAAAAAAAAGGGCATGTGGCAATGGTTTTCATAAAAAAATCATTACTAATTCCTGTTAAAAAATAATGTAATACAAAGAAAATGGTGAAAGGAATGTTGTGTACTACCTTGTGGGTATATGTTGAGTGGAGGTGCCATTACCCGTCTTGCTTCACATTCAGCCAGGAGTGATAGGTACTGAAGCACAAAGTAAAATGAGAATATAAACATCCACCTTATTTGGTATTATTGTAATTTACGACATGTCACAATTCTTCATGATTTTCAAAAGCAGTGACATTGATTAATGCTTTTTTTTAATTGCATGTCTTTGTTACGATATGGACTACATGTTAATATCTAACTTCATCTGAAGGTCATCAATCCAAAATGTTACATTGAATTGAAGTGAATTTATTTACCACTTTCATAAAAACATAAAAAGGCAAAGAATACAATAAAATATTTCTTGCAAACATACATTACATGTAGATGAACCAATAAAATGGAAAATACCTGTACACTTTTAAAAGGAAATTATGAAGTGGTTGGATCATTGGAAACCTTACCAAAACTTATAGGTAGATGATCCTAAAAATTTACACCAAAAAAAAGGGACAAAGAAAATACAATGGTAATTACACACATGAAAAATTGGGGTTATCAAATTCAAAGCTTCTGCATCAGGTGAAGTTTTAGATTATGCTTAAAATTAATAATATATGCACACTGTTTAAGTTTTGTGGGTAGTTTGTTCCAGATAGTGGGTCGGTCCTTGGCATAAAAAGATACTATTTGAAAATGATTCTGGTATGACGGTATGGAATTTCTTTTCTAGTTAAGATGATGTTCATACATGTACCCTGTACCTATGGTTTAAAATGTATCTTCATGATTGTATTCCAGTACTATGAACAGAATCCTCATTCAATGCACATTATTTTTTCTCTTACTTAGTGTTGGTACAGAACTAGTCTCAAATCTTTCAGAGAATTTGTCTTACATTCTGAGCCACAGTAATATACTTTTACTACATTCTGACTCAGTCAAATATCTAAGAACAGAACTTTTCCATATTTCCATTTACATCCTATGACAACTGCTTAAAATTTTGTTTATGAGGAAATTTAGACAGACAATGAAATAAATACCATTCAAGGAATGTACATAACATGTAGGCCTATATATACACATCTAAGACAAACTCCTCTCAAAGTACCCAGTACTATTTGCAAGCGCTGTAAATATACGATCAATTCTCAGCACCCCAGCCAGTGATTGATCTACTCTGGGTTAAAGATCAACTAAAAGGTTATTATACAGATCACATCCATTCTCACCGAGTACAGGGTCTTCCTTCTCTCTCTCTCTCTCTCTCTCTCTCTCGCTTTCCCTCTTTCTCTCTTGCTCCCTCTCTCTTTCACTCTTTCTCTCTCTCTCTTTCACTTTCTCTCTCTCTCTCTCTTTCAGTCTTTCTATCTCTCTCTCTCTCTAATTTCCCTCTCTCTTGCTCTCTCTTTCTCTTCCACTCTCTCTCTCCTTTTTTCTTCTCTCTCTCCCTCTACATGTATAATCTTTTCAATCATACTGTTATAGTTTGTATCTACATGTACTGTACATGTATGCTCTCTCTCTCTCTCTCTTTCTGATAAATACATTTCACTGAAATGTTACCAGGGATTACAAAGAACATATATGACCTGCATGTTTCATGTACATGTGTACATACAAATCTACACAATGAAACTGAAAACATTACAGGTTTCTCTGAGCCTGACTACATGTAGATGTGCACACGTTTAAATTCTATTAAATTAAATCTTACATTACATGCACTTCTAATTTATTTATCAAGAAAATTTAAAACAGGCAACTTTATAAACGGCTATAAATGTGCAGGCATATCACAGGAAAGACATTCTCATCATCAATTTTTCTGAATATTTTGTGTTTTCCCACTACTTTCTGGCATCCTTGGACATTGAGGGCATTACTTGTGTACCGGGTAGTGTTCTATAAAGGGACACTAGTACCGGGTAAGTAGTGTGTAAGTAGCTTGTTCATGAATTTCTTCCAATTTCAGCCCAAGGGATGTGGTGTAATTGGGACCTTGGCAGCTGAAATTCACTTATCGGAGCAGGAGGTGTCAAATTCTACAGGAAAAGTGACTCATATGAAAGATGTAAGAATATCTACAGGCCAACTACTACTCTTCTAGATGCTTAGGAAAATCAAGTGTATTGAGCTATTTTTAATTTAAAACAATACATTATTGAGGCTATAATACAAGTTTGGATGAGGAGACATGTACATTAATACTGTATTCTCATTTTATTTATAAACTAAAAACAAAAACGTAGAAATTTCTATCGACTACCTGAACATGATGAAAAATTGAAGTATAAGATGATTTTAATGGCAAGACAGTTGACTCGTCCTTAACAATGATCAAATGGAATTTCATGGAGTATGATCATAATACACAGGTGTGAGTGCGTTATGGTCAAAGCAGCGCATAAGGGTATTCACTACGGTGCAATAAAATTCACGTGGCGTAGCTGAGTGTATTGTGTGCCATTGTGAATGTACCCGAATAGCGCTGCGTCACCGAACAAGAAAGTAAACCTGTGTATTATTTGTTTTATAAAATGGGTCGAGAATCTTACTTAGCAAGGCGATAACACTGTAAACCTGCAACCTTCATAACAAATAACGTGTGCACACAGAATATTAAAGTAGCAGTCGCCTCGTAAACTGTGCAGTGCATGGTGCGACTTCTCCTAAACATTCATTGAATTACACGCAGCGTGCATTATGCCTTTTTGTTGCACTGTTTTTACACAGTTATCATCAAAATGCACTCCCCGTTCCAGTGAATAAACTACACAGGGGCTCAGGGCGAATTTGCCCCCAAAATGCCCAAAAGAGCCCCTGAAAATCAGAAAAGAGCCCCCGTAAATTTGCATAGAGTTCAATGCAAAACAAATTTTAGAGTGTTATTTTTATGCAGGCAAGTTTGAAAAGTAGCCCCCCAAAAATAAATATTAAATTTTTCCCTGCCCTGTTCGCGTATGGTAAAAGTTGATGCATGCACACGTGATCCATTTTGACGCTTCTCATTGGCTACATTCTTGAACCCATTCAATAATCATCTTTGTCCTTTTAGAATGACAACCCCCTCCCCCCACCCCTCGATCCCTGACTACCATCCATCCCTAGAAAACTACCTACATGTATGAAGCAACCACCCCCCCCCCCCTCCCCCCTCAGTCACAACTATCATTGAAAACTAACCTTTATTAATCCTCACACAACTATTTGGGATGGGGTTAATCAGAGGGTAAGCGTACGTTCATCTTTTTGTCCATGACAAATTATAATTGTCTATAAATTGTAGGTGAATTCCTCTTAACAAATAATTTTGACATTCAAGCACACACACATACAAATCGTTGTCATTTTAGGTCTATCAACAAAGGTTAACCTTGTGTGTTGACATTTTGACTATTTTTTTTCTAAACTGTTGTATTTGGCATTAAATATACACTGTATGTTCCATGGGAATTTTCTTTTCAGGAATAGATACATCGATCTTTACTCAAAACCAATTATTCAACAGTCAACTTCTTCATATTTACAGCCCATGACATGGAAGTGGTTAATTTGCTTTCTTTGTTTGATTTTTCTTTAGAAGTTTTCCACTTCCACTCTGGACCTCAGGTCAATTTCATAAGAAGCAAAATAGTTGTTCGGGATAATAAGTATACAGGGGGGTGTTTCACAAAAATCCTAAGTTGAACTTCAAAATTATGCAAAGCCATTAGCATCTTTGAAAATATTTGTTGAAGTTATTTCAAAAGGCATAAAGTGTTGATTCAAATCGTTTATGTTTTCTATAATCAAGGAGATTTCATGTTCTTGATTTGGAATTTGTGAAAAGTCGATACAACTGAGTTTTGCTTTTCAATATATTTTATTTTAAGGCTACAAATGGCTCTCCATAATGTTTAAGTCGAACATAGGATCTTTGTGAAACACCCCCCAGTATGGACCCCCATCTAGTTAATGTACTCACATAGTTAATCATGGCCTCCATTTCATCATCACTTCGCACAGTGATCCGATCTCCATCTTCATCTTCATCTGCAATCAAAGTAAGATTACTTGATGTTAAAAAGAGTTCTGCTAAAAACATGAAGTTTAACTGGAAACTGTTAATTGTTATCCAATTTCCATTACGCGTGTAACTTAGCACCTTTTTTTTCAGCCACAGCATACAAATAAGATTACAGCTCTGGCGCTTTTTTAAAGAATGCATATTACATCCTAGAAATCTGACAAACTACACATCAGAGGTGCACACCCTGCCAATGATCAGCGCATACCAATACAAATAAAAGAATTTAGACATTTTCCATTATTTGACTGAAAAACACACCTGTACTTCGACAATAAATTTTTATATTCAACACTACACATCCATTTAATCAATAATTATTATACGCCACACAGTACGGTCAAAATATGTCTTTTCTCTATTTAAAATCTAAATTAGTGTTAAAATTGGTTTTCCTCTAAAGTAATTCAGATGAAATAGTGTCTAAAAAAGAACAACACAATTCGAAATATTTGACATAGTGTTAGTTATGTCACTGATATAAAAGTCAAATCATTTCCATTGGCCTTCCCATAATTTTTCAAGTAAAATTTACTGTTAATAACTGTTGGAGGGTGTTGCACAGTGACTCCTCCAAAGAAAACCATAAATATCCATGTGGTTTGAGAATTTTCTCAGGATATTTACTGTTAGAGGGTAAGTACAGTAGAAGAAATATAATAAGTAACATTTCATACAAAAATTACATTTTTTTCATCAACCTTCAACAATGTTACCGAGTCACTTAGTTTAAACAAAGGACATCTTCATCATCAATAAACATGCACTTCAAACTCGCTTTTATGGTTTAGAAATAGAAGTAGAAACTTACACTCAAACGCTGCTGGAGTGTTGTCTTGTAAAACTTGAGCTATCACCTCCTAGAAATCAAAGAATTAATATTGGAATTCAATCAGAAGAAACAAAAATGTTGGCAAGCGGCAACACCAGTAAACTAAACTAACATACATACACTGTACATGTCAGTACTGGATTCGTTTTCATTGATCTATCAACAAAATAAAAAGAGATACATGTACATGTTCACGTAGGTCTTACTTAATGCTGTAGCGGAACCGAACATGGCACTTCCGAACCGAGCCGAACGCAAAGGCCTGGTTCAGATATTTAAGTGAGAGAGGGCCTTAAGCGCAACTCAAGTGCAATGGCAATGCCAATACCTAATATTACATAAAACACTGACATGTCATGCTTTAAACAGGTGAGGCACTTCACACATAACTGACGCACACTTGCCCTAGGTACACGTATAAAATAGAAAAATCAATGAACATTTCAGTACAACTTTCCAGCTTGTACCTCAAATATGACAAAAATGAAAAAAAGGAAAGAGAGAGGGGGGAATGAAAGAGCGAGAGAGGGAGAGAGAAAGAGGAAGAAAGCAAGCGCGTAGCCAGGATTTCATTTGGAGGGGGGTAGTGAGCACGCAAAGCGTGCAATCACTTACAGAGCGCGCTCCCTAGGGGGTGGGTGCAGGAAGGGGAAGCTTTGACGTTTTATTAAATTATTAAAGAAAGAAGAGGATTCATTGGACCGTTCTCGACTCTTAATCCTTGTAGAAATTCAGTTTCTTTTTACGTTTCATTGAATTATTAGAGAAAGAAGACGATTCGTTGTACCGTTCTCGACTCCTAATCCTTTTTCTTTCTACGTCATCTTCCTTTCTTCTTTCTCTCTCTCTTTAATTTTTTTGGCCAGCGTTTTTTGGGGGCAACCGCCGCCTCCCGCCCCCCCCCCCTGGCTACGCGCCTAGCCCTAGAAGAAAGAGAGAAAGAGAGAGAGAGAGAGAGAGAAAGAAGAGGTACAGAAGGGGGGAAGAGAGAAAGGGGCATCTTGCCAATAATTAAAAATTACATACAAATTGATGATAAAAGTATGCATTATTAAAATACATGAATAGCAAACTGATATAGACTTTAGGCCTAATTTACAAATAAAAGTGTGCTCCTCTCGGCTCTCCTTCTTTTTCTTCTCCTTCCTTTTCTTCTCCCTCCTCTTCTTCTTCTTTTATTTTTAAACACATTTTTATCAGGTTACCCATTCGCTTTCAAGTTTTATTCAGTAATTCTTGATTTATTTTGTGACCTACATAATACACCTTAGGCTTAGCGCCATAACGGGTCTTTAAAAAAATGTAACACTAACAAAAAAAAGTCTAACATGAAAATAAGCATCTCGGACTACATAGTACAGTAACAAATGGTTACAAATGCTGAAAATAGTAGGACCTGGTCGATGTTATTGTTACAAATAAAACACCTTACCAAAACTTCATGAAACGACAATTGACCAAGTTGCACTGTCCAATCCACGTCCTCTCCATGTTGTGTTTTGATTCTTATCACAAGCGGTTGTGCTGCCATATTTTTGTTTCTCCCGATAGCAAATTAAATAACAAAAACAAGGATAACAATGACGGAATCCGGAAGTAAATCGGTTGAAGGTGGAGACAAACAAAAATGGTTCGTATTATGGTATCTTTGAACAAGCCAAATAAATAGGTCCAGCCAATCCACAAAATCTTTTATATTGTAAATTTATATCGATCGTAGCCGATCCGGGAGTGGAAATTTAAATGCAAGCGTTGTAGTCAGTCTGAGCACAGCACAGATCGCTGCTCTTATCGAATTGTCTTTTATTGCTTTAATATCTCGGAAGCCCAATCTTAATGCTAATTGCTTAAAGCTGATTCCCGATATAAATTCCTGATTTTTCTCGGAGTAGCCATTTGAAAGCTAAAATATAATGACCTGTACAGACGAATGAATGGAAACATTTAGCCTGCAGTTAATATTAGGGCTTTAGAATTTTAAAAAGTCATTTAGAGAATAAACTGCACATAAAATAAAAAGTCAAAACAGGTAGTACATCATAGATAGTAAGGACCCCCTTTCTTCATGTACATCATATCACATAAAGTGAATGCTGCATTTTTGCATGCGACGATGAAATAAGTGAGAAAATACCCCTTAAAAACACTATTGAATGAAGTATGATTCCAGCTTTCATACTAATATTAGGACAGGTTGTCGATGGACAGACGCAGGTCTAATTGAAGTATTTCTATTTATTTCGTCATTTTAAGGCTACCATACAATCCAATCAATATAAAACGAAATAAATATATTTTTTTTTTAAATCCAAAATTGAGAGATATAACACGTGCCGTAAAGTATTTTGGCGACAATAGTCAAATCACTGACTAATCGCCAATAACTCAAACACAACAACATCTGTCACTTTGTGTACAATACGCTTCACTGCACATCAGTCGTCAAATGTTAAGAAGCTAAATTTTTGTATAGCTGAGCTAGAAATGGATGGTTATTATTTACGATGCCCCCCTTCTCTAAGTCTCTCTCTCTCCCTCTTTTATGTACTAGAAATGATTAAAAACAATACAAAAGAAACCCACCAACATGTCTTTAGTCATCTCAACACCACCAACAACAAATATTACTGTTAGTGTTACATTACGATTCAGTTGAATGGAATTACTTGTGTGCTTCTCCAGTATACTATAATAATGATGAAAAAGGTGGTTTTTGAGAAGGGTGTTGAATGATTCTATGGATGGGGCATTTTGAATATGGGGTCGGAGTTCCGAGTTTGTTCCGGAGGGTGGGGGCAATAGATGAAAAGGCACGGTCATCCCGGCGGTCTGGAGGAAGATGAACGAAGGGATCTGGCAGAATTAAGAGGAGGATCGAAGGAAGACTAGGTCATGAAGATAACTGAGGACAAGATGGAAAGGTAACCAATTTTCATGATGATATAACATGATTGTAAGGAATGGGGCGTCTGGCATGTCCTAGCGTATGGCAACCAATGGAATCACAGTCCACATGACAATTTTATAGGTACAATGACGATCGAATAACATTTAATAATCCTATTCATTCTGATCCAGCCATGCATTCATACGAGCAAATAATAACATATTTTTGTTTTTCTTTCCCCATACTTCCGAGTTCAAGCCCTTTTCTGTTGCACTTTTTTTCGACACCTTGCTAAACATCACTGGCGTACTGATGGGGGCGGAGGCGCGGGGGCAATTGACCCCCAAATTACATTCAAATGTGGTTTATTTCTAATTCGATACCATCTAATTGTTCACACTTGGACCTCACCAATCTTAAAATTTTTGCTCGCTCGCTTCGCTCGATCGAAAATAATATACAGACCATCACGCCCAACTGCAAAGTATATTGCTTTATAATTAAGCAGTATCTTGCCCCACGTAAAGAAAGAAACAAATCATGACGATGTAGGGGTATATACCCAGGCGCGGATCCAGGGGGGGGGGGGCAAGCGGGCCTTGCCCACCCCCCCCCCCCGCAAAAAAAAAAAAAAAAAAAAGGAGAGAGAGAAAAGGAAAGATAAGGTACACGGAACGTTTAAACATCGTTAGTAGCACGGAAATAGAAAGGATGTAAGCGTATGCATCTCGTATATAAAGTATTCAAAGCTGTCATCCACTTCCATCCGCTTTCATCCGCTAGGCTTCCCATGAACATCCGTTTAACATCCCCGCTACATACTACCCACGTCCGTTATTTTCCGTTCTGTTTTCGCAAATTTTCGCAAATTTTGTCCATTTCTGGAGCAGATGACAACGGATGGAGCCACCCGCGAAATTTTGCTCGTCCGCTGTGTCCTTTATGCATACGTTTTGTGTCCATCGGCTAGTGGGACCGGGCCATAAGCTTCCGCTTAGCGCGGGAGGGGGGAAACTACATTCAGACGAGGATTATTTTTTGGGAACGGTACAACAAATCGTCTTCTTTCTCTAATAATTTATTGAAATGTCAAAGCTTCCGCGTTTCGCGGAGGAGGGAGGGGAAAACTCGCCCCTCCCTGCACCCACCCACCCCCAATTACGTCACTGCTGGTCACCATTACGAACCAATATTTGGCTCGCATAATTTCAAATTTTGCCCCCCCCCCCCCTAAGAAATCCTGGATCCGCGCCTGTATATACCAATCACCAATGTCTTAAAATGGTTTTTTTTTTTTTAGGTTTCCCTTTGTAGGTGCCCCTGTTTTCCAGAATGCGCCCTTTTTTGTTGTTGCCCCCCCCCCCTCTATTTTGGAAGACGCTCCGCTGGCCCTGCATTATGCTACTTGGTGGTGACGCGGATTTTGTCCTGACCCCCAAAAGTTTTTGCTCATTACGCCACTGCTAAACAATGTCGATCGGACCTGCATAGCTGTCAAATGGAAAATATTGTCAGGGAGTGTGTTTTGATTTCTCAGCCGTGTCAGCTCATACTTGAGTCTTTGCGTCGAAACCAGTATTGCTCTCTGTGAAATGATTTGGAGATGTGCTCATGGAACACGAGGAACACTGGTCTGACTAGAATAAATAGTAGAATTTTGACCGTCTTGTTTAAGCGTGAATAATATTCAATCAAAGAGGAATCCTGCAATATGGACGAAGGAAATACTGCGAGTGTCATATCCATTTTATGGTTTAAAGACCTGATATGGCAAGATTTATAATTGCAACAATTTGATTTGTAGCACATCTTTGATTGACGGAAATTATGAAGGTGTCTGGAAACTCTTGATTGTATACTGCTCTCCGTTGTTGGGAATTTCGTAGGTTATCGTTGTGTTATCTCGTGTTCCTTTGTGAAATTCCGGACTTAATGTAGGAATTAAAGAGAACCTCATTTAGAAAACAACAAAGGTTTTTTGTTATTGTTTACAACTTCTTCGCGATTAATGACACTTATTCGCCGATGTAACCTAACTTCTGTGGTTTTATCTTCCATACATTTTTTCAAAGGATCATGAGATGATACTATTGTGAAAGGCGGTTGTAATATATTTTCTAGAGGAAGTGATAACATTGTCTCTCAAGGAAATAAAAGCTGGAACATTGAAGACGTATAACAGGATACCATGGCATTCGTGAAGTTACACCGTCAGAAGCTATTTGAGACAATCGAATCGTTAGACCTGTTCCTCGTAAAGACCCTGCTCTCCAGACCTGATGATTTTGGTCTGGACTGGGACTATAGAGACAAGGACGGTCGGTCCGTCTATGCACATGCCATTAACATCGGAGTCACTCGTAAGCTAACTTTTAAAGCTTTTAAACTTTGAGTTATTAAATATTGAACGATTGTCAGTAAAAGAAAAAAAGAAAAAAGTGCTCACTACCTGCCCCCCCCCCCCCCCCCCCCCCCCCCTTGAGCAAAACGAAAGATACGCTACACTGGTTCGTCTGACCCTGGTCTGAAGAGGAAAACAATTTCCCCAATGTTGACAGCCACTTTTATTCAAGAAATTCAATGCAGCGTAAAATTTGTTTTTAAAGAATTTTCACTCTTTTGTACTGTGCTATGGCCTTTCTCGGACCATTGATCTGAAGCCAGGGATGTATTTGTAAATCAATTTGAATAGGTCTGTATCGGTATGTGCTGTTACTGGAACGTTATTCACCTTCAGTCGTGGCATTGCATTCAAAAACTTGCTGAGTAATGCCTTGGTCACAAATACACCGGGTCCCGTACGAGTTTCCCTTCCCGGCAGCTTGCCGTGGATTTAAGAGACCGTACAGGACCTTTCCGAATTTCATTTCTACGGCAAGTGTGGTCACATATTCTGCGGCGCGCGGGAGCTGCCCGATGAAAATGCGAGGCGCCCGTAAAGGTGCCGGCCGGTTGCCGGGCGGAAAGCTTACGGGCTCCGTCCGATGAACAGGTGCACCCATGACTCCCGGAGCCCGCCCGGTGTCGTCAAGGCCGGGACCCGGCTGGGTGCCGTGCGGTTCCTGAACTATGTTTTCTCTAACATCCGTGCCTCCTGTATTTAAAGCTGCGTTGTACATTGAGAATCTACAGGGAAAAAAAATCGCGAGGGGCCCATCCGGAGTGCGCACGGGACCTGTACGGTGCCCCATGGGCCCTTTACGGCCTAATGGCCAGATAAAAATGCCGGAAGAATTGGAAGCACCCAACTCAGCACCACGGCGCCCGTATGGCTGGTGAAAAGTTTCCCGGCGCCCGTAGGAACTGTACAAGAGCCGGCCGAAAATTCCCAAAACGTCTGTTTTTACTCGCCGTATACGGGCCCCGGAGTGTATATGTGAAAGCCCCCTAGAGCAATGCTAATCCCAAGTACAATTAAATGTCAAATGATAATGGGTATAGGAGAGAAATAAGCGCAGTGAGTATAATAAATCTGGCTCTCCATTGACAGAGGAATATACGGGGAGAGAAAGGGTGACGAGTTTTTAGTTCCTATCAATTTACTAATTACTATTTCGGCAATCGTCACCCAATATGTTTTTAATTATATATCTTTATAATCGGGAAAAGCATTACATTTTCTAATTAATAAAGACAGTGTCTAAATAAGTTAGTGACTCGAAATTTGATAAAGGGACGTCTTCTCCCTGGCGAACGTTTTTCTCATATGGCTACATAATTGTTTTGTTTTATGTCTGGTATTATACAAAATATCTGTATGGCACCATGTATCGTAATGATGTTATCTATATAATCTTATATTAAACCACTTCAATACCAAATACACTCAGCAAAATAGGAAAAGTGGACACTCTTTATTGTAAATAAATTTCATATAAACCTTCAATAAAATACAATTAAATATATATCAAATTAAATGATTATTAATACCCTTTCGAGGTTATTTAAAGCTTATCTGCCGTAGTTTACTGGAGGGATTAGACTGCCCTGCAAGGTCACTGGACAGGTGGTTATCTCATCAACTCAGCTCTCAGTTAATATAAGAAAAAGAGGATCATGGGGGACCAATGGTCACCGATTAGGCATTGTTTGTTATATAGAGGGCGCAAGTAGCTATAAGTAGTGCAGTGGGCCTTTAAGATCAACATTTGAACTTTCAAGTTTGAATTGCATATTATTCAACCGTTGAAGGTCTGATTGAGACAAAATGTTAAAAAAATAGAGAAAAGAGCAATTCAAATGATAAGGAACATGTGCATCTGTAAGACATTCTTGTTCAATAATGAAAAAACAAAGAATGAGAAACAATGAGGGGGATTGAGCTTTAGATATCAACTGGCGTCTCAAGACTTCATGGTTTTGAAAAGCATGGTCAAGATGCCTCTTCTTTCGTGTTTCTCATTATTCTTTGTAATTGATTATTTGTACTCTACAAGCTGGAAATGCCCATCACCATTTGAATGGCCAGATGTCCAATATCTTGCAATCTTTCCAGATACTCGTGTATTTTTAAATGGCTATGTTCACTCATGCGTAAATGGGTTTGATCTTAAAGAGGATTAATGTATGTTTATTTAAAGGTATGCAAGATAACTTTAGAGCAAATATTTATTTCAAAATCCTAATCATAAATAGTGTCCACTTCTTCGTATGTTTTTGCTAAGTATATAATGATAACTTTACTAACAATAAGCCTAGAATTGGGACATTTCTGTAAAAAGAACAACAACTCCGCATTGTCATTATTTTATTTACAACAATCAAGAAATGGTAGTGACATTTATCGACCATGGCATCCCTCTCGGTGACGCTCTTTTGAGAGCAGCTGACTTCTGTCTGGTGGACATTGTTCGATGCATCTGTACATACGCCGAAACACTGAGCAAGGTTTGTATACAACCACAATAAAGAAATCAACTTATTATTTTTGTCCTCTAAATATCATTTTGTAATATCTCATAATGCAGAGAATTGAAATCCCAAACGTAACATGACTGTTCTAACTTATTTTCAGAGTGACATTTTTGTGACTCTTTGATATTCTACACAATCTTCTTTATAGGAAGGGGAAATGAAGAAGTAGACGAAGAAGAAGAATATACGTAATTCTTTCCCGTGGGTGCGTTATTCTCGATTCCTATGTAAAAGGAAATCACATAGTTACCATAAATCTCTCCCATATATTAAAGTGAACGCCTTTTCTCAGTTTCTTAAATATCAATTATTATTTCAGAATGTATATAGCCTATGATTTTAAAAGTACAAATATAAATATTAGTAATTATTACCAATTTTAAAAAAAAAATAGTTTCAGATGTGCTCATCAGAGACATTAACGGATAAAACAGTTATTGTTATTTTGAATTATAGTAGAATTTTTCACTAAAGTATGGATATTTCTCCAGTAACATAATGGAGTCTGTTGTTTTGAGGGGTGAATAATGTTGTGCTATTTCAAAATGATATAAAATCGCAAGTTATGGGCCTACAATCCTACAATATATTATGGCGACCAAAAAGGCCAGCATGTGTTTGATTTCAGATACATTGCCGTGTGGAATTCTTATATTATATCTATTTATTCGGGTGGAAGATCAGCCGTGAAAGCCGATTCTTTTACAATGGAGTAAAGGTTTTTCATTTTAATGTTTTCGACGGGTGTTGAAATGGACTGCTATGGTACTCAAAAGCAATGGGGGATGTGTGACCCCAAGGTTATTTCTAGGATTTTTTAAGAGCAATTAAAATGGTGTTAAAGGTGGCGGGGGGCTTACCATACAAAATGAATGCATTTTTTATGCGTATAAATAGTGCTTGACACCCCCCCCCCCCCCCCTCCTCCCCTCCCTTGATTTCGAAATTTATATCTGCACGTTTCTCTGAGTGGATGCTTGTGTGTAAATGAACATGTTTTTGTTTATAATAATATGGGGTGCCATTTAGGCAGAAGATTGAGAGTTACATATCTTTAGGAACTATTTCGTGTACATTTACGAGCAATATATTGATGCATTAATTAAGAAGTAACTAATAGGCCTGTATGAAATTTCACAAGAAAGTACACGTCGACTGTATAAACGGATTACGCAGGGTGCAATCTAAAATAAGCAAACCCGTGGATGTCCACGGTTCCTGCTAGTTAATATAATATTAATTGAAGTTTTTAATTACTTTGACCTTATTTGTTCATAATCATTCTCTTAGAACGAGCAACAGGCCATCATCGAATGCCATTGTGAGAATGATGATTATCACAAAGCTACCACACCTCTCATGGCTGCGGCACACAAAAACAACTTCGCCGTTGTGGAGGTGGGTCTAAGCTTTAAAAACAAAAAAGGATACATAATAGAACTAACAAAAGCCCTTCCAAAATAACTGACCGAGAATGGTATCTTACATCTTCATTGAAAATCTGTTAAATGGTGATCGGCCAACAGAGATGAGTTTTTTTTTTCAGACATGGGGATAGTAATCTATGTTAATAGGGCTTAATACCCGTCAATAACGACTCTTTAGTTATGAAGACTCAGCTGCCCAAATACTGTTAATGTTGCCGTTTTTACTTGTTTAGGCCTAATTACACAAAATGAAAATACCCATGATCATTGTCGCATTTAGATATTTCATGTTTCTTCCCTAATAAGGTGGCCTGAGGTTTAAATCAAACAAATTGTTCATTCTCCCCCTATTCCCCCTTATATTATGTTCATTCTGATATGGTTCATAGCCCCTGACACCCCCCCCCCCCTCCCTGGTTAGGATAATGACAGATTTCTGCAAACATTCTCGCCAAGTAATCATCAATATTGTTTTATTGCATGATGCTGTTAGATGCAAACTTACACATTGTTATCATTATTATCGATCATTATTGGGTTGTGAACTTCTTATGTAACATCGGTAATTCTATTTAAACTCGCAATCAGCTCTTACTCCACGCCGGGGCCATTTTGATAGAGCCAAAGATGAAGCAGGATGAAGCCGACCTGACAGGCACCGCCAGCACTCTCATGACATACCGAGCCATAGCAACCGATGCCTACTTGGTACAGGCTTTCAGCGACCCGCTCGATGCTGCTTTCGGGCTAGGTCGGCGACTGCGGGAGCTCGCTGATCGATGGGAGGATGTGAGTGAGGAGGTCCTTAGAATATTGGATCGCGTGGAGCAATTCGCGGCCGGTTTTGTGGGACAGGCGAATTATTCGAGTGAGGTAGGACGAATGTGACGGGTTTATAGAATAAGCTTATGTTTTTTTAATTTTTTTAATTTTTATTGTTTCACATTCCACAAAATAACAGTTTACATTTTATCAATGGTCAGCAAGATAAAGCATAATGACAAAAAGCAATGATGGCAGTAAATATTCTGTAACGTGAAATATGAGGGACCTATTAAAAAGCAATTAATGTTTGTATAATAATACAGGTTCCCATATAACAATCATTGTGTACAAAAATTCCAAGGCAATGAAGAGAGACGAATCCGGGAAATATAATTGAAACAAAATGAATACAGCTATGTGGTTATATACTAGTCATAATAGTCACTCGAGCGAGGCGAGAAAAAAAGAACGAAAAAAAAAGACATAAACAAATTTAAAATGTCACTATTTTTTAAAAACATATTAGTGAATTCACTCGGCAATTCACCTTTATTATTAAAGTTGGTACATATTTTGAAATATCCCTACAAAATGGTGATATGTTAGAAATAAATGGATTTGTATGTGCCAAAAATCAGCAGAAGAAATTATCCTTACAGCTCTTTTTTGTATTTTGAGTACATAATAAGTTTTCGTCTTGGAAGAATTTTCCCCAAACTAATATTCCGTAAATTAGGTATGGTAAAAATAAAGTAGAATATAATAATCTTAAAATATGGGGAGGAAAATGATGTTTGAGTTTACTGGCAACTTCTAGATTTCTTGAAAGCAATTTGCATAAGTAGCCAATATGGACTTTGCATGTTAATTTACAATCAATGTCAAGACCAAGAATTTTTGTTGATTCAATTTGTTTTAACGCATTGCCATTCATGAAAACATCACTAGGTAAAGTATGCAGTAAATTAATAAAGACCATGTAATATGTCTTTTCAAAATTAAAAGATAATTTATTTGCTTGTACCTAAGCGCATACACATCGTAATTCAGAATTTCATTTATCAAGAAGGATTTGAAGATTATCGTGAGTAAAAAATATGCTTGTATCATCTGCAAATAAAAGAAAAGAGAGTATATTGGAAGATTTTTGAAAATCATTGATGTATGATATAAAAAGAAGAGGGCCCTAAAGGGAACCTTGAGGTACACCGCAAGTGATGTGTTGAATTTTAGGCTCCAACTCGGCTAAGTGGGAGCCCTGCTTAAGCGTACTTGTGGAGAGACAAGGCAACCATACAACATAAACCGAACAATAGGATTCGTACCAGGGTATGATGGAGTCATGCAAGTGGACCGTGAAAAATGTGATAACAATTTGCACAAAAAGGCCAATTAAACTACTATTTCCTTAACAGTGTTAAGACTAAGACCATCTGGTAACATGCGTGCACAATATAATATTGTAAAGTAATATAATCTCCATTAAAACAAAACAAATCTTGTTTTATCCATGTTAGGTGCTCAAGAAAATCACCTATTGTAATACTTACAATGAAATCACTTTATTGAGAACTCAGCTTGTTAATTGATGATGAGGATGTTTTTGTTGATAAATATGATGGATAATGGTGAGAACTATCATAATGACGGTTATGATAACTATGGTGATGATGATTATTGTGATGATTTTTATGAAAATAACAATGATATTAAAGATAATAGTAATAATTGAGAAAAAATGAACTAAAAATGATAATAATAATAATAATGATAATGACAATAACAATGAGGATGATAATGTACACAAACTTTTCATGAAGTTTGTATAACATCTTAAAGGGAGTGTGTCATGACGAGACTATGTGTCTTTCCCGTGGGCCTACTCGGGGCCAATCGGGAATAATACGACTAAGGACGACGCGACCGCAGCATTAGGGACTTTGAGATTCGCGTGGACTGATACGTGTGACGTCCATTCAAGGCAGTGCATTAAAAGGACGCCGATCGTAGCAATCCCCATTGTCTTCGTGCGAATCTTAAAGTCCCTATTCACGTGCGTGCAACATACGCGAAACCGAAGCGTGAGGAGAACTTCGGTCTGTTTCGCGAACGCTAGCGCACGCTGACCCAGTTAATCCATTCGTTTACGTGCAGTTGTCCACAAGAAAACGTAGATGGCGTTAACCAGTATGTACCATGATACACTCCCTTTAAGTATCACACAAAATTAAGTTTAGACCTGGGCACACTGAATTAGTGAGATGTACATAATAAGTAAATATTTTTCCCTTTCAATTCCTCCTAATCTACTTCCCGATTCTTTCATCCTACTTCAGGTTCGAACTATCTTGAAATTTTCTGAAAGTGAGAGCAAACACCCCGTCGCTAAGATACGAGCTGCGATGAAAGCCAATCAGAAACCGGTGAGTCGCCGCAAGTGTCTTTTCTGTCGATGAAGCTTGGCGCATTAAAAAACAAGCCCCAACAAAATTCTAATTTGATACTAGTATTTGGTGCTTTGAAATTTATGTTGATGCGGAATTCAATGCAGCATACATATTGTTTTATTCTTCTTTCAACTTTTCTGACGGCTCACAATAACTGACAAAGCCGATCTTGTAGGCTGTCGGTCTCGTGAAGTGTTGGTTTTCTTAACTGTCTCTTTTATTACATAGGTATAAAAACAAAAGTGGTATAGACTGACGATATCACAAAGAAATCATCAACAAAAGGTAACATAACATGAGTTAAGACTCTTTGCAACCTTGATAATGAAAAGAAGGGATCTTGTTTTTATTTGATTAACAAAATAAGAATTTTTTTAAAAACCGTTAGCTTCAGTAGTATTTGTTTTGTAGTATTTTGTTATTGTAATAAACTTTTGCTCGATTATCACAATTTTCATTTATTTTCTTAGATAATTCAATTGATGCAGTTAAATTTTTAATTTTCTGTGCTAGTTTAATTCCTAAGATTTTTTCATTTTGCAGTTCGTCATTCATCCTTTCACACAGAACATCCTCAGTGATAGTTATTACGCGGAGATGCAGGGAAAGAGCGCCACCATGTCCTACATGTTCATGTTACTTGCAATATTCTGCTATCCTCTGCTTTCTCTTTGCTATCTCATCTACCCGGCTAAACCGTTACATAGATTCTTAAAGATACCGTAAGTCAGATCTGTTGTTCTAAATGTTGATATTATGCGATTAAGTTCATGCAAACTTAACGGCTCCCGAATAATTTTTCATTTTCAAAACAAATGTCTCAAGCGAGCGAAGGGAGCGAGCAAAAGTTTCGATCTCTATTCAGTGAAAGTATAAAGAATAATATACATGTAGACAAAAAGAAGCAAAATATACCTCCTCGTTGCCCGAATACGAGGCGACTGTAGCCCGAATGGTGGCTATTTCATTATTCAAAGAAAAAGAAAGGAAGAGAAAGATTGAAGAAAACAAAATAATAGTGATATTTAAAACGTTTTATTAAATTTCCACCAAATTTTTATTTTTATTTTTTTAATTTTCTCGATGTTGTCGGTGGTCTTACCGACGGTTTAAGATTCAGATTCAGATTTCTGTTTTTGCCATAAAGTCTACGAATTCCACTCATTTCTTTTGTTTAGGAACATCAAGCTGTACATGAACGTGGGCTCCGATATAACACTGATGTCATGTGTGATAGCTCTGGTGGTTTATGACTACTCAACACATCCCATCATTACATTGATTCTAGAGATCACTATCTTCATCTTCTGCATAGGTTTGTATAAGCATTTGAATAAATCAATTTTGTTTACATTATTTTTTTCATTTTAGAACAGAATCCTTGATGATGACGACAAGACAGCCACGTGGGTAGGATGTTGCGCCTCTTCAATGCTCAATTATTAAAAGTTTTCTAGGTATAGGCGTACGGATGAATTTGTGCAAAGGGGACGACACTCCTTGCCCGAATATCATCCATCAAGTGCTCAATTTACGGGCAAGCGAAGTGAGCGAGTGAGTAATGGAAGGACATACCGTTGAATAAGTATTTCGTCGTGAAAGTACACTAGATGAGATATTTTTCACATATCTGTGTTTCACCTCGGTGCCGAATATAAAAATATTTTAGCACCTTGCTACGTGAATGAGGTGACGGGTTTTTCGAATACTGGCATCTTCGTATTTCTTGGAGGGATGGGTTGCACATCACAGCCCCAACCAACCCCCCCCCCCCCCCCTCCTCCGACTTGTTAGCCTTATATTGCCATGGATTAGCCTATACCATTCGAATCTTCCTCTTATATTAAAGGTAAACCAACGTTTTGGGTAAGTTTGAAAATAGTAATTCTCTCAAGTTTTGATATATTTGGATACTCCTGTGGATGTATTATAAGCACTAGAAAATTTAGCCCCTAAAACACTTCTGCTTTCGAGAAATTGAATAATTAAAACTTACCAGTGCTCCCGGTAAATCTCAAATATTAAAATGCTATTCCATGGTAGCTGCGACCATGAAAATCTCCGAATATGCAGTTCTGATAAGTAATTTCCAAACGGGAATAGCAAATCGGTCGATTTTAGTCAAGAAACATTGTTTTAAAGCTGAAGTAACATCAGTCTTGGGAGTGAGCTATTCAACATTTAGACTTTAAACTTGATTTCAACCGCTACAACGATCATTGAATATTGTAAAATTTCATATGCTTCTAATATGTTTATTTGAACCAAATTCATGACCCCATACCAAAACTTTGTATTACCTCGTATTTGTTTTATCTCTTGTTCCCAATTTTGTTCTTTCTCCAACCAAGGAATATCTGGCAAACACATTAAATTCATCTACAACCAAGGTCCAGAGAAATTCTGCTCTTACCCTCTCTCAATTCTTGATAGTTTGATGGTGAAGATCTGCTACATAACGCTCTTTGTGGTCTGGATAGGCAGACTAATCGTAAGTAGATAATGTACAATTATAAGAGAGGAATACACTTGAATTCGAATCGCCCCAAATGCATATTTTGATTGAAAAGCAAAGATATCGCAGCTTTAATTCTCCCATAGCTTCAAGCAAAACGCAAAGACGAGCTCACAACAATACCATTTTTATTGCATTTTTTACAGAATTCGTAAGAGAATCGGTAGTTTTACAGCCTCAGAGTTATATTGTACATTCGAAGCCTGACGTAAGGTCAAACTATCATCTTGGTATTAAGGATTCATCGGTTATCTTTCAGGATACCTATAACCAGCAGATAATGCAAAGGCACGTGAACCCATTGCAAGAGGTTCAACCCGACATGGCATCACCCGCAGTTCACACTACAAACACGACCGACTCCGACACAAATTCACACGTCGCGCCCAATGACGTCACACCAACATGGTTGTCCGCGTCATGGAACGAACCGCGGGTCGTATCTCATACTCTCTACAGCATTGTTGTGATGATCTGCGTGGTGCGGACTTTCTATCTCCTCAGCGTCAACCGCGTCGGCATCTTCGTCGTCGCCAAGTCGATGATCGGCATGTGCAGCGAGTTCCTCCGCCTGGGGGTATTTTACATTTGCTTCGTCCTAGCATTTGGTGTGGGGATCACCCAAGCGTCCCGCTATCGTCTGCATAGTGTACGCGCCGAATGTGCGGCAGAGGGACGTCTGTCAAACGAGTGTCCCACACCCCCATTCCATGAGTAAGAAATACTGATTCCTCCCCCCTCAATTTAGATTTGGGAATTCGGTAATTCTACAGATTCTGCCCAAAGTAGAAAATAAGCCTGGAAAGAGAATAATTACGCACTATTCCTCACCTTCACGGCCACACTAACCCTTACCCTAAACCTAACCTTAACACTAAACCTAACCCTAAACCTAACCCTAAACCTAACCCTAACCCTAAACCTAACCTTAACACTAAACCTAACCCTAAACCGAACCCTAACCCTAACCCTAAACCTAACCTTACCACTAAACCTAACCCTAAACCTAACCCTAATCCTAACCCTAAACCTAACCTTAACACTAAACCTAACCCTAAACCTAACCTTAACCGTATTCTAACCATAAATCTAACCTTAACCCTTAGCCTAAATCTAACCGTTTTAATACCCTAAACCTAACCCCAACCCTAACAATGCGTAACTATGCTCTTTCCAGGCTTTTGTTCTACTCCGGGCAGAATTCGGAGAATTATCGGGAATTCTTCTTTCGATTTAAAATGAATGTTAAAAAAGATTAATGCCATTTGTTATATATCATAACTTTTTTTAGTTTAGACATTGTAAAATTTCTTTAGATTCTGCCATTTGTGACCCTTTCAAACGATTATTTCAAAGTCGGTATGTACTTCTTTTTAGTTGTGGCTTTGTTACGCATTGTGCAAAACAAATTCATATCGCTTTGGTAGCTACTTACCACCTTCAGAATTTTTCTGTGGATTGAATTATTGGTTTAACTTAAAATATTCGGATGAACAATTTGACTATAATTATTTTATAGAAGTTGTCATTCTTTGAAAATCGCCCTAGAGGTGCAAGACTATTGGTTTTGGTTTACACAACAATTCAGGAATATAAGCTTCCCGTTACTACACTTGGGAAGAGAGTGACAAATTGAGATCAATGTTATGCCAAGAGAAATTAGTGCCTTGCCGAGGCTAGAACCAACGATTTTTTTACATCTCCGAGATTGAAACATAATGTCAACCCACGCATTGGGTGAATTCATTGAATGCACTCACATCACACAAAGAAAGATATTCCTGATCATCATTCATCCTAAATTCGGGCAAAGGCAATTTGACAGTGTCTCAGATTTTCTGTGATGTTTTAAACAATCTTTACTCAAGAAAAGGAAAAGGTAAGAATTCTTGGTAGATTTTTGTGTCAATTCGGTATATAAAAGATATATCGACTGCTTTAATATTCGAGGCCTGGCTGTTTCTAAACTGGCTCTCGGGGGCGTTGCATCCTGCCATGACCCCTCGGCGCGCCTGGGTGGGCCCCTCGGGTCTATACAAACAGCCAGGCCTCTCATAGCAGCCGATATTTCTATACCATTTTACTACACCTGGCTAGAGAGTGGCAAATTGAGATCAATGTCATGCCAAGAGAAATTAGTGCCTTGCCGGGGTTAGGGGGTTAGAACTCCCGACCGTTACATCTACGGTACTTAAATTTATGGTCAACCCACGCATTGGGTAAATTCATTGAATGCACTCACATCACACAAAGAAAGATATTCCTGATCACCATTCATCCTAAATTCGGGCAAAGGCAATTTGAGACATAATACCCTCATAAAAAACAATTTGATGAGCAACATATCAAATTAAAAAAGACATTAGCAACTATCATGCCGTTCCGCTATATTTCTGCCATTTCACATGTCGTTCAAGATACAAGTTTTTAAAGATGATTTCCTCTATTGACTCGTTCTGTATGAATTGCTTTTCAGCATACTGACTTCTTTCGTGAACCTCTACTGGGCTCTTTTAGGCAAACTCAAGAAATCAGAAGCGGGCCTTAATTTGCGACTCGACGATTCTTACACTCTCTATCTTCCCGCCTTCTTCTTAATATTCTTCACGATACTCCGCCGTGTCCTACTTAGCCTCCTCGTCGCAAGCATGTCGTTACAATTTTCTTCAGTAGAGGTATGTAGACGGTATAAAGAAAATGCTATCAAGACATGATGTTGAACACCGGCCTCTGTTGTTTGATATTTGAACACTCTTAAATGATAACTTATTACATTGGTATCTATAAAAGCTAATGAATAATGAAGAAATTACATGACGTACTCTTGCCCGAGTTGATAATTTTGCAATGTGGGAGTGATTTTCATACTTTTGCAAAATCTTTCATTCTTCACAATTTCTTAGTGTCTGAATACCCTCATACTTTTTACAAACCTGTTTCTCTATTTTGCATGTGGACATTGACAGCACTTTATTCGGAAATCGGAACCATATACTTTTAATATCAAACCTATTCAAGTATGAATCTGTCCTCCTGCTATTATAACTATTATGAGCAACCGATTTAACTTTAGTAGAAACACTCCGTATTCATTTCATTTACTCAATGCTCTAAAATGGCAATCAATCGACACTAGACTATTGTTACAATATTGTATTTTTGATTGATGAATTATTAAATAGCCTTAAACCTGCATACCTTAGCAGACTGGTATCTCGATGCAACCCCATATACCCCACCCGAAATGTTCTTTCTAACCGACTCTACATACCTTAACCCAGTACAAAAATAAAAAGTGCTCTTTTTCTTACTTTGCAACAAACAAATCTGTATAACTTATTACTAATAGTGAACATTTGGAAATTAAAAAACATTCCCTAAATTGTCTAAAACCCCATCAAAGACATTTCAAATCAATCTCTTGATTTAAGATATATGTCATTTATAACCATTTAGTTAATTTGACTCTAATTTATTTATTTTTATTTTTAAAAATCAAACGTCTTTAGTTTGTGTTCTCGCTTGATTTAAAGTTGTTTTTTAATTATCATTACCATTCATCTTGTTATGTTAAATTTGTTACGTTTTATTATTTCGTTCATAGCAGGCCCTCCGTGGTATTGATATGGACCACCCTTTATTTTGAATAAAACATAATGAATATATTAATAGGCCTATATAAATAAATAAATGAATGAATAAATGACTAAATATAAAAATTAACTAGTAAATAAATAAAGGAATACATAAATAAATACTTTATTTGATTCGTTCCTCTAATTATCAAAATAAAGTTTATTATCAAATCGTTCCCAATGGTCTATTTGATAGCAAAATGCTGATCGAGAATGGATGTATTTTCGCACACAACTGTGGATGAGTTATATCTCTGATGAAATCATGTTACCACCACCATTCAACATACTGCCATCTATCGACAAACTCCGGGAGATTCTACAAGCCTGTTGCTCCCGCAGCCAGCAGAAACAAAAGACACAGACTCAAAAGAAAATGGTATGTGTCAGTATATCGTCGAAATCTAAAGAAGATAACAAGGTTAGCTCAAGTCATAAGGGCGATAAAAAGTAGCTGCATGATTTGGTTACTTAGACAATAAAAGGGATAGATAAATTTTGTTGCAGAGGGCGCTACACAAAATATTTTTTTGTGAGATAATAAAAAAAACTGTGTCAATTTTGACAGAACATATAATTTAAATGACAAAATCATCTTTGTTTTAGATCTAAATTTCCAATATTTGTGATGCCCCACAAATATTCGTTAATTTAAACCAGCCGTTGAAAAATGGAGAAAGCGCCTTATACGTTTTATTCCAGCCATTGCCGATGTTGGCTTTTTGTTGGCTTTTTGTTGGCTTTTTCGTGTTGGTTATAATACGCACAACCAGCCGGCCCGTTATTATTAATTAGTTAATTATTTAACGGTTACCGTATTTTGTTTAAAGTGGAGCTGAATTTGTATGATCGTATTGTTAAAAGAGGTAGTTGTAATAGACGAACGCGTTGATCGGGAAGGAACTATTTCGGTGCTCCAGGCTCTAACCCAACAACTAGTGTGAGTTCCGTTGACCTAAAATACGTCTCTCAACGAGCTATGGTTTAGGTTATGATCAATGGCATGTTTCTCAGTAAGGGCAAGGCTTTAACCACTGAGTCCTGATTTAGCAAATGTTTGCAGACAGCATGATGGATTACTCATTGATCAGAACTCTTTTTATGGATACCAGGCTCAGGGAGTCAATGAACTCGTGTTATTGTACTTGCAGGCCTTACAATCGGCATGGAAGGAGTACAAGAAATCTCAGGTACGTTTTAATATATTTTACCGGTTCCCAATTTATGCTACACAAGACCTGATTTATCATTCTTTACATTTCCTGATAAGAGTGGTTGAATTATGAGGTTGTCCATCGTTAAAATGCTTGAAAACACACATATCGCAGATTTTAAGGCAAATGACTGACATTTATTTTCTCCTTCTGAGAAACTTTCCTTTTTCCCCATACTTTCTATGTCCACTTGGCTTACACACGGTAAAGAAAATTATTCTGCCATTGGGAGACTGGTTATACGACTTGTTTTGATGACTATTTTGCACTTTATAACACTTGAGAACGTCTGAAGGACCCTTTTCACATTAAAACAAATAATCGATGAGATACACGTATTTCAAAATCGCAATTCATAATTGATTCACAGCGCCTTATAGCTAACTTGATTTTCAACAAATTGTCGACTAATGATTTTAGTCTAATGTATCTTCTTTTTTACATCACACTGCTCCTAGAATAATTTTGTTCTCGATAGACTAAACTGTATTAATGTCTTCTTTTATTATTGCAATTGTTCTAGCTGTTATTTATGTTGTAGTAATTATTGTTCTCCGTATTTGTATCAACATTATCACCATCATCATCCTTAATATTTGTTATTGTTATTTATTTATTGTATTATTTTATTATTATTACTATTAATTTTATCGTAGTTATTATTATTATTTTATTACTAATACTACTACTTATACTATTGCTACTACTCCACCTAGTAATACTGTCATTATAATCATCATCATGTTTGGTTTTAAGAACATGACCAGAGCACTCAAAGATCGTTTTGTGAAGAACCGAGCGAGCGGTCTCCAGCAGAATTCGGAAGAAGGAGGAAAACGAGCTCTTCAAATGTTGGCACGAACCGATCTCCTAGAATTCCGAAACGAGTGGGTGGACGTCAGGTTAGATCACATTCCCTTTCAATCAATTAAAATCATCATAAAACAGTCACCTTAACATTGATATAGAGTCCTTTTTATACCACGATGGCAAAGACAAGGTGAAATATAATTATGAAAATTGTTTGTAGTCCTATGTGGAAGAATAAGACAGTTCCAATGCAAAAAAAATGATATTGGTCTTAAAGGAGCGCCAGGAGTGTCAATTCTGATTTTGTTATTATTGATATTCTTATGAAAATGCTCTCTTCATTCTAAAAGCATAACTATGAATAGATTCAGCTTCTGACGATTATTTTTTCCTGACATGCGTCTGTAGTCCCATATGTCAAAATCTGTGGTCAGTGCTTTTTATTGTTATTGAAGGTGATCTTCAAAAAGATTCGTTAAATATTTTGATAAATACAAACATTAAAGACTCCTGGGTTGTTCATTACCTCTCTGTAGGCAACAGGTATCCGTAGCAGAACGCGACCTCCAAATGATGCTCAAACAGTTGACGGAACTCATCGAAGCTCTGAAAATTAAAATCGAGCTCGTCACCCGCGTCGAAGAGAAAAATGTTTCCACTTCCACCGACATCGATGACATCTACAAGTCCTTTCCCGTCATTAAAAAATTACTCGAACACGTCGAAGTCCTCATGAAAACCTTGCGCACTCTCCCACCTGAGGTGGCCCAGAGACCAGCCAAGGAAAGGCCAGTCTCCGAGGTAAAGAAGGAGAATGAAATCAAACCCAAATCCAGGTGGGAGCGCGTGAAGGCGATGGCGAAGATGTACGAGCTCGGAAGAAGACCAGAGGAGGACGAAGAGCTCGTGAAGAAACTTAACGAATAACAACAAAGATTCGAAGATGCTTCCTTCGCGTTGCATTGAGACTCTTACATGCCATATGAATAAAAATTATCATGTTTAATCACCAAAATGGAATACAAACCCATAGTTTAAACATATTTGTGGCTTACACCCAGTAAATAGAAACCGATTGATCGATCTGTAATTGAAAACAAGTCAGAATTTGTTGTTGGAGCCAGCGTGATTTGAACCTGCATCTACTGCTTGCCGGCAGCGACTCTACCACCAGGCCATAACTGATTCATGGCATAGTCACGAAACAAATACCCAAGCTCTCCTGATTAATATGTTATTATATGCATACTGCAGGGGTAATGCCTATAGTATAAGTATAGTACGATACATATAGAGCGTAAAGAAAAACGTGACGGGAAGGATCTAAAGAAGGCAAGACATGATTTGACAATACACTGATATAAGGAAGTACAAGAAACAATTTCATTTTCCTGTTAAATGAATTAAGTGAAGGGGCAAGTTGAATGTCATTATGAAGAGAGTTCCAAAATTTGGGGGCTGTATATAAAATAAACGTGTTTTGGGCTAGAAGGGTTCTCAGCAGAGGTAGATGAAAGTCATTACAATGCCGAGTTGGGTACTCAGAAGAGGATTCATTTAGGGTGAACATATCATCACAAACGGAAGGAAGCATAATATTTGAATAAATAAACTGGCTTAACTGAAAGAGATAAAGATCTTTAACTTTCAAAAATGAGAAAGGCAAATGATACGAAGAGCTTTCTTGTGTAATAATTAGATGCTGTTTAACAAAGTTTGGTGTGCATTGCCGCACAACAGGTGTCCATAATTGAGATATGGTAAGACCAGATATAACTAAGGAAGATGAATGGAAATGAGTTTTTAATCTATTCATGACACCAATATTACGAGAAATAGTTTTACAGATGTTGTTAATATGATACTTCCAGGAAAGTTTATTGTCGACTTTCCGGCCCCCAAATAGATTATAAGAGAAACGGTCTTTAACCGGAATTCATCGAATTCAATGTTGCTTAGCAGTGAGTCTAATATATTACTGAACAACATACATTAAGTTTTTGGGAGATTAAGTGAGAGTTTGTTTGCTCTAACCCATTGTAGAATCTTAGGTAGTTCAGAATTAACCATTTGCATAAGAGTGTATGGATTGCTTTTGGAAAAGAACAGATTCGTGTCGTCAGCAGAAAGTATTAACGATAAACTATGAGATTGAGATTATCTGCAGAAATCATTTATATATAAAATACCTACAAGTGGACCTAGGAGGCTTCCCTGTGGAACACCACAGCTAACATTACATAAATCTGATGAACAACCGTTAACAAAGACATATTGCTGTTTGTTATAGTTCCTGAACCACTCTAAAGCCGTTCCACGTACACCGTAATTGGAAAATTTATAAAGTGATATATCGTGGTTTATTGTGTCAAAGGCCTTGGAGAAGTCCAGGAAAATACCAACCACGTGAGAGAATTTGTCAATAGCATGATATACCTTCTCCACAAAAGATAATAAAGCATGGATGGTACTATGCTTTCCCTAAAACCAAATTGAAAGTTGGAGAAAACATGAACTTTTAGAAAGGCAACTGTTCTAATACTTATGGATTTCTTCACGATCTTAGAGAAAGGAAATAACAAGGAGATCGATCGATAGTTGTTTACATTTAGTTTGTCCCCCTTTTTAAATAAAGGAATAATTTTGGCGATTTTCATAGAGTTGGGAACGTAACCATGTACAGTACGGAGACAATTATGAACCAGGGGATCTACTACAAATGGAATATTGACTTTAAGAATAACATTATTGATATCATCGTAGCCAGAACGTTTGTTGTTGTCTATAGGTTTGAAACGATGTTTATAATTTCATGTATATATGCTGGAGTAAGTAAATATATAGAACTCTCGTTAGGTGGACCAAGAAAATCTGTAAACTGTTTATTGGAAGGAGGTGTATTTTTGGCAAGATTATCCCTTATGGAGGAAAAGTGGGTATTAAATATATCATTAGCAATGTTGACAGGCTCTTGTTCAATTTCATGATTGAGTTTGATTTCCGTTACAACAGCTTTATTGTTTGCCACATTCATCGCATGTTTGAAGACTTTCCAAGTGTTGTTTATATCATGTTTATGTAGTTCAATTTGATGTTTTTTAAAGAATTTTGTCTTTACTAAACGTATGATTTTAGTCAAAGTATGTTTATAGAATGTATGTTATGATTAGTTTTGTCTGTAACTTTTGATTTGTACTTATAAAGATTATTTTTCCAAATTATAGACCGGAGTAGAGACTTAGATATACATGGAAGTCTCGGGGACTTTTGTAATTTCTATTATTGTCTCTTTGTATGGGAATAAACATATCTAGCTGGATGTTTAGAATGTGACAAAGCATATCGTACGAAGAATCCACATCATAAACGTATGCAGTCTATCAAATGCAAAGAATACCGAATACTCTACACAACTAAAAACATAGAATCCGAAACTCAAAATACAAATTGGAAAACTATTCATTACTCGATATTTACATATAAACATATAATAAAGAAATTTTAATATTTCTATAACATATTATTAAAAATGTAAATTATCATCTGGTCTATCAGTCGAAAAGAGACCGCAATCATAAGCGATGTTTGACTAAGATGCTATATAACTAACCAAAATTCATCTGACATCTCTCGGTTTGTGTTTTGTTGTGAGAAAGGTCAATAATTAATGGTTTCATTCTTGTATGCCAACTCCTCCGGCTCTTTGTATCTGTCAATAAGGAAATTGTTATGAATCATAGACCGCACCATTGAATCACAGTTCACCCGACAATTGTACCAGTACACGTATTGACGATCAAATAATATTCAATAGTCCCATTTATTCTGATCCAGTCATGCATTCATATGAGCAAATAATTATATTCTTTCTTCCTCTTCCCCATTCTTCATGCCTTCTTTCATTGCACCTTTTCTCACCACCATGCTAAACAATGCCGATCGGATTTGCATAGCGTTCAAATGGGAAAATATTGTCAGGCAGTGTGTTGTGATTTCTCAGCAGTGTCAGTACTTGAGTCTTTGCGTCGAAAACATTCCTGCTCTCTGTGAAATGATTTGGATAAGTGATTATTGGACACGAGGAACACTGGTCTGACTAGAATAGATAGTAGAATAATATTTCGACGAACTTGTTTAAGCTTGTATAATATTCCATCAAATGGAGCACATGCAATGTGGCTGAGGAACATGCTTCGTGTTTCATATCCATTGGTTGATTTAAAACCCCGTTGGAGCAGGATGTGTAAATCTGCCACAATAGTTTTATTTGCAGCACATCTTTGATTGACTGAAATTATGTAGGTGTCTGGAAACTCTCAAGAGTTGGAGGAATGAAGCACCGATCTCCATCGTATACTACTCTGCTTTGTGAGGAATATATTTGGTTATTGTGTGTTGTCTTGTGTTCCTTTTGTGAAATAACAGACTAAATTAAGGAATTGAAAGTACAGACTAATAAAGGAATTTCAGAGAATCGCATGTAGAAAACAACAAATAGGTTCCTCGAGATGACTGACACTTCTTCATCTGTGTTTTTTCTCTTCCATAAAAATTAAAAAATAATCAAAAAGAATCATGAGTTGATACTATTGTGGAGGGCAGTTGTTATATCTTTTCTCGAGGAAGCGATACATTGTCTCTCAAGGAAATAAAAGCTGGAACATTGAAGACGTATAACAGGATATCATGGCATTCGTGAAGTTACACCGTCAGAAGCTATTTGAGACAATCGAATCGTTAGACCTGTTCCTCGTAAAGAATCTGCTCTCCAGACCTGATGATTTTGGTCTGGACTGGGACTATAGAGACAAGGACGGTCGGTCCGTCTATGCACATGCCATCAACATCGGAGTCACTCGTAAGCTAACTTTTAAATCGGAGCAACTTTAGAATACCCCACCACAAAAATTGACCAAAAGTTAGTAGGGTACCCAACGCTTCACAAAATAAGCTATATCTCATGACTTTTGTCCTATTGGTAGGGTATTCTAAAGTTGAGCCTTTAAATCTGTTAACATCTTGAGTTGCCGACAAGTAGGTTCTGGTAGTTCGAGAATGAGGAAGCTGCCAAGTTGACAAGGTTATTTTAGTGGGGCATCAAATCTGAACCCTCCCATATCAATGCCTGCTGCGTACTGAACTGGTCCAAAGTTCTGTTCTTCTTCTTTCTTTGAAGACAAAAAAGCTGCAGTGTTGTGTATCTGACTCTCACAAAACCTCGTTTCGTTAGATTCTTTTCATATTATAGTTTGCTAAATAGATTATGAAATGCCCTAATGAATATGGCTTTTATTCAAGAAATGCACTGCAGATTAAATCGTTTATAAAGAACCTCCGCTCTTTTGTACTTTGCTGTGACCCTCTCGGGGTCATTAGATCTGAAGTCAAGGATGTATTTGTATAGAAATTTGAATGGGACTATATCGGTTTGTGTTGTTACCGGAACCTTATTCAGCTTCTATTGTGGCATTTCATTCCATAACTTGCTGAGTAAGCAACGGTTATCCCAAGTGCAATGAAATGTCAAATGATAATGGGTATAGGAGAGAAATAAGCGCAGTGAGTATAACAATTCAGCCACAAATCTGGCCCTACATTGATATTTACAGAGGAATATACGGAGAGGGAAAGGGTGACGAGTTTTTAGTCCCTATTAATTTAGTAATTACTACTTTTAATGCAATTGTCACCCAATATGTTTAAAACTGTGTGGCCCGAATTCACAAAGGAAGTTTGTCGACAAACCTAGGTTTATGTGCGTCATATGACGCGTCTCAGACCAAGATTTGTCTGAACCTTGGTCTGAAACGCATCGAAACGCGTCATATGAAGCACATAAATCTAGGTTTGTCGACAAACCTCCTTTGTGAATTCGGGCCAAAATCTTTATGATGGGAAAAAACGTTACATTTTCTCGACAATAAAGTGTCTAAATAAGTCAGTAACTCTTAATTTAATTATAAGGACGTCAGCTCTCTGGCGACATTTTTCTCATATGGGTCTTTGTTTATTCTATCTCTACTATCATAAGAAATATATATGTGGCTTTATATATCTTGGTTGTGATATCTTTATAATCTTATCTTAAACCACTGCAAAACCAATAATACATTCAGGAAGTTGATATTTCGTTTGTTTAAAGGTTGTCATTCTTTATTATTAACAAATTTCATGTAAACCTTCCAAAGGATATATAATGAAAAACATATCAAATTACAGGATTATTAATACCCTGTCGAGATCAGATAAGATCACAATTTGAATCTTCCACTTTGAATGGCATATTTATTCAACTGTTTGAAGGTCCGATAGAGATAAAACGTTTAAAATAGAGAAAGTAGCAATTCAAATGATAAGGAACATGTGCATCTGTTGTACATTATTTTTCAATAATGAAAACAAAGAATGAGAAACAATGAGGAGAGTAACGCTCTGGATGTTAATTGTCGTCTTTAAGACTGCATGGTTTTGAAAATCATGGTCAAGATGCCTTTCCTGTCGTGTTTAACATGCTTCTTTGTTGTTGCTGTTTTAAAAAACTCTACAAGATGGAAATGCCCATTAGCATTAGCAATTTGCTTTCTAGAAATGACTATGCTCACTCATGCTAGAATGAGGATTATTGTATGTTTATTTTAATATATGCAAGATAACTTTCTAATTAATATTCATTTGAAAATCTTTATAATACATTTTTTCTTCCTTCTTTTCTGAGTGTATAATGATAACTTTACTAAAAAATAGGCCTAGAATCGGGACATTTTAACGAAAAAGAACAACAACTTAGTAATATTTTTTTCTCTACAACAATCAAGAAATGGTAGTGACATTTTTGGACCATGGCATCCCTCTCGGTGACGCCCTTTTGAGAGCAGCTGACTTCTGTCTGGTGGACATTGTTCGATGCATCTGTACATATGCTGAAACACTGAGCAAGGTATGTATACAACCATAATTATGAAAATCAACGTCAGTTTATCATATCCTTTAAGATTATTTGTAATATCTAATAATGCAGAGAATCGAAATGCCCAAAGTTACACATTATACACTATTTCCAGGATGACATTATGTTAACTCTTTGATATTCTACACAATTTTCAAGTAATAGTTCATCTTCTTTATAGGGTACATAGCCCTTTGAAGATAAGAAAAAGAAGAATATGCGTAATTCATTCCCGTGGGCGTGTTATTCTCGATTCCTTTCTCGATTCCTAAGTTAGAGAAAATCACATACTCTCTTCCTCCGTTTCTTGAATATCAATTTTTATTTCATTATGAATATATGTTTTTGAAATAGATATAGAAATATAGTAATTATTACCAAAATAACAAAGAATTTGTTTCAGATTAACGAATAGAACATATGGAGATGTCATTTGGAACTTTAGTACAAATGTCCATTCAAATATTAAAATTTCTTTCTTTGAGGAATGAGTTGTGCTATTTCAAAGCGGTATAAAATCGCAAGTTATACAGCCATGCAATATATTATGATGATTTTAGATACATTGGGCAGGTGCATTTTTAATATTCTGTCTGTCTATTCGGTTGGAAGAGTGGCCGTGAAAGCCGATTCTTTCTATTCTTTTTCAATTGAATAGTATTCTTAAAGGTTTTTCATTTGAATGGTTTTGATGGGTATAAACATGGACTGCTATAGCACTCAAAAGAAATAGAGCGATGGGTGACCGCAAGGTTATTTCTATGATTATTTGAGGAATAAAAGGGGGCTTACCATACAAAATGAATGCATAATTTGATGCGTACAGCGCTTCAATATTTAAGTATAAGCCCACTGCCATGACTGTGTACTGCAATTTTCATGAAATTATAAAACACAACAAATAAAATCAGTGAATGTTCCCGCACCTTTGCCCCATGGGAGGGAATCGGGATGACACCCACCCCCCCCCCCCGATTTCGAAATGGAGGGGGGGGGGGCACAGTATCAAACGCTCCCTCAGCCTCTTATAAATGCAAACAAAACTCAAATTGACATTAAAGTTAAAATGTTATAACATTATAACATAGTGTGCATGCGCGCGTGTGTGTGTGTGTGTGTGTGTGCATGCGGGAGGGTTTGTGTGTGAGGATGAATGCATGTATAAATGGAAAAAGTATATTTGATAGATACTTGTTTGAAAGAGGGATTGTTCAACTGAATCATTTGGTTGAGAAAGGTCATGTTAAGTCTGTTAAATATTTTATGAACCTCGGTATGAAAGGTAATAATTTGCTTATGATTATTGATATTTATGATGCGATACCCAGGTTATGGAAGGATGATTCAGGGTTAATAGAATTCCTCGAGGTTGATTTGATAAGCTTTAATACTTATTTCCATATTTCTAGTAAAAAAAATACAGTTTGTGGATGTGGGTTCAAGAACAATCTATGATTATTTTATCAAAGCACTGCAACAAACGTATGATTTGCAGGTAAGGGATGGGCAAAATGATTATGATTTTATAGATAAAGAATTAAAAGAAATATTTGTTAGACCAAGAATTACTATACTCATTAGAAAACAACGTGAATTTCAATTTAAATTATTGCATGGAGCCATATACACTAATGAGCATCTTTATAGATTTGGTTTTGTTGGTGATAATTTATGTTCGTTTTGTAAGCAGGAAATAGAAACATACAAACATTTATTTTTATCTTGTGGGAGCGTTCAAAGGATATGGCAGGCTTTAATACAACTTTTTGAGTTAGATGAAATTAAAGATTTAGAATGGCGAGATATATTTGTTGGGTTGGTAGGTAGTTCATATAGAATAAAAATGTGTAATACTATCATTTTCATGGTGAAGTATGTTACATTTATGTCAAGATCGGGGGGGGGGGGGTCGAGTACTAACTTTAGAAAAGATGAAAAAAAGCATTTTTAAGTATAGGGATGAGGAAAAGAAAATAGCAATTAAAATGGGAAAGCTAGGATCACATTTCTTAAAGTGGGAGCAGCTTAAGATTAATTAAGATTTTGCTTTCTTCTCCACCGTGAGCCTGTTAAAAGCGTAACTCGATTTTGCGGCCTGGATAACTTATTTAGTATATTTTTCTTGAGTTGAGAATGTTGGCAGACATCCACTGAGTGAGTACTGTGTGTGTGGGGGGGGGGGTGAGTATGTTTGTGTGATAGAGGGTGAGTATGTTTGTGTGATGGAGGGGGCAGGGAGGGGGCAGGATTGTATCAGTAAAATTACCTCCAGATTTGTTTAAGTTTTTTTTGTAATATATAAGTAAATAACATTAATATTTACTATTGACATATTATGTTTAGGTACTTATACGTTTACTTTGTTGCTAAGTTATATCATACTACAAATAAGTTTGTGTTTAATTATGTTTATGTAAAAGCATCAATATTGAACACGTTTATTTTTATTCAATTGTATGTCATGGTTTGTATTACACATCTGGAGAAATAAAACAAAATTGTTAAAAAAAAAAAAAAAGTGGGGTCTGAGTGTGTGTATGCATCCCATCCATGTTTTAACAGTGATTTCAACCCATGTTATAATTATGAGCCATTCTGACATCCAGAATAAATTACTATAAGATATCATTTCTTGAAGTTTTTGATCACTTTGACCTTATTTGTTCATAATCATTCTCTTAGAACGAGCGGCAGGCTATCATCGAATGCCATTGTGAAAATGATGATTATCACAAAGTTATGACGCCTCTCATGGCTGCAGGACACAAAAACAACTTCGCCATTGTAAAGGTGAGCCTAATTTTTACCTTATAATGTGAACCATTTTACAATTCATTGCATATTAAGCGAGTTCGTAATTAGGATTTGATCATGGGCAGATAAAGGTCATTCGCTCCCAAATTGTAAAACCATCTTAGATATAAACCATAATATCCGCCAAGAATGACTCTTTAGATATAAAGGACTCAGCTGCCCAAATGCTTTTCATGTTGCCGTTCTTATTTGATTTGTTTTAATTTCAGGGCTAATTACAAAAAATGAAAATACCAAGGATTTGTCGAATTTAGAGATTCTGTGTGTCTTCCCTAATAAACTAGCACACTGTACAAATCAAACAGATTGTAAATTCTCCCAATTGCCATGTTATTTGTTGTGCCTATAAATAAGGCTTTAGTCGGGACATTGATTTTACTTATTTTCCCGGATGCCTACCCCCCCCCCCTGCCCCTCCGGTTTGGAAAGCAATTAATTCTGCACACCTTCTTGCCAATTAATCATCAATATTGTACAGTTATATTACATGGTAACATTAATATTTGGATAGATTACAAGCTACTCGTCATTATTTGGCTGTGAGCTTCTTATGAAACATCGGTTTTTCTGTTTAAATTACCAATTAGCTGTTACTCCACGCCGGAGCCGTTCTGAAAGAGCCTAAGATAAAGCAGGATGAAGCAGACCTGACAGGCACCGCCATCGTGCTCATGACATACCGAGCCATAGCAACCGATGCCTACTTGGTCCAGGCTTTCAGCGACCCGCTCGATGCTGCTTTCGGCCTAGGTCTGCGACTGCGAGAGCTCGCTGATCGATGGGAGGATGTGAGTGAGGAGGTGCTTAGAATAGTGGGTCGCGTGGAGCGATTCGCGGCAGGTTTTGTGGGACAGGCGAATTATTCGAGCGAGGTAGGACGAGTTCGTTGTTGTTGATGTTGATGATGGATTATGATGGTGATGGATCATGTTTGTTCGTCATGATTACTGTGCCATGTGTTTTTTAATAAACTGAAACTGAAACTGAAAACTGATGATGATGGTAATGGTGATGACGACGACGATGATGATAAGAACGATGATGATGATGATGATGATGGTGATGATTGCAATGGTGATGGATGATGATAATAGTGATGGTGATGATTATCATAATAATGATTATGATCATAGTAATTATGATATTAATGATAATGATACTAATGATAATAATAGTAATGCAAAGAAAGATAATAATAATAATTAAAAAATAAGAATAATAACAATGATAATAATAATATTGCTTATAAACATAAATAATAATGATAATAATAATAATAATAATAAAGATGATATACACATATTTACTTACGTACAAATTCACACACATTTATGTACAAGCCTATACACACTGATTTAGTAAGATTTACCTAATTAGTAAGTATTTTGTTTAATTCCTCCTAATCTATTTCCCTATTCTTCCATTCTACTTCAGGTTCGAACTATCTTGAAATTTACTGAAAATGAGAGCAAGCATCCCGTTGCTAAGATACGAGCTGCGATGAAAGCCAATCAGAAACCAGTGAGTCGAATTAAGTGCGTTTTCTGTCGGTAAAGCTTGACGCAATAAAAGTCATGCCTCAATAGAATTCTATTTTGATACTGACGATATTATCAACAAAAGGTAACATAAAATAAATTTAGTTGAATCACTTATGACTAAGACTTCTTTGCAACCTTGATAATGAAGAGAAGGAACCTTGTTTTTTATTTGTTTTAACAAAAAAGAAGATTTAAAAAAACTCGTTAGCTTCAGCAATAAACTTTTGCTCGATTATCACAAGTGTCATTTATTCAGTTAGACATTACTTAATGTCAAACAATTCAATCAATGCATTTTAATTTTCTGTGCTAGTTTAATTCCTAATAATTTTTCATTTTGCAGTTCGTCATTCATCCTTTCACGCAGAGCATCCTGAGTGATAGCTATTACGAGGAGCTGCAGGGAAAGAGCGCCGCCATGTCCTTCATTTTCACGTTACTTGCAATATTCTGCTATCCATTGCTTTCTCTTTGCTATCTCATCTACCCGGCTAAGCCGTTACACAGATTCTTAAAGATACCGTTAGTCAAATTTATTTATAATAATATGAATTATATTCCACATACTAAGAATCTTGCTCTACGATTGGTCAAAAGTAAATCACGTGATGAAAGATAGTTCGCCAATCATTGATGGGAGAAGAAAAGTTCGTTGCACTGTGTAGATAGTAGTACTATCTACACAGTGCAACGCACTTTAATTGTATACGTTGAGTATTGCTCTCCTCTTTAAGCGCTTTTAGTGTTAGTACGTGAACTTTGGTCACGCGCGAACTATATGGTCACACCACTATATTGCATGTACGGTACGTATCGTACACCGTTTGCTAGCTGTTAATTGATGACTTGTTGCTCTAAAATGACGGAAGAAGTGAAATGTTTCCGATGTGGAATATAAAGCAAATAATCACCTATGGGTTTCAGACGATGGCAAACTATCACTTCCTCGGCGATCTGAATGTACACGCTATCTTTTCTCAGCTTCGCTTCGGAAAGATAGCTTCATCCAGATCGCCTCGGAAGTGATAGTTTGTCCCATTACCTTCACCAACAGTAATTATTTGCTTATTATTATTATTATCATTTATATTTTTATTATTAATATTATTATTGTTATTTGAAGAAGTGGGTTAAAGCCTCCAAGAATCACCTCTCCCAAATACGTCTCGGTATGAGGGGAAAAGGAACAACGGTACATACAAATTCTTTGACGGTTTGAAATTTTGAAATTCCAAAAAAAAAGTGACATTTGAAACGTTTTCTTGACTTTTTAATTTCGATCCATTTTTTTTCTGTAAGCTTTAAAGTTCAGATTCATATTTTTTTAAATGCCATCAAGTGTACGAATTCCTCCCAATTTTTTTATTTTAGGAACATCAAGCTGTACATGAACGTGGGTTCAGATATAACACTGATGTCATGCGTGATAGCTCTGGTGGTTTACGACTACTCAACACATCCCATCATTACATTGATTCTAGAGATCACTATCTTCATCTTCTGCATAGGTTCGTAGAATCATTTTAATAATTCATATTATTTTTCTCTTTAAAACAAAATCCTTGATGAGTACATCAAGACGGTCAAATGGCTAGGGTGGGATGGTGCGCCTCTACAATGACAATTATTATTATTTCCCCAGGTATACGCGTATGGATTAATTTAGTAGAGCGTAGAGAGCGAAGGGAGTGGTGCGTAAATTTGGCGTGTGGGTCGGAGGAACAGAGCCCCAGAAGTTCAGGGGTTGTAGGCATTTAATTACGGCCATATGAGCATCCAGGGCTTAGGGTCCCTGGTGGGGTCCAGGGCACGGAGCCCCCGCAATCTCACGGGCATTCAATTACGGTCAGATGCGCACAATTGTGATACCTCATTTGTGACACTGGGAGGTCACTATTTCTTTCTTTCTTTCTATTTCTCTTTAACATACTTTTTCCAAAAAAGGAGGGGGTTCCCCCTAGCCCCACCGTTCCGTGGGCTCTGACATGTATGCAACTAAACAAGCATTTTTTTTTCGGGGGGGGGGGGGGCAACTGCAACTGCCCCCCCCCCCCCCATCAGTACGCCAGTGTTCGTCGTCAAAGTACACTAGATGAGATATTGTTCACATATCTATGCTGCGACTCGGTGCCGAATATTAGGATATATATGTTAGCACCTTGATGCGCGAATGAGGTGACGGGTTCTTCGAAAACTGGCATTTTCATACTTCTCGGAGGGGTGGGGTGCAGATCACAGCTATACCCCCGCATCTTGTACGCCTATATGGCAATGGATTAGCCACACAATTCGAATCATCCCCTTTGTACCAAGATTATATAAAGTCGTAGTCGTTTTGTTTCTTGTTCTCAATGTTGTTCTATATCTTTTCTCCAACCAAGGAATATCTGGCAAACACATCAAATTCATCTACAACCAAGGTCCAGAGAAATTCTGCTCTTACCCTCTTTCAATTCTTGATAGTGTTATGGTGAAGATCTGCTACACAACGCTCTTTGTGGTCTGGATAGGCAGACTAATCGTAAGTAGATAATGTACAATTCGATTACTGAGAGCAAGAAGGACATTAACTGTACCATTGAACGTTAAAAGGGTTTGCATGAATGCCCTTCTGGTTCTTAGCAGACGAATTATAAGAGAGAAAAAACTTGAATTTAAATTGGCCTAAATGCATACTTTGAATGGACAGCAACTTTTTCGTTGCTTGAAGCAAAACGCAAAGATCATGTCCCAAATATATAATATGGAATATCAAAGGAAGTAATAACATATCTTATGTCAGTTTTATTGAATTTTCACAGAATTTGTTTAATAGAGAACTTACAATCTACATTCCAAGGCAGACAAACGATCAAACTGTCACATTAAAACTGATTGAATTTCTTGCTGAGATTTTAAATATAGATTATCTTTCAGACTACTTATGACCAGCGAATAATGACAAGGCATGTAAACCCATTTCAAGAGGTTCAACCCGACATGGCAACACCCGCAGTTATCACTACAAACACGACCGACTCCGACGCAAATTCCAACGTCGCGCCCAATGACGTCACACCAACATGGTTGTTCGCGTCATGGAACGAACCGCGGGTCGTATCTCATACTCTCTACAGCATTGTCGTGCTTATCTGCGTGGTGCGGACTTTCTATCTCCTCAGCGTCAACAATGTCGCAATCTTCGTCGTCGCGAAGTCGGTGATCGGCATGGGTAGCGATGTCCTCCGCCTGGTGGTATTTTTCGTTTGCATCGTCATAGCTTTTGGTGTGGGGATCACCCATGCGTCCAGCTATCGTCTGCATACTTTACGCGCCGAATGTGCGGCAGAGGGACGTCTGCCAAACGAGTGTCCCGCACCCCCATTCCAAGAGTAAGAAATACCGATTATTTTTTTTGCCTCTCAATTTAGATTTCGGAATGTTTCTTTCGATTTAAAATGAATGTTAAATAAAATCATATCTTGTTTTTTATATTTCTTGTTATAATACATATTGAAATATTTCTTTCGATTCTTCCATTTGTAATTCCTTTTAAACGATTAGTCTATAGGAGGTGTGTATTTTGTTATATGCGTTGCATCCTGCCATGACCCCTCGGCGCGCCTGGATGGGCCCCTTGGGCCTATACAAACAGCCAGGCCTCTTATAGCAGCCGATATTTCTATATTATTTTACCACATCTGGCTAGAGAGTGGCAAATTGACATCAATGTCATGCCAAGAGAAATTAGTGACTTGCCGGGGTTACAACTCCTGACCGTTACATCTCCGGTACTTAAATTTATGGTCAACCCACGCATTGGGTGAATTCATTGAATGCAAACACACACAAAGAAAGATATTCCTGATCACCATTTATCCTTAATTCGGGCAAAGGCCATTTCGACATTACCCTTACAAAAATGTCCTGTGGTAATACCACAGGATTACCACAGGACTGTACCACAGGACTGTACCACACGACTTTACCACACGACTTTACCACAGGACTGTACCACAGGATAATTACCACATGATTACCACACGCCAGTTACCACAGGATTACCACACGCCCGTTACCACATAATGGTAAATTGGGACATTTCAATTTACCACAGGAATACCACACGCCAGTTACCACATAAAATTACCACACAAATTACCACAGGAATATTTCTGTGGTAATTTATGTGGTTTTGGGGGACATTACCACAGGACAGTTACCACACGCCAGTTACCACAGGAATATCACACGCTAGTTACCACAGGATTACCACACGCCCGTTACCACAGAATTACCACACACCGGTTACCATACAGAATACCACATAATTACAACACGCAAGTTACCACAGGATTACCACAGGATTACCACAGGACTGTACCACAGGACTGTACCACACGACTTTACCACACGACTTTACCACAGGACTGTACCTCAGGATAATTACCACAGGATTACCACACGCCAGTTACCAAAGGATTACCACATGCCCAGCTACCACATAATGGTAAATTGGGACATTTCAATTTACCACAGGAATACCACACGCCAGTTACCACATAAAATTACCACACAAATTACCACAGGAATATTTCTGTGGTAATTTGTGTGGCTTTTGGGGACATTACCACAGGACAGTTACCACACGCCAGTTACCACAGGATTATCACACGCCAGTTACCACAGGATTACCACACGCCCGTTACCACAGAATTACCACACACCGGTTATCATACAGAATACCACAGAATTACCACACGCCCGTTACCACAGAATTACCACACACCGGTTACCATACAAAATACCACAGAATTACCACACGCCAGTTACCACAGGATTACCACAGGACATTTTTGTAAGGGTATACCCTCATGAAAAACAATCCATCATCGTATTTGATAAGCAACATATCAAATTAAAAAAGACATTATCAACTATCATGCCGTTCCACTATATTTCTGCCATTTCACTTGGTTTTCAATATACCGGGGCTTAAACAAATGGTTTCCTCTTTTGTCTCGTACTGTATAAATTGCTTTTCAGCATACAGACTACATTAGTGAACCTCTACTGGGTTCTTTTCGGCTTACTCAAGAAATCCGAGTCGGGCCTTAATTTGCGACCAGACGATTCTTACAATCTCTATCTTCCCGCCTTCATCTTAATGATCTACTCGTTCGTCGCAGTCTTAGTCCTACTCAACCTCCTCATCGCAGTCATGACGTCACGATATTCTTCAGTAGAGGTATGTAGACGATATAAGAAAATGCTATCCTGATCCTGAATACCGGCCGATGTTATTTAATCTTTGAACACTGTAAAATGATAACTCATTTTGTATCAATAAAACCAGAAAATCTAATGAATGGGGAGGGAATGATATCACGTACTATTACCCGAGTTGCCAGTTTTCCAATGTGGGAGTGATTTTTCATACTTTTGCAAAATTTTTCATTCTTCACAAGTCATAGTAGCATACACATGCTTTAGCAGTCACGCAAAACACACATTTGCAAATTATTATTCAATAAAATCTGAGAATGTATACTATTATCTAGATCTATCATTTTAAAATTATTTTTAAAATAATTCCATAAATTGGGGTAAAACTAAAATATTGCACCTATATGAGCGACAGTGTATATGTTTTGTTCTTTTTTATATAAAGTTGTCAATTTCATTACCATGACTTACTTACTCACTTAAGTGCACAGGACGGAGTGTCCCCTTGCGCTCCTACGGGTGGTCTGCCTCCATTCATTTCTATCCTGGGCTTGGTGTTGGGCAGCCTCCAGGCTTAATCAAGAATCTTGGCGGATTTGGTCTTTCCACCATGAATCTTTTTATATTCAACATGTTATGTTCAAAGCAGGACTTTCTTATAAAGCAGGCCCTCTGTGGCACTGAATGGGAATACCCTTTAGTTTAAAGAAAGCATAATAAATAAATGAATAATTAAATAGATAAACAATTTGTTTTTAAATGAATAAATAAATACAATAATTAAATGAATAAATACTTTCAATTGGATTCGTCTGTCTAATCCTGACAATAAATGTTATTACAAAATATTTTTTAATGGTCTGTTTGATAGCTAAATGCTGATCGAGAATGGAAGTTTTTTCGCACACAACTGTGGATGAGTTTTATCTCTGATGAAATCCTGTTACCACCGCCATTCAACATACTGCCATCTATCGACAAACTCCGGAAGATTCTACAAGCCTGTTGCTCTCGCAGCCAACAGAAACAAAAGACACAGACTCGGAAGAAAACGGTAAGTGTATATCGCCGAAAGCTACAGTAGTTAACAGTGTTAGTTTAAGTCAGAGGGCAATAAATAAATTTCTACATGATTTGGTTACTTAGATAGACACATGATGTTGTAAAGGGGCCGTTATATCTAGCGGACAAGTCTCCGGCATTTTGATCAAATAGTTAACTTCGCGGTTCGACTCCTTGCAACATGTCATTGAGCTAGACAATGATCTAAACTTCTAACCAATATGAGGTAAATGAGAAAGACAAATGCTTCAAATAATTCTAAATACTCATGATGATGTGAGGTATATATTGCATGCGTCTTTAGACTCGTGCCCCTGGGATAGATCTTTGCACATCTGTCAAACGTAGCAATTATCATTGAATATTATCATTACTAAACGCTCATTTCATTCTCCCACACTCCGTTGACGTAACTACCTCTTGCAACGAGCTATGGTTTAGGTTATGATGAATGGCATGTTTCTCCGTAAGGGCAGGGTTTTAACCATTGAGTCCTGATTTAGCCAATGTTTGCAGACAGCATGATGGATTACTCATTGATCAGAACTCTTTTATGGATACCATGCTCAGGGAGTCAATGAACTCGTTTTATTTCTACTTGCAGGCCTTACAGTCGGCATGGAATGAGTACAAGCAATCTCAGGTAGGCTTTAAATTTTTTGAAACTCAATTTTGCGAGACCTGATATAATGTTATTAACATTTTCAAATGAGAGTGGTTCAATTATGAGTTTGTCATTCATAAAAATACTTGAAAACACACATTTTGCAGAATTACTGACAATTATTTTCTCCTTATGAGAAACTTGCATTTTTTCATTATACTTTCTACGTTCACTTGGCTTGCAAACAGTAAAGAAAATTATTCTGCTATTGGGAAACTGGTTTAATACGACTTTTTGTAATGACTATTTTTCATTTTGTAGTTCGGTGTGTCTGAAAACGTCTGAAAGACCCAATTCAGATCAACAAAATAATCGCTGAGCTACACGTATTTCAAAATCGCAATTCATGATTGATATGCAGCGCATACTCATAGCTAACTCAATTTTCAACAATTTATCGACTATTATGATTTTAGTTTATTTTTTTTCTTATTTACATCACACTGCGCCTAAAAATAGTTCGTTTACGATAGACGAAACAGCGTTAATGTCTTCTATTATTATACAATTGTCTTAGCTGTCAATTTTGTTGTAGTCATTATTTATCATCGTATAAGTATCAACCTCTATCAACATTTTCATCATTATCATCATCATTATCATCCTTATTATTTTTTATTTTTATTTATTTATTGTACTATTACTATCATTATTAACATTATTATTATTGTATTACTACGAGTACTACTACTTCAAACTTCTATTGCTACGAATCCACCTACTAATACTGGCATTATTATCATCATAATCATCATCATCATCATCATCATCATCATGTTTGTTTTGAAGAACATGACCAGAGCACTCAAAGATCGTTTTGTGAAGAACCGAGAGAGCGGACTCCAGCAGAATTCGGAAGTAGGAGGAAAACGAGCTCTTCAAATCTTGGCAAGAACCGATCTTCTAGCCTTCCGAAACGAGTGGGTGGACCTCAGGTTAGATCACATTCCCTTTCAATCAATTATAATCATCATAAAACAGTCGCCTCAACATTTATATAGAGTCCTTTTTGTGCCAGACAGACATGATCCCTATACAAGAACCCATTAATATTTTAATTATTATGATGAAAATGCTCTCTTCATTCTAAAAGCATAATTATAAAGAGATTCAAACTTTTGACAATTGTTTTTTCCTGACATGCGTATGTAGTCCCATATGTCGACATCTGTGGTCAGTGCTTTTTACTGAAGGTGATCTTCAGAAAGATTTGTCAATATTTTGATAATTCCAAGTATAACATAAAGACAGACATTGAAGACTACTGGGTTGTTCATTATCTCTCTGTAGGCAACAGGTATCCGTAGCAGAACGCGACCTCCAAATGATGCTAAAACAGATAACGGAACTGATTGAATCTCTGAATATTAAAATCGGGCTCGTCACCCGCGTCGAAGAGAAACATGTTTCCACTTCCATCGACATCGATGACGTCTACGAGTCCTTTCCCGTCATCGAAAAATTACTCGAACACGTCGAAGTCCTCATGGAAACCTTGCGCACTCTCCCACCTGAGATGGCCCTGAAACCAGTTAAGGAAAGACCGGTCTTCGAGGTGAAGAAGGAGAAGGAGGAGAAAACGGAGGAGGAAATCAAATTCGAAATCAAGGAGGAAGAAAAGACAGAGGAGGAAATCAAATTCACATTCAAAAAGGAGATCGTGAAGGCGATGGCGAAGATGTACGAGCTCGGAAGACGACCAGAGGAGGACGAAGACTTCATGACGAAACTTAATGAATATCGACAAAGATTCGAAGATGCTTCCTTCGCCGTGCATTGAAACTCTTACATGACATCTGAATATTATCATGTTTTATCACCTAGAAAATCCCACCTCATAGTTGTTTTAAACATTCTGAAATGACATGTTGATAAGGCGTTTAGTCTTCTCGAACGCAAAGTGTTGCTTTGCTTTAATGCCTTCATCATTTCATCATTTGTTTATACATATAAGGTACAACAACTTATAACCATACTTATATCAAAACGTGTAAAGCAGTTATAGTATACCCGAGAAGAAATTAAAAACATATGATATTTGTATGCAATTTAACACCCCCTTCTCCTCCCCAGTAGAAGTCCAGTACAAAAGTTAATACGATTTGCAAGTCAAAAGTCGGGGATGCAAAATACCCTTACCCACCCCCCTCCCCCCTCTTCAGGAGTACTCTACCCCACCCCCGCCGTTAACATTATGGATAAGCCACTGCTTAAGTTCGCACATTACTCATAATAAGACGAATGCAATTAATACATGTCAAAATAATTTTCTCGCCCTCTGAATCACTTCGGATGTAGCACCTGATGTTCAATCAACACATCGCGAAGCGTCTTTTCATGCACTCTATCTATTTGTACACCCCTTTTCCCCCAGCCCCCTTCCCAAGTGTCATGACAACATTAAAGATGTGTTAATCGCTATATTCTCGAGTCTTATGCCAAGAAAAAGCTTTGAGCTTTTATCGTGGACTGTTGTTATTCCCCCACTCTTCATTGGAAACCACTACCTCAGGTCATTAAGTTATGATGGTTCAAAGCTGACATGTGCAGGATTTGATGCACGCTGACGATGGTCTAGTACTTAATTTATTCTGTACTGTATTTATACCTCTCAGTTATATCAAGCAATATAAAATCATGTGTCTTATTCTCAAACTTAAATGTTCTCTGTAAACTTATTTTATTACGTACATACTTTTTATTTGTTATTTTATATATTGTAATACTGTATGGTTTATATATATGTCATTTTAATTTGTTGATATTTGAGTGGAAAAATAAATCAAATCAAATCAAATTATGAAGGGTAGTCTTGTATGGAGGAACTCAAAGAATATTTGTTTATTTTCAGAAGGTGAGATCGGATAGAACTTTCGTAGACCTGCTATGAAAGATATGATAAAAATGCACTATATATAATATAATAGTAGCCAGCATGTAAAAAAAAAAAGAAGAGAATTGAAGTTTTATAGATACAATAAATAACGATTATATTATATTGGTATGCGAATAACTTTTCTTATATGAATCCTTGCCAATATAATAAGCCTTGTTCAGCGACTCTTTGAATCATTAAAAGACAAGCTTTATTCTACATGTATGATGTCAGTGGTGTTTTCTAGGAGGGCGTGGTGTCAGTATATACAAATTGATGACCCCCACCCTTCCCCTGCCCAAATAGAAGAAGATGTAGTCTTCTAAATAAGAAATGATGAATCAATAGTTAGAAACAATATGCATTTAAATATGTAATCACAGTTTGTTCTGGTCTCTTTGCCCCTCATCCCCTTCAGAAAAAAAAATCGGGGTTCGCCCCTAATATTCCATTTACATGTAGTCGAACTTTTTTTGGAAGGAAGTCATGCAATGATAAACACTTTGCAAATGTCAGATCGAACATTGCCAAAAGGCACATACGCATTCCACTCATCTCGATACATTCACAAGGAAATGGAGCGTGACGTCACAATATAGTCAAACAAACCAAAATAGATTTTGGTATACGATCAACGTGACCGAAGCGACAGGCTAACAACGCAGAGTGGGGGACTTTAACTGTGCTTTTGAGAGCAAATCTCTACCCTCCAGTATCCAAAGGTTCTTTTTTTTTTAATCCTTGATATTTAGCATGTATTTAGTCTTGTCACTGTATAAAGATACTGTAAACGAGAAAGATAAAACTGCATCACCATGTTCATCATCTGACAAAATAGGAATTATCGAATTGTAAGCAGGGGAAGAAAGGGGGAAATCAAAGAGAATAGGGGGCAGAGATATAGAGAGAGAAGGAGAGAGAGAGAGAGAGAGAAATTTAGAAAGAAAGAGATAGAGAGATTTAGAAAGAAAGACAAAGAGAGAAAAAGTGACGGATAAAGAGAGAGAGAAAGTATGTCCAAAAAAAAGAGAGAGAAAGAGATTTAGAAAAAGTGTAAAAAGGATCTGAGGAAAAAGAAAAAGAGATGAAGGATTAGAGAAATCGGATAATGAGTATAAATGGTGAAGGGAGTGTGAGGTTTCTATGTGAGTGCGTGTGTGCGTACGTATGCGTGTGTGTGTGTGTGTGTGTGCGTGCGTGTGTGTGTGATTTCGTGTGTGACAGAGATACAGAGAGAGAGAGAGAGAGAGATCAAGAGAGAGAGGGAGAGAAAGAAAGCATTGCTCGCGAAGGACGCTACGAACCTGAGATCGTACTTGGCATCAATAATTCGAAGGCGAAGTGGGGGTGCTGATCGAGGGAGTTCGGCAGTTTAAGGCTAGCAGGTGAAGGCAATCGGTCGACTCGGGGAGGCCCACTGGTATAAGCTTTCCGATCTCACTACGAGCTGAACTTTAGGGACCTATCCCTTTTCGAGTATACAGCTTGGGAGAGAAAACTAGGTTCTTACAGGACTTGTTGTTAGGAGAGATAGATACGGAATACTCGCTGTCAAATGCAGATTGAGAAATGCATAGTGTCCGTAATGAAATATCTATCTTGCATAACAAATTTAAGGTTGGTAGAAGCTTATTTATCTATATTTCTATTTATCTATTTCCCTTTTGAACCACAAACATGATTTACAAAAAAATAATAATAATTTATGAATCGGTTTTATGGGGAAAATAAGGGCATATTATCAATGAGAAAAAGCGTTTTTAAGCAAAGTGGGGTTATTCAGAATTAAAATCACACTATTTCGGGGCAGGTTTCTTTTAAGTAAGCCGACTATTGCTAAATAGGCAATTTGACACCACGGACTATTGAGATGCGTCGTAAGGTGTGACGTAGAGAAAGGGCAAGCGAGAAGAAGAATTGGATGTGAGCCAAGGCACCGATAAAAATGGATTCAGAGATGAAGAGAGGGAAAGAGAAAGAAGTGTGAATGAGAGAGAGGAGGAAAGAGGGAGAGAGAAAAAAGGAGTGAGTGAGTGTGTGTGAGAGAGAGAGAGAGAGAGATGGGGAGAGAGGGGAAAAGAGAAAGAGAGAGAGGAGTGAGTGAGTGAGAGAGAGAGTATGTGTGTTTGTATTTGCGTGTGTGTGTGTGTGTATGCGGGTGAGTGTGTGAGAAAGAGAGAGAGAGAGAGAGAGAGAGAGAGAGAGTGTGTGTGTGTGTGTTATGGGTAACTTAATTGAGATATTACAAGATTGAAAATTGAAAATATTAAAGGGATTGTAGCATGACGAGACTACGTGTCTTTCCCGAGGCCTGACTCGGGGCCAATCAGGTATATTAGGGAGCTTTCGATTTCCATGACGGTTGGCTTCTGCGACGGTCAAACTGTAAAACACGACCGTTCTGGGTGTACAAGTTTCCTTCCTCCAACAATCTCATTTCGATTCCTGCCGACGAACTCTGCGACGAACCTGGGCTGGACCATATGATTGAGCACGTGATTTAAAGATTTGTTCATAACGACCAAAATGGCAACTGGTAATCTTCACCGAGCCGGAGACCAGTTGGTTGCCGCTTATTGTTGCGATTTGAACGATGAATATGAATTTGGTCTTCTATACGACATCGATAAACCCACCAACATAGATTTCTGTTATAAAGAATTCGACCCAATAGATCTAAATTGTTTAAACGACGATGAGTGTAACCAGGCGCGGATCCAGGATTTTTTTAGGGAGGGGGCCCATTATTTTTTTTTTTTTTTTGCTCCCGAAAATTTGAAAATCGCGCCGGCCGAAATATCGCTCAGTTGGGGGGGGGAGGGGGAGGGGGAGGGGGGAGGGGGAGGGGGAGAGGGGAGAGGGGAGGGGGAAGGGGGGAGGGGGGAGTGAGCACTACTTTTTAAATTGTTTTTATTTTAATTTTTTGCTCTCGAAAATTTGCAACCCCCCCTCCTTGATCGCCAGTAGGGGGGAGGCCCATCCTCCCAAAACGGTAAAAATCACGTGTTTTTACATGTTTTTTTTCCCAGGGGGAATCCCTGGATCCGCAACTGAGTGTAACTCATACTTCAGGTACGTACATCATAACTGCATATCACATATCCCACACATACCATAACATGCCAGAGTCACTGAAGAACCACATTTGCAATGGAAAATATATCCTTAAATAACACATTTTAGCGATATAATCGGCGTTCCCGATACCCGAATCTGAAAAATCGGGAATCTTACGCGTGTTTGTAAGGAATAAAATGTGTTTGTACAATAAAATGAGCTGTATTTCAAGTATTTTTCAGATTTAGAGCACGATTTTGTGTGAGTCGCTAGCTCAAAAGTATCTCATCGCATGTATTAAGTCAATGCAGCTGGATAACGCAGCGCACACACGGATCGGAGAGCTCCGGCGTGGGATACCTGCTCCGGCCGCCAGTGCTATAGCGCGCGCTTGCTTCCTATTGACTTTGTACACGCGTCCGAAAACTGCCTCGCTAGTCCGAAAACTACCTCCGAAACAGTGAACATGATGATGAATATTGTCATGGCAATTCAAGGTTTTTTTTCTGGGATTCTTTTTTTTTGTTTAAATAATAATAGTATTTTCTTTATGATTTGGTTCTATTGGTCTTATTGGTTTCTATTGGTCTATACTTTCGATGTTAAGTGTCTGATGCGGGTTCATTTTGAAGCTGCAATTTATGGCACTCATTAGGCGGTGTCACACAGAAAAATCCCTTGAAAAATCCCTTGAAAAATCCCTTGAAAAATCATTTTAAGGGAGAATTTTCTTGCTTCGTTAGAGGATTTTTGAAGGGATAATTGATGACAGACAGCCAAAAAGAGGATAACTAAAATCCGGATAACTAAATTCCGGATTCGAATCGGAACTCAAATCGGCTGGCTCGTTGTTTACGTTGTCGTCTGCACCACAACGCAGAATCAGGGGGAGAACCGTCCCAGAAATTGGACGCCCGACGAATCAGAATCAGTCCGTCGTGGAATCAAAAGCTCCGTAATACGACTACGGACGACACGATCGCAGCGATCACGTGCATACAACATACGCGAAACCCGAGCGTGAGGAGAACTTCGAACTGTTTCTCGAACGCTAGCGCGCGCTGACCATGTAGAGAAAGTCGCTGACTACCGTTAATCAAGTCGATTCGTTTACGAGCAGTTGTCCAAAAGAAGACGTAGATGGCGTAAACCAGTATTTGCCAAGCTATACACCCCCTTTAATATATGCATGAACTGGGAAAG